AGATAAACTCCTCCTCCACCTCAGGATGTAGTAAAATCATTTAAAGTGATGGAGGAGAGAAAACAATAGTATTATGGAAGGTAAAGGTGGGTGGGTGGAAACATTTGAAACACCGGAGAAATCCTCAAAGCTAATACAGTGGTACCTCGGGTTACATACGCTTCAGGTTACATACGCTTCAGGTTATAGACTCCGCTAACCCAGAAATAGTACCTCGGGTTAAGAACTTTGCTTCAGGATGAGAACAGAAATCGTGCTCCGGCGGTGTGGCGGCAGAGGGAGGCCCCATTAGCTAAAGTGGTGATTCAGATTAAGAACAGTTTTAGGTTAAGAACGGACCTCCAGAACCAATTAAGTACTTAACCTGAGGTACCACTGTAGGGACACAGGTGGCGCTGTGGGTTAAACCACAGAGTCTAGGGCTTGCCGATCAGAAGGTTGGTGGTTCGGATCTCTGCGACAGGGTGAGCTCCCGTTGCTCGGTCCCTGCTCCTGCCAACCTAGCAGTTCGAAAGCATGTCAAAGTGCAAGTAGATAAATAGGTACCGCTCTGGCGGGTAGGTAAACAGCGTTTCCGTGCGCTGCTTTGGTTCACCAAAAGTGGCTTAGTCATGCTGGCCACATGACCCGGAATCTGTACGCCGGCTCCCTTGGCCAATAAAGCGAGATGAGCGCCGCAACCCCAGAGTCGGTCACGACTGGACCTAATGGTCAGGGGTAACCTTTAGCTTTACCACTGTTTCAATTTTCTTGAAATTCAGTCATCACGGAGCTGGTCCCAGCGTAACGGTGTCTGCCAAGCAGTTACACATGCAAATCATTACATTAGAACGGAATATGCATTTGTGGGAGGGGGAATACCTGTGAAAAGGACGCCAGCTCGCCTGATTGCAGATTTTGCCTAAAAATGCAGGTGATCATTTCTGTCATTATTTTTATTTTTGTATGGGGATCTTTTGCGAAAGGGCATTTCTGTGGCTCATCACAGAATGTGTGCTCAGGAATCCCCACATCCAGTCAAGTTCATGAAATCCAATTGCAGGTTTCTCTAACTTACTCTAATTTCCACCCAGCCTGGACTTCCCCACACCTCGAACTCTCCCTGCTTTGTCTCTTCTGCTTTAAATATGGGCACAGGCACAGCTGCTAGCGTACCACCTGCCAGACTTGCATGCATATTGAATTAGTGTTCTGGAATAGCTGGTGGAGTCTTGGTTGCTCCTGAAGGTGCATGTACTCCCACTGTATGATGTTGCTTGCGAGTTCATTAATCGGGCTTTATTGATTGTATATTAGAGCTTAGTAAAAAACCAGCTGGGTCTCAAGCAATTGTTGATGCAGAAAGGCAGCAGAGCAGCAGAAGCAGGCTGCTCAAAAGAAGAAGAAAACTGGGATTTGGAGTACACAGTCTGCAGGGTGGATTTGATATAAATCAAGTCGATTTAAATCATGATTTAAATCACGATTTAAATCACGAGTCAGTAAGACTTGATTTATTTATTTTTATTTTTTTACAGAAAGACTCATTCTTGCTGGTATAGTCTTAATATTTACAACCAGATGAAGGTTTCATTTTTGGAATAATAAATTTTCAGAGTAGTTTTTACAGTTATATCAAAAATTACTGATTTGATTATACTGTTAGAAATGCATAGACAGATAATTATGACATTATTGTGAAGTTTAATAAGTTAACTCTTTATATTTGGACAACTTTTCTGCTGTACTTTATTGGAAGGAGAAAAATAATCATTTCCTTAATAACAGTTTAAACAATTTGTTTAACTAAATCAATAACATTATAGCATATGTATCCATTTTTGTTAATTGATGTGGTTAGACAATTTTAAAAAACAAAAAACTTAGAGTGAGTTTTAGCACCCATGAAAAACTTAAATCCTTATTTCCTGATGAATAGCCTTTGGACTATAATGTAACCTAAATAGAAAACTATCTTTAGTAAGATTTTTCCTCCAAAACATTTTATTTTAAAAATCCAATTTAAATTTTAAAAAATCTGATTTAAATAAAAAAAATCTGATTTAATATTTTTTAAAATCGATTTTTTAATTATTATTTTTTAAAAAATAATTGATTTTTATCCACCCTGGCGGTCTGCAAGAAGACCGGGTTTGCTAATGCATGAGTGTATGTTTGTGTAGGAAGCTAATTTTAACCAAAATTTTTGGCATCCACAAGTCTTGCATTACATACTCCTTCAGTGCCTTTTGGAAGTAGAGAACATGATTGAGAAATGTTTGCGTTAATAAAGGAACAGAGACACTAGTGCTGTTGTACATAATCCACGTAGGACAGCCAACCAGTAGTTCAGTGAACATCCTGCTTTGGCTGCCTGCCTGCGACTGCAGAGAGAAGGAGGTTGTCTAGCAAACTACTTAAGTGGTTACCCAATGGGTTCTTGCATTGGTTTGGTGCAACCAAGTATGGCAAGTTTGAGGAAAGCCACATAGCTTGAGTTAGCTTGGCTGCCACTGATCACCATGTTAGATGTGCCAACCAAGTGTGGGCTCCAACACTCTCCCATGCCTGGACTTGAATCGAATCAGCACGGAGAAAATAGCATTATTGGGTAGTAGTTTTTCATGAATGATCAGATCGTTTTGTGTACCGTCTCTTGTTAGTTCTTGAAACATACGTTTAAAATAGGCCAGTGTGATTATCCGTAGATTACAGCTGTAAGTTAAGCTGAGAAAGAAACTACTGTACTTTTTCACTCCATAAGACGCACCTAGTTTTTAGAGGAGGAAAACAAGAAAGAAAATATTCTGAATGAAACAGTGGATGTATGATTTTTGTGGTTCATGCTGTGGCCACAGACATGTGAATTGACGGTGAGTTTGGGGTAGCCCAAAGCAAAAATCCTGAGGATCCATGTGGATCCATGCTTTGCAACCACGTTTTTGCGCCATTGCAGCCCCACGACACAGTGGATGCGGGGGTTTTTTGGTGCAGGCTGTAGCCATGGACATGCTATGTGATCTGATGGTGAATTTTGTATTTTGTAAACACACTGCTAAGGTGGCAGTAAACGAGAGAGCCACGTATTCTCATAAGCAACACTAGCTGTCATTTGAGCAACACAACTGGTTTTTAGAAACGTAGGTCATTTGCTGCTATCTGAGTTAAAGTCAAAGCATGGCATACATGTTGGCCTTATTCGGGCAACACATTCAGCACAAATGTTGATTCCTGGGCTCCTGGAGAGGAGCTTGGCGTGTGCTTTGCTTCTCCCCAGTCCTTTTTGCTACTGCACTGTGCTGCACTGAGTGCTAAACCGAGGTTAAGAGATGGCCTCACTAACCACGAGCTGTAACCTTTGTTCTTGGTTACCGTTTAGGGTTAATGAGGAGAGAGTTTAACCGCAAACCCCAGTTCAGAGTGCACACTAAGCCAAACCTTGGCTTAGCTTTGTGTGGCAGGGAAGAGCAAGGCAGCTACAAGTTCCTCTCCCAAGAGCCCGTATGTACCCTTGTGCAAAGCCAAAGTTTGGTTTAGTATGTTGTGTGAACCAGGCCATTTCAATGTCAATGTTCCTGCTGTGGTGCCTGTGAATACTTTCTTTATCCTGAGCAAACCATTTTGTATTACTGGCTTTTCAGACTGATGAAGTGTGTAGCGAAACCTGTAATATATCCAGAGAACAGGCCTCCTTTTGCCCACTTGCGTTATTCTCACCAGGGTGGTGGCTTTGATTTGCCTTCCCGTGATGCATCTGATCCATGCATATGGCTTTGTGTTTCCAACTCAAGACCCATTGAAGAACATCTCATCCAGTTCAATCTTTGAAAAAGCTTTGAAAAACTTTTTCATATTCTCCGGTGTGTTACCCTTGCCGTTGTGGCGGCACAGGGTTGCCGTTCTGTGATTGGACTTACACTACTTGTTGAACAGTTCATTTATCCAGTCCGTATAACATTTACTGCACATGTAACTTGTTAAGATAGAGTTGTACATTTATCCACTCCATGTTTACTGTATCTCCAGGCTTTGTCTTGCACATGGCACCTTAGTATGTTTGTTGTTTGAATGGTTACAAGTCTATCTCTATTCTAGCTGCTATTCTAGTAAATTTGGTTTTATACTTATAAGCCAGTTTGTGGTGGTGTTGTTTTGTTGCAATGTTTCCTGCCCACCAGGGAGTGCAGAAAAATTGACTGTGAATTCTGGTTTGCAGGGGCGAGGGATGTGGGCTGCGGTTTTAGTTCAATAATTTGTGCTTTAATCATTGGGTTTTTGTTTGTTGGTTTTTGTTGCTATTTGTAAGCCACTTCGAACAACTCCTGGTGTAGAAGCGGAAGGTGGGGGAGGAGGTTATACACTTTGGGGGGGGGGACAAGCAAAATAAATAAATGGCAGAATTGTGCATTATAAGAAACATAGCTGCTGTTGAAAATGTCAGTGCTATGCCAACCCCCACCCCAATTCCTACCAGTACCATTTCCACACAATAACCAGCCGCACTTTCTTCGGCACTGCTGATTAATTTTGGCAGTAGCAATTAGACGCAAGAATTTAAACCCACCATATGATAAGTTGAAGCCTTAATTATTATATAACCAAGCATGCTTCTGATGAGGGACACTGATGGGCAGTATAACTTATTTATTATAATTTATTTTTAAGCCTGTTATTTTTGAGAAGGGATTTAAACTCTTATTTTAATGCTTGCCTTCTGAAGTATTCAAAGCACATCATCTGCAAAAAGATTCGATTTGTGCTTCGTTCCTTCAACCATGATACCCTCAATACCGCTTTGCAATCTCAAATTTATTGCTAGAACCTCTACTGCTACCACAAAAAGTAGCAGCAATAGAGGGCAGCTCTGTTTAGTTCCTCTTATTAATAACAAAGCCAACTGAACCGTCTCCGTTAATTGTGATTTTTTTTGCCAAATATCTTAATTCCTTAGCAAGATTATACGGGAACAAATCTTATTTTCAGCTAGAAGTAATATATTTCATATGTTTCTTTCTCAGGTATCGCACAGAAATGGCTGTTTGGATTTGGACCCTGAGCATTCTGAGCTTCTCTTCTTTGACCTGTGCATTGAGGCCTAAGAAATGGGATTCGTTTCTGACCAACACAGAACTGAACCACCTGACGGTGAACCACAAAACAGGGACAGTCTATTTAGGAGCAGTTAATGCCCTTCATCAGCTTACGGGAGACTTGAAACCCTATCCGTCCGTGGGTGAGGTATCCACTGGGCCACAACTTGATAACAAAATGTGCACACCTCCCATTGATGCAAACCAGTGTACTGAAGCAAAAGATACTGACAATTACAATAAGATATTTTTGCTGGACACACAAGAGGGACAGATTGTGGTTTGCGGGAGCCTGTTTAAGGGCATCTGTTGCATAAGGGAGCTTGAGAACATTTCAAAGATAGTTTACTATGAGAACGGCAGCGGGGAGAAATCGTTTGTTGCAAGCAACGACGAGGAGGTAGCCACAGTGGGGCTGATCACCTCTTTGAAAAAAGGCCGAATGATGTTTGTGGGAAAGGGAAATGGACCAAGTGACAATGGGATCATAATCAGCACTCGGCAACTTTTCGACGGGGATGGGAAAGACATTTTTGAACTGTATGCGGAGCCTGCTGTGATCAAATCGACGTACCCTTCTTCAAGCACGCAGCAGTTTCTGTACATCTTTGAAGACAGCAAATATGTGTATTTTATTTTCAATCAGTATGAAAAGCAGCCTCTTAAAAACCGGACAGTAATTGGGCGGCTCTGCAAGGAAGATGAACAGTACCATTCCTACTTTGAAATGGACTTGGAATGTCAAGATGCCAGTGGTCCTTACAACCAGTGTAACGCTGTCTATGCCTCTGTGCCTGGGCAGGATCCAACACCATCGGAGCAAGAGGATGGTGCCTCGTCAGAGGACAAAATGCTAATTGCACTTTTCAGGAGGATCAACAAAGACAATAACTCCGTGGAATCTGCCATGTGTGTGTTTTCCTTGGAGAAGATCAACCAAAAAATGGAGGAAAAACGGGAGCAATGCTATATGAAGGATAAACGGAACGTGTTTTACAAACCTTTCCGAACAGAAACCGCTCCGTGCACTTCTCAGTCTCACCCGGTAATATGAAAGCTTTAAAATTTATTTATTTATTTATTTATTTATTTATTTGAAAAGGGAGGGACAGAAAGGTTGAAAACCCTGTGTTTTAGAAACACATTTTAAATCTGTGAAGCAAAAGTGTAAGGCCTGGGAGCTGGAATCTAAAAAGTTTCAGCACAGGTCTTTTTGGCTCCAGATATTTTTTTGCATAACATGTGAAATCTTTGTTCTTCTTCCCCGGCAATGTTATAGCACTGTTTTATACTAAGTTGTACTTAGTCAGGTTAATATTCAACTGACAAAAGTAGTTATGCACCTAGTGTTCACTTTTGGAAGCAAAGTGTAAATTTGACCATTCAGGTGTTTTAAGTGGGCTTAATCCAGTCGAAAGGTGCCATTGTCTCAGTGAGACAGATTTGCTTTGTATGACCTACACTGAGATAAATCCAGTTTTAAATTGCTCCATTTGAACTGGATGAGGCCCATTGCCCCCTTCCCCCTCATCACTATCATTCATACCAGAAACCAGCACCGTAATTTTGCACTATGGACCCCACTGAACAGGCCTTCATGGATGCAGTTTGGGGGCACAGAGTTGGTTTTCTATCTTTAAGGTGGCATTTGTTATCAGTTTGTCTTCTAATCCTTTTGAAAAAGCTAAAATCGAGATATTAGTTTTTCTCATTCTTAGAGACAATAATGTAGGGAGAACAACATTAAGTGTCAGTGTAATTATGACAAGCTTATATCTATAACTTCTTTATCAACCAATCAATCTCCTTTATTGGCATTAAAAAGTGCATCGTATACATGGATCAGAACACAGCACAGTTAATGAAACGTAGTAGGAGATACTTTAGGATAAAACTGTCCAGGCATCATGAGATAGAAGATGGCTTTCAGGACCTATGGTGATGTAATTTCATAGCGTCACTCAAAAATCTTGCCACATTCTCCACGACATCATTACAGTGGTACCTCGGTTTAAGAACAGTCCATTTTAAGAACGATATGGTTTACCAACTCCACAAAACAGGAAATAGTGTCTTGGTTTGAGAACTTTACCTTGGTCTAAGAACGGAATCCGAACGGTGGAAGGGCACCGGCGGTGGAAGGCTTCATTAGGGAAAGCCCGCCTCAGTTTAAGAATGGTTTTGGTTTAAGAACGGACTTCCAGAACGGATTAAGTTCTTAAACAAAGGTACCACTGTATTAGCTTTTATAGCTTGTATCTGAAACTCAGCGAAATTATGGATGACTCTTTTAAAAAATAAAATAAAAAGCTTCCTATCATGTACTTTACATCCAGAAATTCACCTTAGATTTGAGTGTGGCCAGATTTTAATATTTTCTATCTTGTATTTCTTTTAAAAAATAAAAAGCTGTAAAATGATTTCCCTCATTCTGAAAGGGGGAAATATTACACAGGAGACTTTTTAAAGTATCCTCCAAATATCCCATTTTTCAGTTTGAAAAACTGTGTGTGGTGGTGGGGGGAGAAGGGGAATCTTCCATAGAGAAAATAAAAAAGGATTTCCAATGGAGCGGTTTTCTGTGCCTTCCTGTCCCTAGGAACAACTGCAGTGCCTCCCAATCCAAGCATAGGCCATGATCCCTTGATACAGCCTCTTCAAGCAAGGGCTTTCCTACTAAATAAGGACCCTCACATCCAAACATCTTCATATGGATGCCCTGCTTAAGATACGCAGAGAGGAGTTTCCACATCACAACATGCATCAATTTGGGCTGAATTTGGGTGCCACCTGTACCATATATCCAGCCCACAGAATCTTTGTCCAGGGGATACCTGAGATATATCTGCAACCACCTTCGGTCAGGGATGGATCATAAGCCACCTGAGGTCTCATCCCCCACCTGTGGGACCTTCAACTAGCAAGGATGGGGGAGATCTGCACCAGCAGTGATGTAAGCTGAGCAGAGAGGTGTCTCCATCCAGTCAAACCCCCTCTACACATACGCATAAAAGAGGGGGGTGGATTGGATTTCATCCCTAGTTTCAAAGTTCAGAGTTTATCACCCGTCTAATTGTTGTGTTTCTGTTTCTTGCTTCATTTCTTAGAATTCAAGCCAAGCCTTTCCATGTGGTTCTGAACATTTACCATACCCTCTGGGAAGCAGAGAGGGAATTACTACAGAACCTTTATTGAAGAAGAAGGGTATAGACTTAACTGCAGTGACCTTTGCCGTTGAGAACACGCATACAGTAGCATTTGTTGGGACATCGGACGGCAGAATCCTGAAGGTAACCTCAGTGTCTTAAATGCTTTCTTCTTGTTGTTGTTGTTTAAAAAAGAGGCGTGGCCTATTTTTGCAATATAAGAAAGCTATGGCCAGAATGAATCTGCCATAGATATAAGGTTTATCCAGTATGTTGCTTGACTTTTAAATGGAACAAACTTTCAATAAAACATTTCATGAAGTAAATCCGATAAGCATATTCAAACAATTTGTTTATATGTATTGTGGCAATAGTGACGTATTGAACCCCAGAATTAAAAGTAATCATAAAAAATAACCATTCCTGAACACCATGAAATCAAAATATGTGAGCATATTTCAACCCAAAATCAATAAAACCATGTTCAAATACAGTGGTACCTCAGTTTATGAACTAAATCTGTTCCTGAAGTTCTTCCTTAAACCGAATCTGTTCTTAAACCGAGGTGCACTTTCCCTAATGAGGCCTTCACTACCGGTGCCCTTCCACCATTCGGTTTCTGTTTGTAGACCGAGGTAAAGTTCGCAAACCGGAACACTACTTCCAATTTTGCGGAGTTCGTAAACCGAATCGTTCGTAAGCAGGACTGTTCTTAAACTGAGGTACCACTGTATGTCCTTCTCAAAGCTGTTCCTGTGTGTGCATTAAAATTCAAATAAACATAAACCCATTAAAGGTAAAGGTAAAGGTACCCCTGCCTGTACGGGCCAGTCGTGTCCGACTCTAGGGTTGTGCACCCATCTCACTTAAGAGGCCGGGGGCCAGCGCTGTCCGGAGACACTTCCGGGTCACGTGGCCAGCGTGACGAAGCTGCTCTGGCGAGCCAGCACCAGCACAGCACACGGAAACGCCATTTACCTTCCCGTTATAAAGCGGTACCTATTTATCTACTTGCACTTAGGGGTGCTTTCAAACTGCTAGGTGGGCAGGAGCTGGGACCGAAAGACAGGAGCTCACCCTGCCGCGGGGATTCGAACCGCCGACCATACAATCGGCAAGTCCTAGGCACTGAGGTTTTACCCACAGCGCCACCCACGTCCCTTATAAACCCATTAGCCTGGCAGAAACCTGGAACGCCTCCCATTTGTTGCCGTTGTTATTTAGTAGAGTTAGGGCAACCAAAGTCTTCATTTAATCAAAGCCTGATAGAGTTCTGCCTCATACTAATGTATCCTTTTTGTCCCATTCCCAACAGATAACTATAGCCATTGACGATGAGCTATATTGCTGCTCTTCCTTGTTTCCTTGTATGACCAGTTCACTGCTGTGTTTGAAATGGGAAAGCTATGGTTTGTGCAAACTACATTTGGCCTACGGACTAAAACTGGGAACCCACTTTGAATAATGTTTCCAATTACGACTTGCAAGCAAATGATTTGCGCATACCAGAGCTTGATAGAACAGCAAACGCTACTAGCCTGCCAAGAGCAAGGAAGTCAAGGGGCATATTGGAGCACTTGCAAGAAAAGGAGCTCATGAGCAGAACGCTCAGACCCAATGGCAAAGCGAGTTAATTTCATTAGCAAATGAAAAAGTAAGAGGGGTTAGAATATGACCAGGCTAACAGCAAGGTCTCTTGAGTATAAACCCTTAATAGATATGTTGGAGGGGGATTTCCAGCCGGTGGCAGAGGACAGAGTGACTCCAGGAGACATAGGTGTAAAAACCCAAACTAAAACGAAGACTTTATTACTGAGCAAATAAACACAAACTCTGGTGGATGTTATTCCTGCAGGCAGGCAACAAAACTCAGCTTTTTTCCTTTATAGCAACGGTCACCTGCAGCCAATTAATCCCAGAAACTTCTTAAAGGTATACACACATGTTTCTGTGCCGAATGTCCTCTAACACCCCCTCTCATTCAAACAGAAACAATAGTATTTTAAACAGAACAGAACATATTTACATATCACACACAGCAACTCTTGTTTATCACCCTTTCCTTTAGTGTACAAGCAGTTATCAGCTAAGCTTCTTTTAAAGCCAAGATTTTTTAAAGCATTATCAAGACACTCGCTCCAATTTCTAGCTGACTGTTTGAGCCCATAAATTGCTTTGTTCAGCCTATATACAGAATTCTGTTCTCCTGCCTCAAAACCTGGCGCTTGATTCATAAAAATTTCTTCTTGCAGATTTGCGTTAAGATAAGCTGTTTCAATATCAAAATGGTTTACCTTAAACCCACGTTGTGCTGCAAGAGCTAGCAATAAGCGTACACTTTCACTCCTTGCAGTAGGAGAAAAGGTTTCATCAAAGCTTTCACCTTTTCTTTGAGTAAAGCCTCGTGCTACCAGTCTGGCTTTGTACTTAACATCACCATCTGCCAAGTGTTTTATTTTATACACCCATCTACAGCCCACTGTCTTTTTTCCTTCTGGCAATGGCTCAATGGTAAAGACATTGTGTTCTGCTAAAGATTTCATTTCTGCTTTCATTGCATTTTTCCACCTTACTATTTCCTGGTGTGGTAACTTTAAAACTTCCTCATAATCACGAGGTTCCTTTTTCACATCAACAGTTTTAACTTCTTGTATAGTAAACCTTTCTGGAGGTACCCCCTTATTGCTTCTTTGTGACCTTCTAACTTGAACACTCTCCCCCTCTGAACTATCTTCCCCTTCTGATTTATCCTGGTCAGGAGAAATTGGTTCAGCTTTAGGAGATTGTGTACTGGGATCCTCATCCCCTGAATCCTCATCACTGTCACTTTCAGAACTTTCTTTAATTTGTGGCTTTTCTTCCTCAGATTTCACAAATTTATCTGTATCATCAGAAGATAACACAACTTCTGAATTTCCATGTAAACGAACCCAACCATCTTGCTCACAAAACTCTGCATGTCTTGATATTACAACTCTGCCACGCCCTAGTGCAAAACGATACCCCTTTGACCAAGTTTGATAGCCAACAAACCTAAGTTTCTTTGCCTTGGGCTCTCCTTTCCTTCTCTGTCCTTTTGGGATGTGAACCCAAGCCCAGCAACCAAAAGTTTTAACATGGTCCAAAAAGGGTTTTTTTCCATAAAGCAAAAAATGAGGGGTGTTGTTTATGGTAGAATGAAACAATCTGTTCTGTATGTAGTTAGCACACAGAATTCCTTCTCCCCAATACTTTCTGGATAGGCCATAATCACATAGCATTGAATCTAGCATTGTTTGTAAAGATCTTATCTTGCGTTCTGCAACTGAATTTTCTTCAGGCGAAAAAGGACACGATTTACGGTGACTAATACCACGCTTTTTCAACCAAACTTGGAGGGCTTCAGACATGAACTCGCCTCCACGGTCACTTTGCAACTGGGTAACTTTGTAAGGAAACTGCCTTTCTATATAGTTGATCCAATTCTTAATCAGTTGACCAGTTTCACTTTTGTGTTTTAACAAATATACCCAAGTATACCGGCTATAATCATCCACAAGAACCAAAAAAAACTTTGCTCCTCTTTCAGACTCTGCAAATGGCCCACAAAGGTCTGAATGTACTAAAGCAAATGGCCTCTTGCTAATTCTAGTACTTTCAGGATAAGACCCTCGCTTACTTTTAGACTCCTTGCAGGTATTGCAGTCTAGAAAAACTGAACATTTTTTCATTTTAATTCCCTTGCTTAATTCTGGCATTTTTGCAATACTGCAGAAATTGGCATGCCCCAAACGACGATGCCACAGATGCTGGCACTCATCATGCAAGGCTCTATTACAGGCTTTAACACATGCCCCAGACTCACTTACTAGCTGGTCTTTCAAAACAAACAAACCATTTTGTAGTGACGCTGTAACCACTTTTCCAGCTTTCTCTATTCTACAGCCTGAACCAGAAAAGGTTACTTTAAATCCCTGCTTAACAAGACTTGTAACTGAAAGCAAATTATTTTCTAAACTTGGTACACATAAAACATTGGTAAACTTGGTACTTAAACAGTTGATATTCACACTACCCTTTCCAGCTGACTCATGCACTGTTCCATCAGCTAGTACTACATTTACAGATTTACAAGGCTGCTTTTCTACAAGGGTTTGTGCAGACTTAACAAAAATGTTTGTCGCTGCTGAGTCTAAAATCCAGTCTTGTCCAACGTCGTGACTGGTGCCTCGAACTGCTGCAGAAACATACTGGACTCGACTCTTCCTGTCTCCTCGCTTCCCAGCAAACACAGGCCGCCCTTGTCTTGTATTTTCTCCCACAGACACAGTGCACTGTCGTACTAAATGCTTGGTTGACCCACAACGATAGCATCTTCTAACTGTGAACGCTGCTTCCTCTCTGTGGTCTACAACCTCTTTAGGTTGCCGCTCCTCATCAGTTGCATATCTTTTACTGGACTGCCTCCCATTTCTGGAGTTACAGTGAGGGGTTGTGGCCTTCCTCTCATGGCGTCTTTCCTCCTCATCAAGCAAACGCCCAGTTAAGAAATGCATTGTTAATTGGCTTTCTGGGATTGCTTCCAGAGTCATCACTAAATTGTCCCATGACTCAGGAAGTGAAGACAGCACAATATAAACTTTTCTCTGTTCAGAAAAATGTTCCCCAAGTTCATTTAACTGTGAAAATAAATCACGCATTCTTTGAAGGTGTGTTGAAACACATTCACCCTCACTTAGTCTGGCTTGGTACAGAGCTCTCATTAGAGTAATTTTGCTGCCAGCAGTGTCTCTAATATGTATCGCTCTCAGTGCTTGCCAAATCTCACTTGCTGTTTCAAGGTCTCGCACATGAGATAACTGAGACTTCTCTAAACTCAAAATTAAATTGGCATAGGCTTTGTCCTCCAGCCTTTGGTCTGCTTCATCTACTTCTTCATCCTCCTCTTTTACAGGAGGGTCAACAATAACAGTCCAACATTGTTCTTTCTTTAAAAACGCCTGCATCTGTAAACTCCATGACATATAATTGGACTTTCCCAGTTTCTCTACTGGAAAATAGGAAGCTCCCCCTTGAGCTCCAGCTCCAAGTCCAGCCATGGCGCCACCCAGCTTTCAGCTTTCCACTCAGTTCTTACTCACACGTGGCTTGAAAAAAGGTTCGGCTCCTGGTCCCAAACAGACACTCCCTGCCGATGGCTTCACACAGCCAGCTGCTTGAGAAACGCTGAGTTGCTTCCAGTCTCTGGGTTCTTTTCACGCTCTGTCTCTGCCCACTCAGGACTGGGGACTGGGCCCATAACCTGTTGGAGGGGGATTTCCAGCCGGTTGTAGAGGACAGAGTGACTCCAGGAGACATAGGTGTAAAAACCCAAACTAAAACGAAGACTTTATTACTGAGCAAATAAACACAAACTCTGGTGGATGTTATTCCTGCAGGCAGGCAACAAAACTCAGCTTTTTTCCTTTATAGCAACGGTCACCTGCAGCCAATTAATCCCAGAAACTTCTTAAAGGTATACACACATGTTTCTGTGCCGAATGTCCTCTAATACAGAATAAGGATCAGAAATTATGAATGAATATATTGAGTGTAATGTTGAAACTTGTGTGACTCTTGTGGGCCCTTCCAGATGTACAGTTGTATGATTCTATGATCTTAATCATAACATATGAAAAAATGGCAAAGAGCTTTGCCCAGACAGAAACTGATAATTTCGCCAGAATAGAGCGAGATTTTGAAAAGGCATTGATGTTTTGGAAGAGCAGTGCTCCTTTCTTGCAGCTCAACCATTATTTCTCGGAGTGGTTTTGTTTTAAAATGAAAATGTCTAAATGTGTTTCAACTTAAATACGTTTTTTATTTACTGAAATAGCTAAGATAATGAATCTGTATTCCAGGTGTTTCTGTCGAATCCTGAAAAGGAATATGCTGGAGTCCTTGTTGAAAAAAACAAGCCTATCCAGAAAGATCTCGCTCTAGATGCTCTCCAAGAGAACTTGTATGTGATGACTGCAAGAGAGGTACAAAATGCTTGGAAAGAGCAATGAAACTTTAAAGATCAAGTTCAATTTGAACATGTTTCTCATGGCATATCTGCAGGGTGAGGTGGACCTACAGTTGTGTTGCTAAACGGAAATCACAAGAAATCACAGGAATAGTCCCTTGAGGCATATTTTTGCCACACACACACATACAAAATCAGAAGTTAGCCAGTGTTCCCAGAGCTGGCACTCTGCACATGCCCCAAGACAATGCGATCTCTTTATTTTCATTCCGCAGGCAACTGTGCAGACCCATTGCAAGTGCACAGAGAAAGCAACCTTTAGCGTAGCTTCCTTCATGGAAAGCAAATGGCTCGTCCTCATTAGATAGAGATGTGAAGGAACTCTGGGTGTAAAGCAGCAGCTAAGTATGCACTTGGCCCAAAGCAAAAAGCCCCAGGAGATCTCCTGGTGTAATGTGTAGTTCGGCTTGGCCTTAGCCCGAGTCCAGCATGCAAACTATTGGACCACATGGCCTATCATTGGTAATTCTGGTGATTTGAAAGCTGGTTGTCGTGTGCTTTCTGGGACCAGAGTTATGGCACCAAGAACCCTACGATGTATAATATAAATATATATATTGAACAGAATTTGCTGCATCTCCAAAATTAAGAGCAAATTAAGAGTTTTTTTAAACAAAAACAAAAACAAAAAACAAACAGCAGAGGATGACATTTACCTCAGTTTATTTAAAAGGCCTGGGTGAACAAAGGCCTGACACCAAAAAGATCACAAAAGTGTGTGCCAGGCAAACCTCGTTGGGAAGGCTGTTCTATAACTGAGGTGCCACCACTGAAAAGACACTGGTGGTGGCCTGCCTCAGTTCATTCAGTAGAGGTGCTGGGGACTGGGGTTTAAATAGGAACAAATGACAGAAGGTAGTCTTTCAGGTAACCTTGTCCCAAACTATGTAGAGCTTTAAAGGTTAAAAACAGCCATTTTAATTTGTCCCTGAAATGGACTGGGAGCCAGTACAACTGACAGAAGCATTGTTGTAATATGGTCAAACCACCCAGTGCCTGTTAATAATCTTGCATCCCAGTTATAGACCAACTAAAGGTTTCCAGGGTGCTTTAAAGACAGCCCCAAATACACCAGACAACAATAGTATTGTGTAGAGGTTGGGAAATTCCTCCCCTGCATAGACTCTTTTGTTTTATGTGGCACATAAGCAGATGCAGAAGCTCTGAGGCTTAGTAGTATTCCCTTTCAAAAATAGAGCAGCACAAAGTAGTCATTATTCCTGCTAGCTTTGTAGCTCAGGGTCTGTTCCTTCATCTTCTGCTCAGCAAATTCAAAGCGTCATTAAAAATCGTCTACAGGTGCTTGTTTGGGCAATAGGCATGATTAGTATAATCAACACTGCGAAAGGATTCTCTTCAAGATTTTTTTAAAAAGCAAGAAGAGTAGATTTAAATTTAATTTGTAGTTCTCTAATGACTTACAATTTAGTGCTAGGGTTATTGAGTGATTTTTTTCACATGACTATGAGTGTTTTGCCAGCCTACATCTGGGCCTGTTCACATGTTTCACTGACCCTTGTAATCCATGAGGTGTGATATTTTGAATCCCTTTTATCCAGAGTTCATTGTATATTACTGGAAATTGCAGTGTCCCTTTAACCTTAACTACTTGGGGGAACCAATGAACCCAGATTTGGGTTCAAAGATAATAACATTTCTGCATGCAGGAACCTGGAGTTAAGACAGAAGGCAGAATTGGGATTCAAATGACCTTAACAGATTGGAGAACTGGGCCCAAACTAGCAGAATGAATTTCAGTAGGGACAAGTGTAAGGTTCTGCACTTAGGCAGGAAAAACCAGTTGCTTGAATATAAGATGTGGGATGCCTGGCTTACCAGTAGTACATGTTAAAAAGATATAAGGGTCTTTGTGGACCACAAGCTTGACTTGAGTAAACAGTGTGATGCAGCAGCAAAAAAAGGGAATGCTATTCTAGACTGCATCGACAGAAGTATACTGTCCTGATCAAGGGAAGTAATAGTCCTCCTCTATTCTGCTTTGGTCAGAGCACTCCTGGAGTCCTGTGTCCAGTTCTGGGCACCACACTTTAAAGAAGGATATTGACAAGCTGAAACGTGTGCGGAGGAGGGTGGTTAGGATGATAAAGGGTCTGAAAGCCAAACCTTATCAGGAACGGTTGAAGGAGCTGGGCATGTTTAGTGTGAAAAGAGAAGACTTAAGAGATATGAAAGCCATCTTCAAATATCTAAAGGGCTGTCATGTGGAGGATGGGGCAAGCTTACTTTCTCCTGCTCCAGAAGCTAGGACCCAAACCAATGGATTCAAGTTACAAGAAAGCAGATTCCAAGGAGACATCAGGAAGAACTTTCTGACAGGAAGAGCTGTTCGACAGTGGAACAGACTCCCTCAGAAGGTGGTGGAGTCTCCATCATTTGAGGCTTTTAAGCAGAGGTTGGATGGTCATCTATCGTGTATGAGTTTGTTGAGATTCCTGCGTTGCATGGGGTTGGTCTAAATGTCCCTTGGGATCCCTTCCAACTCTACAGTTCTTTGATTTTATGAATAATTACCTGCTCCACTGGGGAGAGTCCCATGGACTGCAAGAAGATCAAACGTATCCATTCTTAAGGAAATCAGCCCTGAGTGCTAACTGGAAGGACAGACCTGAAGCTGAGACTCCAATACTTTGGCCACCTCATGAGAAGAGAAGACTCCCTGGAAAAGAACCTGATGTTGGGAAAGATGGAGGGCACAAGGAGAAGGGGACGACAGAGGACGAGATGGTTGGATAGTGTTCTCGAAGCTACCAGCATGAGTGTGACCAAACTGCGGGAGGCAGTGGAAGACAGGAGTGCCTGGCGTGCTCTGATCCATGGGGTCACGAAGAGTCGGACACAACTAAATGACTAAACAACAACAACCACTGGGGCAAAGGAGAGGAGATGTGTGGACATGCTTGAAACATGAGCTAGATATGAGTCTTGTGGCTGTGTGCTTCAAATATTGAGAGGTAGATTGTGGATCATTGGAGTCATGACAGAGGGAGGGAGGTAAGCAAGCTTCCATAGATCACTTTAGAGCCCTGTCTTGTATAGTGTCCAAGGAAGCAACCCGAGTTATTTATAACATCCCGCAAATGGTTCAAAAGTAGTCAAAGGCTCCTTGCTGCCCAAAAGAAAAGGCAAGGGGAAGTGATAGTAAAGGAAAGGAGCTCTCTGGTGTTGGAGCAATCTGTTGTCCTGGATGTCCCACAGGGATCAAGCCAACAACTGTGGAACAACCAGATTGAGGAAGACTAAAGACATGCAATGGAATAAGCATCCCTCTAGGGCAGGGGTCTGCAACCTTTAAGACAAAAAGAGCCACTTGGACCCGTTTCCGAAGGGAAAAAACCTGGGAGCCGCAAAACCATTGCGACATTTAAAGCATGCGCGCCGCTGCCCTCCGATCTGACAGCGGGCGGGAAGGTGACGTCGGGATGGTGCGTGACTAAGGCACGCACCGCCCCCATGCGACATCACAGCCAGTACAGCGCCCGCCACAGTGGGGAGTGTTGGGGCGTACAATGCGCCTCCTCCCCTCGCTAGTATCCGCCCCAGAGCCGCGGCAAAGGTGTAAAAGAGCCACATGCGGCTCCGGAGCCGCGGGTTGCAGACCCCTGCTCTAGGGGAAAGAGGAAGGCGAAGGAAGACAAAAGGTGACTTACGTTCAGTAGAAGGGAATGCTAGAGTGACACTGATGCCACAGGCCAAAGCAGATTTTTTGGATGATAAATGACAATACAAGTGGCGTTTGGGAATATACGTAAGAATTGTGACCCAATAAAAGTCATACTGTATCTGGAACATAGGTATAACAGGAATGTCCCTCATGAAGAGCAGAGATAGATGAGCTTAACCTTTTGATATGATAAGAGAGAGAACAGTCCAAACAGAAAGAGGAAAGAAACTTCAGGTGCTACAAAACAAGGTTTATTTAGTGCCCAATGTGTTTCAGAGAAAATATTTTCACAAGGATACTGTAAAGTTGCAAATGCCACATAGAACAGAAAGAATGACTGGTACAGAATCAATACTGAGTGAGATACATTAAGTTTCTTTGTGTAAGTATATTACAAGCATTCAAAGCAATACTGCTACAACTTGTTTGTTTGAACAAAACCAAGTTAGAAACAAACCCCTGAAAATGAAACAATCCCAAATTCACTTGTGGGGTGGGGGAGTTTGGAGTTGGTTCCATTTTCATTTCTACCATTTATCCTTCTCTTATTTATGTTTTTGAGCTCTCATACTGCCCTTGAGAGAGAAAATTTCACCAAAATCCCATTAGAGTCTAAACACTGTTTTGAGGCACCTGAATTTACCTCTATCCTCTCTCTCTCTCTTTGGCCTGCTAGTGGTATTACCCCAGTTTTGTTGTTGCTTTTTTTAAGTTATTGTTGGAACAATGCCAATTACAAGAAAAGGAAGCATCTACCTCGTCAGGGCTAATTAATGACTGAATAGAGACATTTGCTTGTGTTAGCAGTTGGCAACTGGCTTCTATCTTAAATTAGGCACTGGCATAAATCCAGAGTTCTTGCACCTCTCAATCCTATGAGGCTTTCAATAACAGCAGGCAACCAATGCTAAAGTTTGCTTCATCTGCACACTTGGAAAAATCCCACACTCATTGCACCGTCACCTGTAGAGTGAACCTAAAGGAGCCAAAAGGCTTTGAGACATGTGAACTGACCACCTTGGTAACAGAAAGCCATTCCTTGATATTAAATTGCTTATGAATGTATCCCCAATGAAGCTAAACAAACGAAATTCTAAACACAATCCCTTGGGGATAAAATTGCCCTGAAACTTCCAGGTGTTTAGCGTCATGGACCACATCCAATATCAACAGGTAGATTCGAATCTGAGCATGTATAACATGCTTTGAATGTCCTATTTAAAATATTTCTGTGCTTTTAGATAACTGTTTGGTATAGTTAGAAATACTATTCCTTGAGGAATATGCAAACATGGCATCATAGTAACTTTTGAAACTTTTTTGGTGATGAAAAAAATTAAAAGGTAAAGGAACCCCTGGACGGTTACGTCTAATCAAAGGTGACTATGGGGTTGTGGCGCTCATCTCGCTTTCAGGCGGAGGGAGCCGGCGTTTGTCCACAGACAGCTTTCCGGATCATGTGGCCAGCAGGACTAAACCGCTTCTGGCGCAACTGAACACCATGACTGAAACCAGAGTAATAATCAGTGTTAGAAACTGAGATATGAAAGCTAGGAGCTAAACGGCACCTTAAACCTAGGTTATAGGTGCAACAGTGGAATGTCTAGGCACCCTTTTTTATAACAAGAATACAAAGCTGAAAATGAATGAACTGCAGCTAAAATATTATGTTTTCACATGGTCTAGTCGTTGTCCGGCCACCCCGCTAATATTCTTAAGAGGGTCTCTTCTCCAGTCTTCAGAGAGTAGCTGGAAGTGGGGAGGCAGAAAGGGTCCTCCTTTCCTTCCACTCTGCAGTTTTAATCTGAAATCTTAGGCGCAGTACTGCGCCCAGAGCTCAGAAACTGCTCACACTAATGAAATTCCCTGTTGCAAAATGCACCTAGAACAATGGGAGCTTTGAACACTGGTAATAATGAGTAGTGTGCATTTAGGTGTGTGGGTGTGCGTGTGTGCTTAGTTTGGCAAATTTTAGCTTTGGAGTCGGGGGTTTGTATCCGGAAAACAGCAGAGGGGAAAAGGATTAAAGCACACTACCTCAGCATCACTCTTACAGAGTGCAGACACAGCTGCTTTTAATTTATTTGTTTTGGGGTTTTTAATGCTATATTTTTTTAGGAGAGGTTCTCAGTGGCCTCAAGTGGTTTGACCCCAAACATGACCTTAAGTTTACTGCAAATATTGATGATGCAAGCAAATTCCTGTGAGCTCAGGACAAATTGTGAATTGGCTAGGGGTACAAAAATATGAAAAGCATATTAGAGTTATATAATCTCTTCATAACCAAAGCACTTTCCCGTAATTTATTATTAGATGTATCTACTCTTATTAGGTGTTTCGCTTGCCTGTCCAAGAATGTACGAGTTACTCAACCTGTGACCTGTGCATTCAAGCCCGGGATCCGTATTGCGGCTGGTGTGTAACAGAGGGAAAGTAAGTATTCCATGCTACAGGGATATATTGTATTATGCATGTTATTTCTTTTCAGAATATCATGTATGCTGAATGATTTCTTCAAAGCATTTGTACCAGAACTGGGGAAAACTCTTCATCACAAATTACCACAGTGTAAACATATAATGAGCAGCAGGGAGGAAGCTAATTTGCATATTTTGTCTGTATAGCTTGTATATAATTTGCATGAAAATGGTGGTTGCCAAGCCACAGCTGGTGAATATCTAGCATTTATCTGGTGATAGCCTTATTCTAGTATTTTAACTCTAAACATTCCTTAATACAGTCCCTCCAGCTGAAAAACAGCACTTGGGAATCTTTGGATGGTGGAGGGAAGAGAACCATACTGAATTTCAATTTTGCTTTTAGGTTTCTGATGTTTTAAGGGTACAAAGTTTTTGTCTGCTACCGAGAGACATGCTGGAATTTATTATATTCAGGGTGTTGTGGCAAAAAGTTGCCTTCCATTTCTACCAAACACACATTGACTATGGATGAGGTAGATTTTCCATTTCCTTTTTCACGATATACACCTTCAAGTCAGTTGAGATTCCTGGTAGTGATTATTTCCTACCAGGGTGTCAGGACTTTATTGACATGCTAAACATACAAATTTTAAAGACAGAGAAAAAGAAAAGAACAAAAAACACAGCACTCTTGTTTGCTTAGCCCTCCGTGCTCCCAAGCTGGAAGCTATGAGAAGTCAAAATAAACCAAGATAAAAGACGAGATCGTCAGTGTTTTAAGAGGAAATCATCTCATAACGTTGAAGATTTCTCTAAAACGCTTTCTGCTGCTGTAACACGCCTAAATAGCAAAATTAAATTGTGTTGGTCTGTCATAGCTTTTCTTCAGAACCACAACACATAGGAATGGTCCAAATTGGACCATTGTTCCATGTAGCTCAGATCGGCTGTGGTTTCTCCTGCAATTCCAGCAGGAGTCATTCATGAACTTAAGTTAGTCACGTCCATCGCCATTATTATTACTATTATTATTATTATTATTATTATTATTATTATATTATTATTATTATTATTATTAGGTTTTCTTTTAAAAAAAACACACTGAAAATAAACAACTTAGAATAAAAAATAAAAAGTGAGAACGTGAAAAAGCGGGGTGGGGGGAACGTTTTCCAAATCACTATAAGGATTAACAATTACAATTCCATATACTCTGGCTTCTCTTCAGATTGGTATAACTCTTTTGCCTTTTACATCCATTGTCTTCATTGTCTACTCCAGGTTGGGCTGAGATTGGATGCAACTCAGCGATGCATTATTCTTGCTGCTATTGGGAGTATGTTTTGGGATTTTATTGTTTTGGGATTTTATTGTTACATGGGAAATTTTATTCCCTATTTATTGAGGTGTTTTAATTACCGGTAGCTGATTGTTTATAACCATTTACATTTTGTTATATTTCTGCAACTGGAAGAGCGACTTACGTAAATAATTCGATGTTGTCAGCCACCCTGACCGTGACTTATACTATGCAAAGGCACCATACAAATAAAAGATGCTGATGAGCTGAAAAGAGATCAAGCTCGATACATGGATTTCCAAATTTGTGGCCTTCCTTTTCCTTTTATTATTGCTTTTAATTGCTTATTTTGAGCTACTGGACTTCTCATACCTCTTATGAGGTGAGAACACAAACAGCTCATTGAACTTGAAATCTTTTGCAAGGTATTATTTGGGGAACATCGCCACCTGTGACTGTTCTTTTTGTTCTGAAATTGAGAAGTTGAAATGGAAAGTGAGGTTTTTTTTTCTTCTGAAATTAAATTATAGGCCCTCACCTGGGCCTATCATTGAACACACTGGCGTAACTGTTATACCTCCGAAGTAGGCTTAGCATTTTCTGAAGGAAAGCTTTTGCATGGCTGGAGGCTTATTTTTAAATAAGTAAAGGGTGGTGAAGATGAGTCTAAGTCAGTCTCCTCTGCTTCAAACTTCCAGGTTAATTAACCCCATGGCAGAACCATGTGGGAGTTTGTGATATGAAGTGCATGCTACTGGCATACAAGGTTTACTTAATTACAGGAAAAAGGAGATAGGTTTCAGGAATCCTACTTCCACTGCAAACATCTTAACTGCAGCAGTAAAATTGCCTCAAAGCTTATCATGAAGCCAAACGAAGAATAACCCCTCTTTATATACATACTTGAAATGCAGAGGAAACCACACAATTTAATTTGAATGAGAGGCTGACTACCTATGAATGCAAAGGCATATTTGCATATTGCCGGGTTGGGGGGATCTCAGCTTTTCTCTAAGACTTCTCATGGTGACTCCTGACCTCATTATTAAAGACTTTCAAAGGTCTTTGTCAGCAAACAGCCAGTTTTGATCACATACACTTACAGACAATTAAGACTCCAAGTGTCTAAAGAGGACCCCCTCCCCACAAAAGAGCCCAGGGAGCATTGTACGCTTGGAGGCAATGAAATGCTGGCTGGCTTTGGGTAGGGTGGGGGTGGATGGAGACTAGAAATCTTTGGGAAATGGAATGGAGTGTCCTAGAATAGGGCGTGATTGGAATCATGAACAGGTACAAGACATACTGCAGAAATTTGTTGTGGGTCCAAATGTTAGAATGAGAGTCTCTAAGTCAGTCCAAAACCTTCTTCAGTGACACACACACATACACCCTACACACACACACACACAGTCTGGGCACTGGATTCAGAATTGGAATTGCTTTCCAGAAATCCACACCATGTGTTTATTTGTTTAAAAAACCAAAATACAGTCATATCTCGGGTTACAGATGCTTCAGGTTGCGTTTTTTGGGTTACAGACCGCCGAAACCTGGAAGTACCGGGACGGGTTACTTCCAGGTTTCAGCGGTTGCGCATGCACAGAAGCGCTGAGTCGCAACCCACGCGTGTGCAGACACACCACTGCGGGTTGCGAATGTGCATCCCGCATGGATCATGTTTGCAACCCGAGCGTCCACTGTAAACAAGCTTTATTTAAATCATTAAAAAGCAGCAGAAAAATATTGGAACCCAATGCAGATATCTATAATTTCAACAAGGGGGAAACGAGTTCAAGGATATTGGAGTTACAGAAAGCGGGCAAACAATAAAATAAAATAATAATTTCCCAGCCATTGTTGTCATACACAATATCTAGGCCTGGTGTTCTTTGGGAGCTGCAGTACCAGTCACAAAATGAAGGCTGCAGATCCACAGCAGATGATATATGTTTCATGAGGCACCAAATTCCTAGAGGTCCTAGGCCTTTCCAAGGACTGCAGCTGCCAATGATCCGATATTTGGCTCTTTACTCTCCCGCCGCCCCAAACAACTGAAAGGAAAAGGTTCTGAGTTCAGCACAGGCCTCCCAGTTGAACTGCCGCAAGCCACCGAATTGCATTTTTTTGCTACTAAATTATCTGCTCTGGTTATGTTTTCTTTCAAATGCAATTTTGGGAATTGCAGTCAGCATGACTTTATTTTTATTTTATTTTTTCAAAGTTAGGGCTCACCTGTGCCATACTGTAAGCAATAGTTGTATTGATGGAGAAAGGATGTAGTTATAGAACTCATGAGTTGTAGGAACTCCTGTAGACGATACCTGGTTCAGATTACCAGCATTTCCAGATAGGAATTGTAAAGACTCTTCTATGAAACCCTGAGAACCACTGTCGGTTAGCAGAGGCGATATTGTGTAAGTTTAGTGTAGGCAAATACTGAGCTACTAGTTTTTCATTGACACAAAACGATGCATTTGATGAAACCGGCTCTAGCCATAGAAGCTTGGGGCCACAACAGATCTGTCAGTCTTTCAAGATGTCGGAAGACTCCTTGTTGTTATCCATTGTTATGCAGTGTGTTTGCTGCACTTCCCCTTCATGATAGTTTACATTTCAGGAAGGCATGTCAGTAAAATATTTAGCCATCCAGAGACCGCAATAGGTATCCTTCTGTTGCTCTCTCTACAATTCTGCTTGGCACCTCTGCATCTACTGGATTCAGTATAATGATGGAGAGAACCTGAAAGTGGTTTCATATTTCAAGAATTTTCCTTGAGTTCACTTTCCCAGCAGCAGTGGGGAATAGTCAATCTTATAGCCAAGGATGTATGTTTTCATTTGTGACTCAAGCATGAGCTGACAGAGCTAAGCCTCAGGCTGAGACTAAAGACCTGGTGACAAATTTGCAGCGTGCTAAGGAATAAGCAAAACACTCCAGATTTCCACACTCTGTAGGCACAATATTGTTCCTTAACAGCTAAACTACTTTTCTGTTAACATGTTGCTTGAATACTAGGTTAGGGTCCCCCCCCTCCCCACTTTGTGTACAGTTCATTGAATTTAAGATAAATATTTGAACCTTTGTTGTTGTAATTTGAAAATGCTAACAGGTAATTATCCTGTCATAAAGAATAATAAGTAAACAGAATAGAAGAAAAGAAATATTAAGCACACATTCTATGCCACCTTTCCACCGCCAGTGCTTATGCATTTGAATGCTTTTGTATTTTGGGTTAATGAGTGCGGATTTTTAAAATGGAATTACTTCGGACAACTTTAAATTTTGTTATTTATTCCAGATGCACGAGGAAAAAAGACTGTGCAAGATCAGCTCAGGAAAACCACTGGCTCTGGAGCCCAGATGGCATTTGCCTGAATATTACAAGTGCTTACCCTCAAAATATGAGCCGGGGAGCCACAGGCAACGTAAGTGCAACAGGAGTGTGTGTGTGTGTGTGTGTGAGAGAGAGAGAGAGAGAGAGAGAGAGAATCCATTGTGTGTGGGGTGAGGGAATTGTCCTTGCATATAATTATGTGTGCATTTGTTTTGCAATGTTCTAAAGCAGCGGTTCCCAATTAGGGGTCTGGGAACCCCAGGGGGTCTGCGGAACACACCCAGGGGGTCCGCAGCACCACTCCCTGCCAGGGACTTATTCATCTTGTTAATTGCACAGTGAAAGCCTTCCGCGGATCATCCAGCCTCTACTCACAACCAGCGCCTTCTTGAAGGCAGGGGAAAAACTTGTGAAAGAGTTGCTGGATGGCAGTGAGCTAGGATTGGGCACAAACCTCTGGCACAGTTCCTTAGGTCTCTTGCAGTTGGAGAGGAGAGGGGGGAAAGAGTGCAAACAGCTCACATGCTTATCATTTTTTTAAAAAATGTAAGGGATCCCTTCCCCTTGCCGTCTACTTTTTAACTGAGAAGAACTTCTAATTGTTTTCAAGGACTATCAAGTTTAGAGGACTCTCCCACTGCTCGTAGGTGGGGTTTCAGTGAACCTTTCCTTATGAGTTTGGGATTCATGTCTCATCTTGGAAGTGCAACAGGGGAAATGGCTAAGCAGATTGTCACTATGCTTTGCACAACAGCTCACCTTCTGGTGATTTAGTTTAGTTCTAGGTCTGGGCGATACTTTGTTTTCAACACTGTGATATATCAGCAGCTAAATGGGGGTATATGGAATTTATCTCAGTTGCTGCTTCTGAGATACATGGCCCAGCCCTACACAGAAAGTGAGTCCCGATGCCTCTCAGACTCAAGGGCGAGCTTGAGGAGCATTGGGGCTTCACAGAACTGCTCAGCTGGGGGGTGGAACCCTCCCACCCCCCAGCTGAACAGCCCCGATGCCTCAGAAGGCATCCTGCCCCCCAGCTAAATGGTCTGATTCAGCATGATGTCACTCCCTTTGCTCCTAACACGATAAAACTTGTTATTCTCCTGGTCCACAAGACTCCCAAGGTACACATTGAACAACTTCACACAGGGCTGGGAACCTTTTACAGCTGCATGGGCCAGATCTTTTTCAGGATTGACCTTGTGCTTCAAATTTTGACAGCTGGCCAGGACCACGCACCTGTCAATCACATAACATTATGACATCTCGTGCCAAATAATGACATCTCCTACCTGTCAGAGATGCATGGCTGTCCCCTTTCAAACTCCCAGTCCTAGAGATGGATGCAAGGAGACTCAAAGGCGTCCCAATAGCCCCCGTGCTCCGAGTGCTTCCCCCCCCCCTAGAAAAATAGGTGCTGGTACTCACCAAGAAGGGACGTGGGTGGCGCTGTGGGTTAAACCACAGAGCCAAGGACTTGCCGATCAGAAGGTCGGCGCTTCGAATCCCTTTGACGGGGTGAGCTCCCGTTGCTCGGTCCCTGCTCCTGCCAACCTAGCAGTTCAAAAGCACATCAAAGCGCAAGTAGATAAATAGGTACCGCTCTTGCGGGAAGGTAAACGGTGTTTCCGTGCACTGCTTCGCCAGAAGCAGCTTAGTCCTGCTGGCCACATGACCCAGAAGCTGTACGCCAGCTCCCTCGGCCAGTAAAATGAGCTGTATGCCGGCTCCCTCAGCCACCAAGAAGTTGTTACAGTATGTGCCACACTTTTTAACAACAACAAAAAGAGGTGCCAGCCCTGTGTACCTTGGAGTATCCCCTGATAAAAAGCACCGCATGCTCCCATTTCAGCCTGAAATGGAAGTGCAACGGCTGTCTTAAGGCCTTTGTAAAGTGATGTTTGAAGCATCCACACACACCCTTTTCTTTTAAGTAGCGTCAACTGATGTACCAGTGGGTATGATTTGGGCAAAGTGGCCTCACAGTCCACTTCTGATCTGTGAGCCGGAGTTTCTACACCCCAATTTAAAAGAAGTAATGGAAGTTTCAGACCACCTAAATGTTATGTGTTTGTGTAAATGACAGAACAAGTGCACTGCTTTATAGAATAAAGAAAATGTTCTGCTTGGGGGCGGGAAACAAAGGTGTTTTCTTTTTTTTAATGATTTATTTTAGAACAAGAGGACACACACAGCACTTCCGTACACTCTGTCTATACAGCTAGATTCCCTTTTTCGTATGGTTCATTTATTTGCTACAGGTATGTTACAGTTCCCAAAGGGAAAACTGTCTCAGTTGGGGGGGAAATAGGCCGTACAATTGCTAAAGTCACACAACAGCGGACAAAAGCAGAATGAAACATTAAAGAGAGAGAGCATGCAGATAGCTCGGTGTGTCCTCAAGCATCCGGTCAATTCAAGCAAATTTTTAACCCACCCTGTTTTCTCACCTTCACTCCAGCTGCTTGTTTCCTTATATAACAGAAATAATCAAACACTTGAATGCTCAGTTGGCTATTTTCCCTGAGGCTCACGAAGCCACCAGACATCCCTCTTTGTCAGGAAACTTTTTATTTCTGTCCCCCAGCAGCCCAAAGCTCTACTTCATCTCTCCAATTGTGAATGAGGGTTTTTGGAGGAAAGTTTGTCTTTGTTGCCCTTTCAAAACAAGCGTCTTGATTCTTTCCAGCCTGACTTGTGACTCCTGCTGTGTCCTCCGGCTATTGTTGCAGTGTGGTTAACGTGCTTTAATTATGTTGGAAAAGTTTGAATAACTTCTGTGCTCAATAGATGTTGCATTTGTGCTTTCCAAAAGCCAAAACAAAACAAACCCTGCAGAACACACTCTTTTTTTCTAGCACATTTTAGGACAAGATGACAGAGTGTAATTCCATCTCTGCCAAGCTTTTCGCCAAGGGGAAAAGAAGGGTTTTCAGTTAAGGATGTACTATTTACAGGGGATATTTCTATTTCTACTTCAATGAATCCCCCAGGCTTTCTTCCTGGTGGAATGGGACAGAATGAACAAAGCATGCTATAGGTTCTTATGGAAGTCTGCACCAATCAAGAGTGCTGTTCCACAAAATTTAAATGGTGTGCTTTTCAATCCAATTTACAAAGAACAGCACAGTTTGCAGTATACACAGCAAGTTTGAAATATTTTTAGGGTGGGAGAACAAAATGCCTGCTTCCCCAAACCATAATAGTGTTCAGATTATTATGTTTTTTAAAGTGACCTCCTTCAAAGATAGTTTTTTGCAAATGTTACTCTGCAGGTCCAAATTCCTGGTTAGGTAGCGGAAGCACCACAGCAACACCTGCAAGCCCGCCACTTGCCGGCTAGGACAGAAGTCAGGGTGCAGGCAAATTGTCATCCTCCCTGGTCCCGAAATGACTTACATCAGGCCTCACACACATACCTAGCCCAGCAGTGAGGGTGTTTGGAGTCACTATCATTATCATGCATTTTAAACCAGCTTTGGTCTTGTTTTTATGAACAATCCTCCTTTGGAGGTACTGAAAGGACAGATCTACCGTATTTTTCGCTCTATAGGACGCACTTTTCCCCCTTCAAAAATGAAGGGGAAATGTGTGTGCGTCCTATGGAGCGAAGAAGCCATAGCCCCGCGACCCTCTCCCAGTTGGAGAGGTAATGCGCGGCTGTGGCAGGAGCCTCTATAGCCGTGCGTCACCTCTCCAACCGGGAGAGCGCGCACGCGGGGCTAAAGAAGCCCTCCGCGACCCTCTCCCAGCTGGAGAGGTGACGGGCGGCTATGGCAGGAGCCTCTATAGCTGCGCGTCACCTCTCCAAGCGGGAGAGCGCACGCGCGGGGCTAAAGAAAACCCCCGCGACCCTCTCCCAGCTGGAGAGGTGACGGGCCGGCTATGGCAGGGCCTCTATAGCCACACGTCACCTCTCCAACCGAGGAGAGCGCGCGCGGGGCTAAAAGAAGCCCCCCGCGACCCTCTCCCAGCTGGAGAGGACGCGCGGCTATGACAGGAGCCTCTATAGCCGCGCGTCACCTCAGCAACCGGGGAAGCGCGCGCGGGGCTAAAGAAGCCTCTGCGACCCTCTCCCAGCTGGAGAGGTGACGTGCGGCTATGGCAAGAGCCTCTATAGCCGCGGGTCACCTCTCCAAACGGGAGAGTGCGCGGGGGCTAATGAAGCCCTCCGCGACCCTCTCCCAACTGGAGAGGTGACGCGTGGCTATGGCAGGAGCCTCTATAGCGCGCGTCACCTCTCCAACCGGGAGAGCGCGCGGGGGGCTAAAGAAGCCTCCGCGACCCTCTTCCAACTGGAGAGGTGACGCGCGGCTATGGCAGGAGCCTCTATAGCCGCGCGTCACCTCTCCAACCGGGAGAGCGCGCGCGGGGCTAAAGAAGCCCTCCGCGACCCTCTCCCAGCTGGAGAGGTGACGCGCGGCTATGGCAGGAGCCTCTATAGCCGCGCGTCACCTCTCCAACCGGGAGAGCGCGCGCGGGGCTAAAGAAGCCCTCCGCGACCCTCTCCCAACTGGAGAGGTGACGCGCGGCTATGGCAGGAGCCTCTATAGCCGCGCGTCACCTCTCCAACCGGGAGAGCGCGCGCGGGGCTAAAGAAGCCCTCCGCGACCCTCTCCCAGCTGGAGAGGTGACGCGCGGCTATGGTAGGAGCCTCTCCGCTGCGCGCCTTTCCGCTTCTCCCCAACCTGCTCTTTGGGGCTGGTGGTGGGCTTCCCCCCCGCCAGCCCCAAGGAGCAGGTCGAAAGGAACCTGAAGCCTGGAGAGGAGAGGGGTCGGTGCGCACCGACCCCTCTCCAGGCTTCCAAGGTAGCCGCCTGAAGGCGACTGAACGCACCTTAAACGGCAACTTGTTTTAGAGGGGGAAAACAAAAGGGGAAAATTCTCCCCCTCTCTGCGCAACACCTCCTGCCGCTTCGCTGAAGGGGCGCTGGGCAGAGAGGGGGTGAATTTTTTTTTTCTTGTTTTCCCCCCTCTTAAACAAGGTGCGTCCTATTGTCCGGTGCGTTCTATGGTGCGAAAAATACGGTACATTATGTGTTCTGATCTATGTTGCATTTTGAGGAATGACATTCTGAGGGCTACAGAAGAGAACAGCAAAGTAGGTGCCACAAATCTCCCAATATGTTTGGAATTATTTTACTTTGGCTTTATGGAACAGCTGTCTCTCAAAATACTGATCTTGGCAAGGTGGAGTTTAAGAATATCAGAAGAAATACTCCTATAGGATGTTAGTTCTGGTTCCGTTTTCTTAATAACCTAATAAGGAAAGTTACAGATAGGTAGCCGTGTTGGTCTGCCATAGTCAAAACAAAAAAAATTTCCTTCCAGTAGCACCTTAAAGACCAACTAAGTTAGTTCTTGGTATGAGCTTTCGTGTGCATGCATTTCGTGTTCTGAAGAAGTGTGCATGCACACGAAAGCTCATACCAAGAACTAACTTAGTTGGTCTTTAAGGTGCTACTGGAAGGAATTTTTTTTGTTTTGACTAATAAGGAAAGTAATTTGATTTCATAACTATACTTTAAATTAAATAAATGACTTTATCTCAATTAGAAATATTCCTTTTTTTTTCTCGTTTCTGCATTATCCAGATCGAGGATGTATAAGTGTTGTGTATTCTTAAATGGTTATATTGCTAAGAACTGAATAAAAATTATAAAAATAGATTACTTTAAAATACTATTCTGCTCTCGTGTGTGTGTGTGTGTGTGTGTGTGTGTGTTCTAAAGTGATCTATAGTGCCTAGTTGCATCAGGCAATGTACGTAGTGCTTGCCTAAAGCCATTTTGTCACTCCTTTTGAATGTAGCCCTGATTTCTGTGTTGCCATCCTCTGGCTTGAGGCTTGAACATAAAAAGCTGTGTTTCACAGTCAGACCTTTCTGGTACTGTCTATTCTGGTGGGAGCTCTCCAGGGTCTTTTGCAATCATGCTACTCTTTTTCAACTTGAGATGCTAAACACTACCCTTGAACTATGGCCCCTTAATTACAATAAGGTTGTTAAGAATCCTAGTTATCAGCGAAGAGGACATTATTGTAATATTAAAACATGCGGCACTAGTAAGCTTTCTTCGGGGGGGTTTTCCCACCAGTGCAACACATTTGCTTCCATTCCTTTTTCCTCTTCCTCTCTGCTACCGTCCCTGTTACCCTTCCTCTCTGCCTCCTCCATGTAGGAATCCACGGTTTTTTCTTATTCGTTGCTTTCTGACAACCTCTTTTTGCTTGCATTTCCAGGTGGAATTGACTCTCAGCCCTTTCCCAGTTTTAAATGGAGATGACCGGCTTTGGTGTCATTTTGGGGAAACGAGGCGTGAGGCGGTGTTACAAGAAGGGACTATTACCTGCGAGCCTCCTGTTGAAATCCCTCCAACGACAAAAGGCCAAGGTAAATAAAAGAGCAGGTCTTCACATTTAATATATATGCTTGTGCTTTCCAACTTTGAAGGTATCTACTGTATTTTTCGCTCCATAAGGCAAACTTTTTTTCCTCCTAAAAAGTAAGGGGAAGTGTCTGTGCGTCTTATGGAGCGAATGTGTGGTCGATCGCTGGCTCCCTTTCCAGCCCCGGCCCCTTGCCCAGGCCTCCATTGTTGAATGTTCTGCAAACGGAGCCTGTTTGTTTCCCCAGCGACATGTGACTGGCTGATTAGATTATCTGTCTGGAAACTGTAGAAATGGCTCCCTTTCCTTTCCTAAAGAAGCTGCAGAACTGTGAGTTGAACCCCATAAAAATAGGACTTTTTCCCTTTGCAAAGTAAGCTAAACAACTTTGAGCTGATCCTCAAATAAACCGGGGCTTTTCCCCTTTGCAAAAGAAGCTGCACAACTGTGACCTGATCCCAAAAAAAACGGGGCTTTCCCCCTTTCCTCCTCTAAAAACTAGGTGTGCCTTATGGTCAGGTGAATCTTATGGAGCAAGAAATACGGTACTTATAGTAATTGCTTTGGAAGCACACATAAGTTCCCTACCTAACCCATTGCTCTTCGTATTGGCCCAAGACGTGTAACCAGTCATCCTTTTGAATTAGAAAGATTGGCAGCTGCTACATGCAATAGCCACACTTCCCCCAATACCGCCTGCGTTCAACCTGTAAAGAGTGAAGGACAAGCTGTGGCATAGCGTGGGTTGGCAGTGCCCAGGGCAAGGCAAGTATGGTGCCCTTTAACCCATGGTTCCTGTCACGGCTGGGTGGTGACAGCCCCATTGTCCTCCCCACTGAGGACAAGCATTCACCTTCAACATTGGTAAGCACTAGAGAGCCCCTGTTGGTTAATGAAGAATGAAACTATGTTGGAAATTTTGATGTTGTTGCCATGTTAGTCCTGGTAGCTATGTTCTCCATCACATTCCTAAGATCAAGGAAAAACGACCTCATAAAATGCCCACACAGTGTACCCAAGTTCCAAAAACCTTTACAGAGGCGATCTCTGTTGATGATACATAATTACTGTGAAAATTTGTTCATTTGGGGCCTTATATACACATTTTGTGCTTGTTAGCAATCCATAAATTTTTATTGACAGTAGCAAGCACACACTTTATGCCATATGATGCCATCTTTTACAGATTGTTGCATGTGAGAGTCAGTAGTTCCCATTGGACTGTAAGAAATCTCAGCCATTTCTCCTGAGAAGATTTAGCAAATGCAAATAAGAATACTTGTAAATAGCATTTTAAATACATACATACATAGTTGGAATTAACTGGCGCTTAAAAAACAACAACAGCAATTTTCAGCTGACCCCAGTATATGAGATAAAGTGAAAAACAACCTGGAATTTTCAATAGAATTCTTCAGAAAGTGGGTTTAAATCTGAGCTGTCACCACTCTTTCAAAAAGCTGTTAGAAGAAAGCTGAGTTTGAAATTGCTCAATAGCTTGTGAAATAACTTGTCAGAGGGGTTTAATGATTTCCGGAAAAGGAATAGCTGGAAGCCTCATTGAGGAATTTCCCATTTTTATATATAGCTCTTGATCCTGAGTTCAGCAATAATCCAGATTAGAATCCCATTAATGGAGGAAGTATATGGAGGAAGTTGACCAGCTTTCCAAATTGCTAAGTTTTGCTTATTATTTTGAACACATACTGGTTATTTCAGAAACCCCAAACTCCTTTTGTTTTATTCATAGTGTGTGATTCATAAATTGCACACCCTGACAGTGTAAAAAAAATAAAAATCACCATTTTCTGAATTCATGCGCCTTAATTTCCTTGGTTTTTCTGACTTGCATTTTTCAGTTGTAGAATACGTTGTCCCTTTTGAATAAGCATTTTCCTGATCTAATAGTCGGGGACTTTTAAACATTTTATCATACTTCTATCAGGTTTTCTTTTTCTTTCTTCCATTTAGTTCCTGGACATTTAATGCAGTTTCATTTAGGGTGAACAGAAGGTTCTCACACTAACCCCCACAATTTCAAGAAATGTATTGGATAGGCATTAACATTGTACCAAGAAGTATTCAATATAAAGCACCCCCACGCAAATCAATCTCTATTTTTTTTTTGGTAGATTATGTCTTGGTTCTACTGCGTCTGACCTTTGGTGATAATATATTTCTTGCATCGGGTACATATCCTTTTTATGACTGTGGAGAAGCTATAAACCGTATTGAAAATGAACCGTAAGTATCTAGCTACCTAACCTCATTCTCCATCCTATCTAGCAAACCCAACGTGCATTCAAATATTATAATAGTGAAGTCTCTTGAGTGAATTGAAGTGTTCCTATTTTATTTGCACAGTACTTTTGCTTCCCTTTCATCAGGCTCCACAAAGTATATTACGAAAAACATGCTGCCCTACTTCATCTTTCCGTGTTGTTCATTCACCATGTCTTAATTCTACTGCATTTGATCTTTGGTGATATAATATATCTAAGACAGGCATGTCCAACATGTTGATCGATCGCGGGATTGGTTTTGGTCAGGGGTCAGCAAACTTTTTCAGCAGGGGCCAGTCCCTCAGACTTTGTGGGCTATATTGGGGGGGTGTGAACGAATTCCAATGCCCCACAAATAACCCAGAGATGCATTTTAAATAAAAGGACACATTCTACTCATGTAAAAACACTAGGCAGGCTCCACAAATAACCCAGAGATGCATTTTAAATACTCATGTAAAAACACGCTGATTCCCAGACCGTCCGCGGGCTGGATTTAGAAGGCGATTGGGCTGGATCCAGGCCCCTGGGTCTTAGTCTGCCTACCCATGGTTTTGATAGGCCGAGAGAGTGAGAAGCCTGGCGCGCTCCAACTGGATCCTCAGATCTGTGAAACCTAATATCTAAATATCGTTTGACTTTTCTCCTTTGTTTAGTTAATTGTCCATCTAGTAACTATTTGGCTCTGCCATGATGATATCCAAACATAACTACTGTATCTGTGAAATAAAGACCCCTTTATTTTGTTTATTTCCTGCCAACCTAGCAGTTCAAAAGCACGTCAAAGTGCAAGTAGATAAATAGGAACCGCTCTGGCAGGAAAGTAAACGGCGTTTCCGTGCACTGCTCTGGTTCTCCAGAAGCGGCTTAGTCATGCTGGCCACATGACCCGGAGGCTGTACACCGGCTCCCTCAGCCAATAAAGCGATATGAGCGCCGCAACCCCAAAGTCGGTCACGACTGGACCTAATGGTCATGGTCCCTTTACCTTTTTATTTGTTTGTTTGTTTTTTATTTTATTTTATTTTATTTTATTTTTTATTTTAATGTCTTTGGAGGGGTGGGTGAAGGGAACGCTTGCTGAAGAATGACGATGGGAGACTGGGGTAGATTGCTGCCAGTTTTTGATACCGGATAGTGGATCACAGCCTACTTGAAGTTGGACATGCCTGATCTAAGATTTTTTTTCTTCTGTCCATCATTTTGTCAATTTGACACTTTGGGGCACAAACATACTGTGGGTTTTTTCCCACTTACTAAGGAACACTCACCCAAAAATGAAACTTAGGAGTCCCTGGATTGTATTAGTAATAAATATAATAATAATAATAAATTTTATTTATATCCCGCCCTCCCCAGCCGAAGCCGGGCTCAGGGTGGCTAACAACAATAAAACAGTACAAAAGTACAGCATAAACAACATTCTAAAATCATTCATTATAAAATTAATTAATTCAAGTCACTGGCAACCATTGGGCCAGAGCTCCGCGAAGATTGCCGAGAGAGGGAGTCAGGCTGTGCCCTGGCCAAAGGCCTGGTGGAACAGCTCTGTCTTGCAGGCCCTGCGGAAAGATGTCAAGTCCCGCAGGGCCCTGGTCTCTTGTGACAGAGTGTTCCACCAGATCGGAGCCACAGCCGAAAAAGCCCTGGCTCTAGTTGAGGCCAGCCTAACTTCTCTGTGGCCTGGGACCTTCAAGATGTTTTTATTTGAAGACCGTAAGTTTCTCTGTGGGACATACCAGGAGAGGCGGTCCCGTAGGTACGAGGGTCCTAGGCCGTATAGGGCTTTAAAGGTTAAAACCAGCACCTTAAACCTGATCCTGTACTCCACCGGGAGCCAGCCATAAATATGTTCTAATATCCAGAGTACTTTCTGGATCTTGGTTTCAGACCACTTCTTTTGAGCTTTCCATGCTTCCCAGGTCTGCCATGGGAGGAGAAAGTATCGCCACAGCTGACCAACTTTCAATATCACTTCCCATGATTAGAAATGTTAATGATTAAGTGGTGTCTTAAATTAAATATATAAATTAAATAAAAGACATGGCCATCTCAGGGACATGGCTCCTTTCAGATTTCTGAATTTCCCATTTACTTTGTGGTGGTTGTGGCTTTTAAGTCATTCTTGCGAAACTCGTGACTCTGTTTCAACTGGAAACCCAGGAGACAATCCCTGGACTGTTTGTGTGGCAGCTGACAATCCACAATACAATTTTGTTCTCTGAAAAAGTGGAAGTTATTTATTGCTATATGAAATGAAATTCTAAGGAAGCCTTGTAAAGGAGGAGAAGGGAAGAAAGGAACAACAAATCTCAACCTTTTGGCTTATCCATACAGGTGTTATTCCTGTGCAAGCAGTAGATGGAATTGCCAGTGGGACTGGAAAACCCATAAATGTGAGGACTCTTCTTCAAAAACAGATGTGATTCAGCAAAATATGGTAAAACCTTTAAAAGTAGTATGAACAGTTCTTATTTAAATACAGCAATACCTCTGGTTATAAACCATCCTCCTTGAGAACACTTCGGGTTACGAGCTCTGCTAACCCAGAAGTAGTTGCTCCTGGTTGCAAACTTTGCCCCGGGATGTGAGTGGAAATTGTGCGCCGGAGGCCCCATTAGTGAAAGTGTGCCTCAGGTTAAGAACGGTTTCGAGTTGAGAACAGACCTCCGGAATGAATTAAGTTCGTAACCAGAGGTACCACTGTATTTAAGTGGTGGTTTCTATTTTATTTTTATTTATTTATTTGCTTTGTTTTTGTAAATAAATTGGAAAGGAATAGCAACAATCTGAAAGTAACTTCGGGGGGGGGAATCTGGGGGTTTTGTACCTCCTTGGTGGGGAATGGAAATAAATATTGGAGTGAAGTGACTGGGAAGCCGTTCAATGTTTTCTTTTCGGTCCATTTTGCTGTTTTACTTAAATGACTGGGAAGGAATTTCAAGAATGGGAATGAAAGTTCAGCATATGCTGCAGTCATTTTTAGCATGTCTAATTTGAAAAACTGTAATCAAATCTGTCACTAAGCATGAAGATCTTCAGAACAACAAAAATTCAATTGTCCAAAGTAGGTGCAGATGTTTTGCGATATAATATTTCTAGTTTTAATTGCATATGAAAATGTTGCTGTTTTTTCTCCTAGGCGGAAAAATGCCCACACTTTCTAGATCCTAACCCTAAAATAATACCCATGGAAGTCTCAACAAAAGTATCTTTTGAAGGAAAGAATCTGGATTATTATGAGGTAATTTTCACAAAGTGCTTGAATATATTTTAACATTATATACCTCTCAGCAGTTCTTGAACAGTGTCCTCTTCTGAAGTCTGCTCTTTACAAACTCCTTGTGCAAAAAACGTTACACAGTTCTAAATAGACATTGAACAGTTCCTTGCAGACATGACTGATGATTTCTTTAAGCTTGCTTTCATAAATATTTCACAAATATAACAATAGTCTTCAATATTATACAGTTGATGTGGGTAAATAATTAAGAACATGTATGCTTTTTGTTCTTTGATTTACTTGTCGTGTTTGCTGCATTTGACTTAACGTTATAATGAGCAGAGAAACGTATTTGTCTAGTTTATATCTTTTGTTGAAGTGTCTGCCGTATTTTATAGCTTTGCTCTGTTGCCAAACATCCCCCCCCCGACATTTGTCAGGGATGATAAAACTGTTTTTACTTTTCCTCCCTTCCCCGTGCTAGCCTGAAACGTTTTTGGTGTTGCGAAACATCTCTCATGTGTAATGTAAGCGAATTATATGTGTGTCTCTTAAATCAGTGGTTCTTAAACTGCTCTTTAGCTGTCGCTGTCATAGTTGCCCCATTTTTCTCCAGGATGAAGGGGTACGGGATCTCCTGATTAGAAACCGTTCACTGGTGTGGAGAAACAATATTATTATTATTTATTGAGTTCATATACCGCCCTATATCTGGAGCCAGGGCGGTTCACAGAAAAGATCACAACATATATAATCAGAATAAAAACAACAACCCAATAATACCCCCCCCCCAGAAAAGAGCCATATTTTAAAAGGGTATAGGATAGTCTTTGCAGTCATGAAGAATAATGAGGGTGTTCCCAGATGTCCAGAAAGGCAACCAAGTCTGCCCCTTCTGCTCTTTCTTCATCTTGTTCCTCCTTCAGCCATCTCCATTCCTTCTCGAAAATTCCACCACACCTTCTTTGGCTTTGTACCTCAATGGCTGTATCAGAAGAGCCATATCTGAGAAGTTGCATCTTAAATGTAACAGTTCCTGGAGCTTTGTTGGTCTATGTTTATAGCCTAGGGACAGCGTGATACTTTTATGTGAAATGCAGATTATTATGAAATAGTCCATTAAGAGAGGCTTTGCTCATTCCCCAACGGTCTCTGTCGTAAAGGCCCTTGAGAGGTTAGTGTTTCGCATTTAATGGACAGCTGCTCTAAATGTAGTTTGGGGCTTCCTATGCCTCATCTTGGATGTAGCAATCAATATTTGTGCGGTTTTAATTACAGGATATGGATATGGCTGCAGTAGGAAAAAATAAAAAAAAGGTTAGGTGTGGGTGCAGTGCAGCTGTGTTGAGCTATAAACAGGAATACATATGTAATTCTGTTCCCTCTGTGCCCACACGTACCCTTGAAGTGATGTGCAGGGATGCTCTGTGAAAGATTTGTTATTCCTTAATGTGTCCTCTTCTGATGGTGGTTTGTCTGTAGCGCCAGAAGAAGTACATTTAGCAACAGCATGGAACAACTACAGTCATCCATTCAACTGTGGCCTCCATGTTGTAGAAAGCAATATAGTAGCAGTAGTACAGTGGTACCTCGGGTTAAGTACTTAATTCGTTCCAGAGGTCCGTTCTTAACCTGAAACTGTTCTTAACCTGAAGCACCACTTTAGCTAATGGGTCCTCCTGCTGCTGCCGTGCTGCCGGAGCACAATTTCTGTTCTCATCCTGAAGCAAAGTTCTTAACCCGAGGTAATATTTCTGGGTTAGCGGAGTCTGTAACCTGAAGCATATGTAACCTGAAGCGTATGCAACCCAACGTACCACTGTAGTTGTTGTATGCCAGGCAACCCCAACCTTCAGCCCTCCAGATGTTTTGGACTACAATTCCCATCATCCCTGACCACTGGTCCTGTTAGCTAGGGATCATGGGAGTTGTAGGCCAAAACATCTGGAGGGCCGCAGTTTGGGGGTGCCTGTTATATGCTGTCCATCTGACTGGGTTGCCCCAGCCACTCTGGGCAGCTTCCAACAAAATATTAAAAACACAGTAAAGCATCTACCATTAAAAACATCACTAAACTGGGCTGCCTTCCGATGTCATCTAAAAGTCAAATAGCTGTTCATCTGTTTGACATCTGATGGGAGGGCTTTCCACAGGGTGGGCGCCACTATGAAGAAGGCCCTTGGCCTGGTTCCCTGTAGCTTCATGTCTTGCAATGAGGCCCTCAGAGCTGGGCCTCGGTTGTCCGGGCTGGATGATGGAGTTGGAGGTGTTCCTTCAACACTTGGAATTGTGCTTGGAAATGTCCTGGAAGCCATTGTAGATCCTTTAGGACCGGTATTGTATGGTCCCGGCAGCTGCTCCCAGTCACCAGTCTAGCTGCCGCATTCTGGATCAGTCGTAGTTTCCGAGTCAGCTTCAAAGGTAGCCGTGCGTAAAGCTCGTGTCCCAAAAGCTCTCTGAAAAACATTTACAAAATGTTGAGTAATGAAGGACACAATTCGCCTATTGTAAATCCTCATGACTGACACCACACCATAAATTTATTGTGTCCTTTGTATTTGTGACACAGCTCCATGGTTCCTCTGATACGGTTCACTTTGAACCAAGAGCTGCCTTAGTGCTTTAGTTCACCGTTTTCAGTCTACTACTACTGTCAGATATCTCTCAGGAGGTTACCGGACATGAATACCTATAGCTGGAAACTTAGACCTCTTGGCAAGGATACCCTGTCTACTCTACCCTAGGCTTTTTACTCTCTTGGGTTCCTTTGGAGAAGACAAAAAGCACAATCTAAAGCCCTCAGCTTCCACCCCCCTTCTGAATGTTATTATGAACATAGTTCATTCTACAACAATTAGGTTTCCAATTTTCACTGGTCACTCCCATCCATAGATTACCGAAGAAATCTTTACAATCTCGCTATCCCTGAATTATATTGAATTCCTGGGCTGGGGGCGGGGGGGGGATGTGTGTGAAAGAGAGAGATACTTTTGTACTTGACAGATAATTCTAGATTCATTCAGCTTCAAATTGCACGCACCCATTCCTCTTTTTCAAAAATAAATAAATAAATAAATTTATAAAAACGTTTAAACTCAGTAGGAGATGTTCTATTGTATGAGTATCGTGTTATTTTACCTACTGGAAATAATTACAGTACAGTACCAGTTTTATGGTAACCAAATTTCTATTGGGCATCAGGAATTTTATCTGCTGAGTCCCACCCCCTCAAATTTCAACGTCTTAGATGGGTGGCAAAAATGGCAATTGTTGCAGGAAGACCAGATCAACAAAAAAATATGTTTCAGTCCATACCTCTACTGAAATTTTGGCCATAAATGTCCCTTAAGATTTAGCAGACAGAAACCCTGGCTACAAATTGGACATGGGAGTCCCAATTCACAAGTAACTACTTGAAGGAGGAGTTACCATTGTGTGGGTGACTTGCAGTATTCCCCTCACTATTAAAGCATCTATTACTCAGGTACCCACACTTTTACAACGGCTTACCAGACTTTTCTGTGTACTCAGCTGTGGGGTCTCTACTATGGTAGCCTTTGCTTTGGGAATGTTAATTTGCGTGCTTTCAGGTCGTCTCCTCTATACAGTGGTACCTCGGGTTAAGTACTTAATTCGTTCCGGAGGTCCTTTCTTAATCTGAAACTGTTCTTAACCTGAAGCACCACTTTAGCTAATGGGGCCACCTGCTGCACGCCACCGGAGCACAATTTCTGTTCTCATCCTGAAGCAAAGTTCTTAACCCGAGGTACTATTTCTGGGTTAGCGGAATCTGTAACCTGAAACGTATGTAACCCGAGGTACCACTGTACATCCTTTTGAACTAACAGGATCTGCTAATGGAAGAAACCTTTCTGCATTAATAGAACATAGAGAGGGATGTTCCCACTTGCCAAACAATCTAGAATTTAGCATGCTACCTAGACACCTTTATACTTTACAATTTAATCTCCCGATCAAAACTATTCAGGACTTCCGGGTTGGCGCCAGCGCCGAATGGCGGACTCCCTCCGAGCTCCGGAGGGAGTCTGCTCGGCAGGGGTCGGGTCCCGCCGCGCCGGCGACGCGGGGACCCTCAAAAACCATGGGCGCGGATGCCCATGGACCTGGTGACTCGGCAGGCACCGTTTGCACCCCCCCCGACCCGCGAAGGAGCCTTTTTAAAGGCTGCGGAGCGGGGGATGGGGGGTGGCGCGGTGCTATGAGTCTTCTGCTTCCCCTGCTGAGAGAAGCCGCATGCCATTCGGGAGAGCGCTGACTTCTTCTTTTGAAAATTTGGACTAAAAATAACAACCCGTGAGTAATTTGGAAATCGGACCTAAAAGGGAAAATGTTTATTTTTTGATTCGGTACGAGCGGGGGAGGTGCAAAAAGGAAGTCAGTCTCCCCCCTATTGTAGACAATTTAAAGCAAGGATTTGACAACTAAGGCCGAGAGAAGAGTCTGTTTCCCCCCCCCCCCCGATAAAAGCTATTAATTTCACGATGGGAAATTACAAGTAATTGTGCTGGAGGAGAAGAGTGGATTGTGAGAGCTAAAGTGCAACCCCCCCCCCCCGGGAACCGGGAGCGATCCGTGAGAGAGCCTGGTGAAGAGATATAGAGATTTTGACAGCTGTCAAAGTAGCTGTCAAAGTTGGAGAATAAAAAGAGAACTTTGTTATGAGGACTTTGCTGGTTAGATTTGTTACAATTTGGATATAAACTGTCGAAAATAAGGAATAACAAGCTAGCTTGACTTTTGGGTTTGATCTGGAAGGAAACTAAGTTACCATAATCCCCCTAGAGGGGCCTTGGGACATTACAAGAATGACTGTAAGTGGAAAAATACTCATGGAATTGGACTGGACTTCTTATCTCCTGGGAAAGCTGCAAAAACGAAACATTATTTTGTCTACAGAGGTTTCTACACTAAAGGAGACAATAGATATATCTATTGAAGAATGGAAGGGACTTGACGTAAGTTTTTGTTCCTGAACAAATAACGCCTCTGTAGAGGAACCAGAAGTTTTTGAATTAATATGTTTTTGCAGCGTAACAGGAAAAGAAATATGAGAAAAGTGAGGAAAGAGAACAAGGGATTCACGACGATTTGGAAGAGAATGAAGGAGGAGCCATATTATTGTAAAAGACCAAGGAAGGCCAAAGGCCTGCTAGGGAGGACACAAAGGAAAACAAGAATTGGACTAAGCTGGAAGTCAGAACATTTGGGACATTCAGACTTAAAAGGATTAAGAAACAGAATTTGAGTTTTACTCTTACATATAGAGGTCTGGATGGAAGAAAAATGGACTTTCTTGAGATACAGCTTTTCTAAGATTGGGTGTTCGAAGCTAAAGATTATCAAGAAAACCGGCAAAGTGGAGCTGAGAGAGATTTGGACATGGACGTGAGGTCTCCAGGCTGATAGCAGTTAGACTGATGGACATTGGGGATCGATACCGGGAAAGGGGGGAGGGAGATTTGGAATCCAAAGGGTGTAAAATTATATTTTGAATCTTTTTTTAATTTCTTTTAATTTTTGTGTGTATTAAAAAGGGGAACTCTTGGAAGGGAATTGGGGTCGTCCTTAGGGGGGGGGAATTAAAGTTGAAAGAAGGTGGATTTTTAAGGGAAAGTGATTATATAAGATGAACTAAATTGAATATTGGGTTAAATATAATAAGTTTTAAATTTGGGGTAAAAACTTGTGGAGCTAATTAAATGGAAATGGAATACAAGAGGGGGAGGGGTGGGGAAGTCCTGGAAAGATGTTAATGAAAATAAGGTTTTAAATGTTTTTTTCCTTTTTTCTTTCTTTTTTTCCCCTTTTTTTCTTTTTTATGTTTTGGAAACTTTAATAAATATGATTAATAAAAAAAAACTATTCAGTGGCACCATCGTGGGTCCAGGACCACCCCTTTAAAATCACTGCAACATTCCTGTTTGGGGCTGTAAAGTTTCTCTTGAACTTTAGATTTTGGATTACATCAACATTTCTCTTGCCTGAGAGCCTGTCAGAGCCTTCGTGCCGCCTTGCTTCCTGAATCTGCTACCTGCTCAAAATTTCTTTAATTAAAATGTTTTTTTCTCTTCAGTAACCCAACTTACACTTTGAGTTCCTTTCCAAATACATCCTAGTCGTATTGTGGAGAAGTCTCTCGCCCCTGAGAAGGGCAATATGAAAAGCAAGGGAATGAAAGTGAAAGAGTGCTGGGACATTTCTTGCCACCCTTCTCAGTAGTTTGCCTTCCCTGTTACCCACACTAATGAGTAAGGCAAGGAGAGGAAGAAAAGGCAGAGAATCAACTCTTCCCTCAAAAAAATTATTCTTGGGTTGGGACACCTCAGGTCTTTCTGCGGCAACCTCTCAGCAAGCTACCTTTTTAATGACTTTCTCAAATTCTTTCTGCTGTGTGTTCAAGAGCACCCCTTTCAGCACTGTGACATGGCTGAAATGTAGGAATTCCTCATTTGGCAGTTCATAAGTTGGTTATTTTGGCTGGGGAAATAGCATTAAGAGCACATACAATGCAGATTTTGTGACTACACTTTCGCTTTCTCCACCGGCTTCTTCTTAGTTCATTCTTGCTTCATACTTGGCTATTGTTTGGGAGTTCTGCCACTTTCTCGGAAAGGAGAGAATTCCTGCTGTATTTACAAATGCCGCTGTCAGCTCTTTCTAATTTCCAGATTGTGTTTGTAAATCTATAGAAGCTTGATTGATTGATTTTTAGATCTTGGTAAGAGCTGAAATGTAGGGACGCGAGTGGCGCTGTGGGTAAAAGCCTCAGCGCCTAGGGCTTGCCGATCGAAAGGTCGGCGGTTCGAATCCCCGCGGCGGGGTGCGCTCCCGTTGCTCGGTCCCAGCGCCTGCCAACCTAGCAGTTCGAAAGCACCCCTGGGTGCAAGTAGATAAATAGGGACCACTTACTAGCGTGAAGGTAAACGGCGTTTCCGTGTGCGGCTCTGGCTCGCCAGAGCAGCGATGTCACGCTGGCCACGTGACCCAGAAGTGTCTCCGGACAGCGCTGGCCCCCGGCCTATAGAGTGAGATGGGCGCACAACCCTAGAGTCTGTCAAGACTGGCCCGTACGGGCAGGGGTACCTTTACCTTTACCTTAAGAGCTGAAATTATCATTTTGGACAAACTGGTAGTACAGAGTTGGTTGTGGCGGTGATGATGATGATGATGATTTCGATTTCTTACCTGTGCTTCACCATAAGGTCCCAGCATGGGTTATAGCCATTTTAAAAAGACAACATTAAAATCAGTTTACAACAAAATATTTTACAATCATTTGTTTTTGTAGCTATTGTATTGTTTCTGACTTTCCTGAGAGCTCTCCTGTTAGCTAAGGTTGAGAGAGTGTGAACTTCACTGAGCTTCAGATTCAAGCGGAATAGCGATGGGATTGGGGCCTGGAACCCTGTACCTGCACTATGATGCATCTGAGTTCCCTTTGCTTATATTGCACTTCCTGGGTGTGGGGTAATGGCTAGTGCATTGGCCTTAGACTAGGGAAACCTGGGTTCAAATCCTTGCCTAGCCATGAAGCCCACTGAGCCGGTCACTGTCTCTCAGTCTAACCCACCTCACCGGGCTGTGAAGATAAATAGAAAGGTGGGATTAAAAATGCATCAAGCAAAATTCTTCCTGCTTTAAGTACTGCTCCTGTGGTAGTAATTTTAATACCTTGCACACAGACCGAGTCCCGTCAGCCGCAAAGTTTGTTTGTGCCTTCTCACAGTGATTTCCTTCTGGCACTGTGGAGTCACTGGGTTGGGCTTAGACTCCTCCTGTGATGACAAGTGCAGGAGAAAAAAATATCTTCAGGATGTGGGTACAGAGAGGCCCTTAAGATGGGTTGGCGAGATCAAGCCACAGTCCACCAAGGCAGTTCCCCAAAGCTGTGAGCTCCTTGTGGAGTGATTTTTCTGAGAAGTAAGGATGAGATTTGGGGGGCACAGGCCTTAATATTGCCTTCCCTTGCCTTTGGAAAAGCACTTAGAGGAAATGTTTTGCATGCTTTCCATCTCTTTTTGATTAAAAATTGTTCGGAGTAATCTATTTGGAGCATCAGAAAATGTTGTAAAGTCCTACCTAAAATGCCTACATGATCTGTGTTATAGTTGTGGTTGCCACAGTTTAATGATTAAGGCTCTCGATTTGATCTAGTTGTTTCCAGAGCTGCTCAGTGAAACTACTGTTTGCCTAGTGCTGGTATTCTAAGTCCAATATCTTTCTCTTACAGGGTAGCGATTTCAGAATTGGAAACAACCACATTCAGTTTGAGACCAAAGTGGAAAAAGCATCTGATGGAACTTTCTTTTTTCAAATCCAACCGGTAAATATCAGAAATTGTGGGGTGGGGTGCTTACAGATCACTTTCTCTCTTGATTTCTTCAAGGCTGAGCAACATTCAGCAATGAGCTCACCTTTACACCTCCTACAGTCAACATGTTGGTTGTGTTCAGACTTCTCTCCTTCCCTCCACTGCCAGCTTTGACACAGAGATACCGGCTTCGTTAAGCCAAAGTTTCCCATTACATCTAAACTCTGGAGTACTGGCTTAATGTGGATTATCAGGCACATAAGCCATTGTCCCATTTTGTTGGGCTGGCCAATATACTATGAGGATGGAAATGAAACAAGCTGGCTATGACTTGATGTTGGTGATAGACCTAAGATAAAGAAATGATAAGATCTGTGCTGTTGTTGAGATTGTTGGCCTTGGCTGGTGAATGTTGATGAGATTTTCCGATTTTTGTCATTCACTTTTATTGAGGCAGTCAAAAATATATCTATACTTTGGACTAACGCATAAGTGACACAACAGGATTGTTAAAATTTGCTCACGGGGAGAGGGCGATTTGCTGTGGTCGCCACTAATGCATCCTGTACTTTTAGAATGAAAGCCGTTTATGTGTGTTTGTGTTAACATTTTTCTCAGTTCTTTGAAAGATACATTTGTTTAACACCCACTGTCTTACAAACATGACTAAACATTGCACTTCCCCTTTATGTGCCTTTTGAAAATGAGATATTATTATATACACACACATATATAATCATTTTTTGTTACATTCATCTGTTTCCCATTCTTTTGGAAAGGTTACAACTATCGTTGTTCTGACAAGTGTTATAATCGTATGAATGCATCTCCTAGTAGAAGTATGTGGTTGTTATTTGTGCCATCATTTTGAAGATACAGCTATCACAATATGACCTTGGAAGTAGGTAGCGACTTGATTTGGGATGAGTGAGTTAAGATATAAGATGATTTCTAATGGAGATAACCATTGTCTTTTCTCCTCTCTTCAGAGTCATGTTGAAAATGAAACACTGCCACTTAGCTTATACATTAAGACGGATCAAGGCAAGATTGATAGCAAACTGATTGGTAAGTACATAGTACAGGAAAGGGAAATTAAAAGTACCAAAATCTTATATATGCAACTTTTAAAGCATTTCACTGTTCTAATGATTGCATATAGTGGTACCTTGGTTCTCAAACTTAATCTATTCTGGAAGTCCGTTGGACTCCCGAAACTGTTTGAAAACCAAGGCACAGCTTCCGATTGGCTGCACTTAAGCAGAAGCCTCATCAGACATTTGGCTTCTGAAAACTGTTCACAAACCAGAACACTTACTTCCGTATTTGCAGCGTTCGGGAGCCGATTTGTTCAGCAACTAAGCCTTTCAGGAACCAAGGTTTGACTGTAATTAGCAATCCATCAGCTAATCTAAATAATGTTTAGATCTAAATAATGTTGCCTTGAATAGGCAATGAATATTACTGTTGTGAACTTAAATATGTATTGTCTTGGCTTGCTTGCTGGGTATGAAAAATCTTTCCCCCACCCACCCAATAATCCATCCTTCAAGTTTTCTGATAATTTCTCCCAAGTTATGAAGCATCTCTGCAACACTGCTGCGTCTCTGCAAAAGTGGCCAGATCTCGAGACCACAGTGTGGATTTAATCAAAAGCTTTGCGTCAAGCATGCCAATAAAAGGCCACACTTCTTTCTCTAGAGTCAAATGCTATCACTCCATTTAGAGTCAGCCAAGACTTGCTCTTCTGTGCTGCTGCTATTGCTTCTGCCCCTTCTCTGCTTTAGATCAGTTACAGTAGTACCTCAGTTACCATTTTCTGTTCCGAAAGTCCATTCTTAAACCAAAACCGTTCTTAAACCAAGGTACGCTTTCCCTAATGAGGCCTCCCGCCGCCAGTGCCCTTCCACCATTCAGATTAAAGTTTGCAAACCGGGACACTACTTCTGGTTTTGCGGAGTTCGTAAATTGAATCGTTCATAAACAGGGCTGTTCTTAAACCGAGGTACCACTTTAGTTAACTTTGGGCTTTTTTCTGATTACAGTCCCAATGTTGCAACTATTTTTGTCCAGGCAGAGGCCCAGTGCGACCAGTGTGTTTCCTGGCAGGCAGAAAAGTCCACGCACAATGACTAATTATGCTAGAAAGAAACCAGGCATGACCTTCCAAATGCTTTTTAGTAATCCTTTTGCTTATTACTGTGACTCAGTGACACTTATAACTAATGTTGGCTGTGCTGATCAATCTTGCACAGCTACAAATCAATCTTTAGGTATTGTATTTAATAGATTTACTTTTTAATGGATGTTGCAAATGAAAATCATTGTTCAAGACCTCTCCTCTTTTCCTATAATGCTAATATCTCCCACCCAAACAATATACATCATCTTCCCGTATAGAATTACTGCAAACCTCTAATGTATTGTGGCCACATAAAAGACAAATGATATTCTAGAATGCATTTGATATGGCATTTCCAGTAAGGACTGCAGAGTGTTTCTACATTTGAATAGCACACTGGCAACCTTACCCTTCATCCATTTTTGGTCAGCCAAGCAGGAGTAACCTGGAATAAATGGAAAGAATTACAGAAAGGCTTCTAAACTTTATAGGTCAAGACTAGGGATGCTTGAGGATTTTGTCCAGTCTTTCATTTTAAGCGAACCAACCTGATTTGCAGTTCCCAAACTAATATGTGGATTGGATTGGATTGCCATCATCCTTGAGTTTTTTCATCTCTCCAAATTCTGTGACATAGCTCAAAAAGTGTAACATAATGTGCATTTTAGGCTGGTTTACTCAAATGAATACTATATGGGGAAAGTACAATAGGAATATTGCAGTTTTTAGTGTAACTTTAAAAAAAAATATGCAGAAATGAGATGGAACAAAGTTATGAATGAGCACATACAAAATTGGCATGGACCAGAAATTGACTGTCATCCCACCCTAGTCTAGACTAGACGATATTTTCGTTTAAAACACTTCTCATCTTAACAAATGAGTGATGCTCTGTTATATTCCCAAAGTCATCCATCCATATGTTATATATACACTTTCCCTCTCCCTCTCCCTCTCTTTAATTGATTAATGTTCATAGTCTGGTTGGTATCAGCAGGGCGCAGCTTAATTTTATGTCCATTCTGCCCACGTTCATCTCTGTGGTTTACTATGAAAAGCAGAAGCTGAAAAGAACTGGGGAAGAAGTACCTTTTTGTACTAGTGGTGTCCCAATTCCCCTTTTCACTTTCTTGCCATTTGTGGGCCCTTAATAGAGCTGAATTTAAGTGCACCACACTTTGAAAGATAGTTACTTTGCTCGTTCTGGTCGCTACTACAGAGAAGGTGAGCAATTATTGAATTTCCAAATATAAATGAATCCTTTCTTTCTGTAACACATTTAGAGAATACCAAGTAGCATTGGCATTTAATGTATTTTTATAGCCACTGGAGACTTAGAGCAGTATGAAATCCAATATATCCCTTTTATCCTTTGTCCTGTTCTATCAATGGTTTCACAGCTAGTACCTAAAGATGATGGATAAGGGTTGGAATCTAATGGCTGGTTTGCTGCTGGTACATTTAACAACCTGATCAGTAACGAAACTGATTAACACTTTGAGCTCCGCCACTGTATTGTGTGTGACTTGGAGAGCTTGCCTTTCAATACATTACAAATCTAATTTGGAGGCAGTTTGAGTGCTGGTTTTTGCAGACGCAGACGTTGTTTTCAGTTCTCCACATATAGATGAAAAATATAAATTGAATCAGTTAGTGAGACACAGCAGTCTCTCTGGTTAGCTGCTGGTATACTTTAAAAAATCCAGAATTCTGAAATTGGATTCCATCAGTCTGTTTTTTGAGTCAAACCAATAGTACCTCACTGCTCGCTTCAGATGTGGAATGTGTGAATGCACATTCTTTAGCCAGAATCAAAATACAACAAAAAAACTTCCCTCAAAAGCATGTATCCACCATCGGTCTTTGGCTTATACATATTCACACCATCTAGGGTTGCCATATGTCTGTAATTATCCGGACTTACACAGTATTTGTCCCTCATAAACAGTGTCTGGGTGGAAATCGCTGAAATGTCTGGGGAAATCCGGACGTATGGGAGCCCATGTTAGAAGTTTTGGCGAATTTCATTAAAAATAGTTCAAAAACTCTTTTCTGGGGGGCGGGCAGACTAAAAAAAACTTCAATTTTTGTGTCTGGAGTTTCATTTTTTGAAATATGGCAACCCTAACACTATCTATAAAGAGAGATCAGGGCAGGGCATGACGATGGCTTGAGGGGTTATTGATTGACAAATTCACTGTTCTGGAATATTCCTAGGCACTTAAATGATTTGGGGCATTGGCCCATAGATGTATTTGAAAAATCTCTCTCTCTTTCTCCCTCTCCCTCGCGCTCTCTCTCTCTCATACACACACATATAGTGGTATACCACTTGGGAGGAAACATTCTAACATGCATTTAAATAAAGAGCCTTGTTAAATGTTATAGAATATTAATTTCAAGCATTCAGTTAATAATCTTATTAGTGTAAGGCTAAGAAGGGCAGAGCCTTTTTTCTTATTTTAGCTGATAAATCAGGAGAGAGAAAACATTTATTCTTCCTTTTCTTGCTCTTTTTAAAAAATATTTCCTATCAGTTGAAGTTGGTAACTTTGTGGAAAATAATTTGGGGAATGTGGGTTTCGCAGTTTAATTGCCATATCACATTGGTTAACACGAGTTCTCTTTTCCAGCCCCAGTATGCCAGCCTTGTAGGCTCAGCATAAGCTGTTAAGGTCAGGGCTGGGCCTGCCATTAGATATACTGAGGCAGTGACAGCAGGGTGTCTGAAGACAAATTTGTGTGTGCCACACAGCCTGACAAAACCCCCTAATCTAGCCTACGGTAGCAAAGGATACATGGCTGTATCCCACTAAGTTATACAGTGGTACCTCGGTTTAAGAACAGTCCTGTTTACGAACGATTCAGTTTACGAACTCCACAAAATGGAAGTAGTGTCCCAGTTTGTGAACTTTACCACAGTCTAAGAACGGAATCTGGACAGTGGAAGGGCACTGGTGGCGGGAGGCCTCATTAGGGAAAGCACACCTCGGTTTTAGAATGATTTTGGTTTAAGAATGGACTTCCGGAATGGATTAAGTTCGTAAACTGAGGTACTGTACTGTACAGTGGTACCTCGGGTTACATACGCTTCAGGTTACATATGCTTCAGGTTACACACTCTACTAACCCAGAAATAGTGCTTCAGGTTAAGAACTTTGCTTCAGGATAAGAACAGAAATCGTGCTCCGGCGGCGCGGCAGCAGCAGGAGGCCCCATTAGCTAAAGTGGTGCTTCAGGTTAGGAACAGTTTCAGGTTAAGAACGGACCTCCAGAACGAATTAAGTACTTCCGAGGTACCACTGTACTCAGACTAGACCCATTTCAACTAATGGACCTAATTTAGTTGTGCCCATTCTTTTCAGTGGGTCTGCTCTGAGCAGGACAACCCTCAGTCCTGTTTCCAGAAGATTCAGCTACCAGTCTGGTAAGCTCTTGCACATGACAGGAAGGATTGCCATCTTGTGCTTAGTCTCTGGCGGTCAGTGCCTTGACCAGCCCTGGTCAACCTTGTTCAGTTTTCCATCCAGTTAGTCTTTGATTGCAGGACAAGCATTGAAGTCTTGCTGCTCAGCATGATGTATACAAGCATATTACCTTGAAGGGGTTGGCAAGCAGATTATGTCTTGCAACCGAAAAGGAAACAGAACCCAAGTTTTTGATTCACATTTAATAAATAAGCAAGCTTCTGCTCAGCTAGCAAGTTTAACTACTTTGAATAAACACAGTGGGTCGTGCTGAGCAAGTGGGTGCTATCTGTAAAGAAGACTGGTTTCAGAACACAGTAATGCACTGTAAATGTTTTTTAGCGTAATGTGAGTTATTCCGAAATTGTCAACTCTGAGGACTCCTTCCCATTCCTCCCATGCTAATCAGGAAGGTTAATTATAGCTTTGTTGAGCCAAATAATCAGAAGGGAGCCCTTATATTCAGGTTTGTTTGTTTTTTAGTTAGGTAAAGGTAAAGGGACCCCTGACCATTCGGTCCAGTCTCAGTCAACTCTGGGGTTGTGGCGCTCATCTCGCTTTATTGGCTGAGGGAGCCGGCGTACAGCTTCCGGGTCATGTGGCCAGCATAACTAAGCCGCTTCTGGCGAACCAGAGCAGCGCACAGAAACGCCGTTTACCTTCCCACCGGAGCGCTACCTACCGTATTTTTCGCTCTATAACACGCACCTGACCATAACACGCACATAGTTTTTAGAGGAGGAAAACAAGAAAAAAAATATTCTAAACGAAACAGTGGATGTATGATTTTTGTGGTTCATGCTGTGGCCAAAGGCATGTGATCTGACAGTGAGTTTGGAGTAGCCCAATGCAAAAATCCTAAGGATCCATGTGGATCCATGCTTTGTAACCATGTTTTTGCACCACTGCGGCCCCAGGCAACAGTGGGTGCGTGATTTTTTGGGTGCAAGATGTAGCCATGGACATGCTATGTGATCTGATGGTGAATTTGGGGTGACCCAATGCAAAGATCCTGAGGATCCATGTGGATCCGTGCTTTGTAACCACGTTTTAAGTGGGGAGGGAAGGAAAAGCACTCAAGGGACAAGGAGCACACATGGGGTGTGTGGAGAAGGATGCTGCTAATAATGCTATTTAGCGAGCTGAGTGGGGAGGAGAGAGGGACAGAGAGCCTGCTTGCTTTAAAGGAGCCAACCGGACAGGAGTGTAAGCGGCTCCTCTCCTCTCCCGCTTTGCTCCTTTAAAGCAAGCAGGCTCTCTGTCCCTCTCTCCTCCCCACTCAGCGGCTCTTCTCCCGCTTTGCTGTTTCAAAGCGAGCCACGGAGGAGGGAAGGAAGGGGAACCATGGATCCTCTGCTCACAACTGCAGCAGATCCCCCCTGCCACCTGTAGGCATTCGCTCCATAACACGCACAGACATTTCCCCTTACTTTCTAGGAGGAAAAAAGTGAGTGTTATGGTGCAAAAAATACGGTATTTATCTACTTGCACTTTGATGTGCTTTTGAACTGCTAGGTTGGCAGGAAAAGGAACCGAGCAACGGGAGCTCACCCCGTCACGGGGATTTGAACCGCCGACCTTCTGATTGGCAAGCCCTAGGCTCTGTGGCTTAACCCACAGTGCCACCCGCTACTTAGAACTAAAATGTTATAGTTTGTAAACTTGAGCACTAATTGTTTCCAGTTAAGTTGGTGATCTGACTGCCCATCAAAAACGTGCTCAAACACGAAGTCTTGAGATTCGTTGCTTCCAACTTGGTTCATGGTCCTAATTATACAGCACCCTGGATTTACTCTGTGTGTTCTGGAATTAGGCCATGATGCTCTTCAGTCATGTGTGGAGTATGGCTTGGATCTCAGAAGGACTCCAGATATTACAAATTCCGTTCTTAACTTTACCCCTCAGTGATCACAAAGCTGTTACAGGCTTAAGAGGCGCTCTGTTTTCCTCTGTGATTCATGGCCATGATAACCAGAAGTGGCAGGGCATCCTTTATCACGGTTCCAGTGCTCCCCAGTGCCCTCCCAATCCTGGTCTCTGACCCCATCCATCAACCTTTGGTCCTTGCTGCAGGACTCCTTGGGTGGAGGCATAAGTTGAACCATCTTGGCGTGTATATGAATATATATTATTGCACTACGCTGTCTGAATTCTGCTTTTCACGGCACAACAATAAGTTTCTGAATTTTTGGAAGCTTTAGTGTGGTCTGTTTATCTTAAAGTTAACTATGAATAGCTATCGGTTTTTGCTCCAGACATCTGAGATTGATTAGAAAGCTCTCCAGACAAGAATGAACTTGCATATTGAAAAACCTCTAAACATAGCACCCCTGCAACTCTCATTGCCCTTCAACCCATGTGTATTTCATTTGAAATAACATCTCAGCTAGATCTAAATCTACTGTTAACAAAGGAACTTCTTCTAGTCACTTATTTTTCAGTTCCCCTGCCAAAGGTAGAACCGTCCGACTATTTGCCGTCCTGACAGTTCAGGGGGAAAATGTGTTAGTCTGCGGAAAGGCTAATCTGCTAAGCAAGTACAGTGGTACCTCGGGTTAAGAACTTAATTCGTTCTGGAGGTCCGTTCTTAACCTGAGACTGTTCTTAACCTGACGCACCTCTTTAGCTAATGGGGCCTCCTGCTGCCGCCACACCACCAGCGTGCAATTTCTGTTCTCATCCTGAAGCAAAGTTCTTAACCCGAGGTACTATTTCTGGGTTAGCAGAGTCTGTAACCTGAAGCGAATGTAACCCGAGGTACCACTGTATCACTAGATGGCTGAAGCATAGGAGCCTACACTTGCACTGCACAGGAAGGCAGCACAACAACAAAGCTTCCATGGTCTCCTCCCACTTCGATCTGCACAAAATTTCTTTCCAACCCCAGATCTGGTTGTCTCTCTGGTCAGGCCGCTGAATGCAATAAAACCAAAACTGAAGGGCCCCATTATTCTGCTTTCCGCCCTCCTCCCCCATTATCTTACTTTCCTTTGCAAATTACAGTAATCATTAAGAATGCATTAATGTATCAATAGTTTGATGAAGCTGTGTGGCTAGGACACTTAACTACATTACTGAAAGTCAGAAAGGTGATAAGATGCGAAGATAGATTGCGTCGCTCATTCGTTATTTATTTGCAGCATTTATGCTCCTTTCTATGCCTTTTGCACAGAAAAAGGAGGGGCTCCCAGAGCAGCTTACAGCAAGCAATAGAGAGGGAGTGCCATGCCCTCAAGTCTACATTCTAAAATGCATAACACACTGGGGTGTGTGGACAGGGTAGGCAGGAAGGAAGAGGGAAAAATTGTTTCTGCACAGTTCTTTCCTTGGAGAGCTGATCTGGTGGCAGCTGGAATACTCTCAGGAGGAGGCTTGTTGAGTTGTGTTCCTCCGCAACTCAACAAGAGCCAGAGCGGTAGTCTCGCAATCTGGGGAACCGGGTTCGCGTCTCCACTCCTCCACATGCAGCTGCTGGGTGACCTTAGGCCACTCACACTTCTCTGAAGTCTCTCAGCCCCGCTCACCTCACAGAGTGTTTGTTGTGGGGGAGGGAGGGAAAGGAGAATGTTAGCCGCTTTGAGACTCCTTCGGGTAGTGATAAAGCGGGATATCAAATCCAAACTCCTCTTCTTCTCTTCTCCGTCCATGGCAGTTCTCACATTTTTTGCAAAAAGCAACACTCACCTTCCTCCTGCACCCAGGATCAGATTCAAGAGCAGAAGACAATGTCCAGGCTAGGAGAACAGGGCTGCTCCTACCCAGTAGCGAAGCTGCGTGCTCCGCTACTGGGGGCGTGGTGCGCTACCTGCAGGGGCGTGACATGCATTCTGGGGGTGTGACGCACTGCCTGTGGGGGCGTGGCACGCGGAGGGGTGTGCAGCACCTGTCGGGGGGCGCCGTGATGGCACCCTACCGGAATAGGGCGGACCACTCCCTCCGCACTCCCGTTCCTCCACCAGTGCTCCTTCCACAGTTATTTCCTCAAGCAGCTGAATTGGTGGTTAGTCGCAGATTGTGGTATTTGTTGAGCGCCATGATTGTACCTTAATGATGGTGCCCTTTTGGGTGCACCTCAAGATTTATGTGGGTTTGAATTTCTCTGAGTGGTGTAATAGTAACTGACACTAGAAACATGCATATGATTTGTTTTCCATTTTTACAGTGACTCTATACAGCTGTTCCTATGGCCGGAATGACTGCAGCTTGTGTCTCGCAGCTAATCCTGCGTATCGGTGTGTCTGGTGTGACGACAGCTGTGTTTACACTGGCCGGTGTGCTGCTGCCACTACCACCTGCCCTCCTCCAGTCATTACTATGGTAATTTCTGCATCATTCATAACATAGCACGAAGTCCACTCAAGTCAGCTTGCAAAGCATTTATGGAATTCTCAGGAGCTGTTGCAAACTTGTGAAGTCCCATAGTAAAGAGACTCGTGTCTGTTTCTTTAAGATCCAGGTGGTGAATAATCACTGTGCTCGTAGGGCATTAGAACTGGCTTTTGGACTAAACAAACCAAAAGGAAAAGGCTACATAACTATATCCTAGGAGTGTCTTCTAGTAGTGCTTTAATGGCTGCTCCTAGGTTACATGGAAAGAGTTCATAGCATGGTTTCTTGCCTTGCCTGCATTGTCTCAGATTCCAGGAAGGGGTATTATTGGCACGAGAGAGTCACTGTGTCACCAGAGCAGCTAAGGAAGGAGGCATGCCATTATATTTCCTGTACCACTAAGGGGCTGAACTTTACGAGACGTGTGGACATACTGCTGGTCTGTCTTTGCTCTCCATACTTCCTCATAGCATCTGATTTAACCCAATAAGCTGGTTCAGACATAACAATCTCCGTTTAACAAAGCCAAGAATGCATCTGAACAGCCCAGTGTGTGAGATGATATAATCATCACTGTACATTGCTAGCAGCTAGTGACGATAAGGTAGAAAGCCAGGCTAATACAATTACATTATTCAGGCATTGTGTTAAAACAGTTACGGTTAGACAGCAGAGTCTGCAGATTCACACCTTACATACCTTGTTCTGCCCAGATTGTTTTTTACATTTTCTGGCTTTCCAAAGTGCTTTAGTTCAACAAGTCTGGTCCCCCTTAGGGTTGCCATTTTTTTGAAGAGAAAAAAAGAGGACACATTTGCCGACATCTACTTTTAACTATAGGGATGTGGGTGGCGCTGTGGGTAAAAGCCTCAGCGCCTAGGGCTTGCCGATCGAAAGGTCGGCGGTTTGAATCCCTGCGGCGGGGTGCGCTCCCGTTGCTCGGTCCCAGCGCCTGCCAACCTAGCAGTTCGAAAGCACCCCCGGGTGCAAGTAGATAAATAGGGATTGCTTACTAGTGGGAAGGTAAACGGCGTTTCCGTGTGCGGCTCTGGCTCGCCAGAGCAGCGATGTCGCGCTGGCCACGGAAGTGTCTCCGGACAGCGCTGGCCCCCGGCCTCTTGAGTGAGATGGGCGCACAACCCTAGAGTCTGTCAAGACTGGCCCGTACGGGCAGGGGTACCTTTACCTTTACTTTTAACTATGGATCTCTAGGACAACTCTCTCATCATACGAAAGAGGACGTGTCCTGGGAATAGAGGACATGTGGCAATCCTGCGGCCTTCAGCTAATCCAACTAGTTTCACAGTTCTAGATTTGTAGCAGAACATTAAAAAGAGCATTTGTAAGCAGAGTGGTACCTCAGAAGGTATCTCTGTCTGTTAGGAACCTGCATCAGAGGTAGTTCACTCAACTAAATAAATGTTTCAGTATTTTTTTCTATTAAAAGGAGACACCATCGGGTTCTTTAAGCAACCACAACACAATTATAAACTGGATGAAATGCTAGGTGTTACTCTAGGCAGGAATGCTATATATAATAGTTATAACCCGGTGTTGTAATAAAGTATAGTAGAATTCCATTTTCCGTCAGGTATTTGAAATGATGCGTCTTGTTATTGATTTTATAATATTGGGAAGAGCGTTAGACTTGACATTTTACAGTAAAAAATAGTTGGCTCTCGAGGGTTTCCCCCCCCAAAAAGGCAATTAGGATTTCTGAGGAGTAGGCAGCCGCATAACAGAAGAGGCCACAGAAAGTCCACAGAAAGCTCTACCGGTGTTGCTGGATCTCAGACTGCCAGAATTTTTATCATTTCCTGCCTTCTTTTGCAGACTTTTTGCATCTGGAGCCCAATAGGTTGGAAAATTCAGGTTCTCGGGGACAGAGGCAGTAAGGCAGGCCTCAGAGTCCTCTGAAGTTCATCCTCAGAGCAGGGAGGGATGCCAGTTAGAGAAGGGAGATCAGAAGCTCTGTCCAAATCTGTTTGGCCTATCTTTGGCCTGGGGATCGCCACTATTTCTTTATCACAGTTGGCCATTCCTGATCTACATCCCTAGGCACTCTGCACTGCCCTTCTTTTACCACATTAACAGGTATAATTCTGTTGCAATACATCCTCATAGTAAAATCTTATATTTAAAAAACCATGCATCATTCTCCTTAAATGGGAGTCTTCAATATACGCCTAGGACATGAAACTCTTGTAAAGCAGATGTTTTTCTCCCTGCCTAAACACAAAGGCTTGCAGCTCCCTACCTTTCAATTCTTAGAAAAACCAGTTTGATATTTCAGTTGAGTACTTTGTGGTACTCTGTAGGATATAAAATATCATTGCTCTCAGGAAGTACCTAAATGCTCCAAGGTGTCCACATTGACAACAGTACCAAAACTTTTGTTCTAGAGTCAAAAGAGGTGGTTCTGAAAACTTGCCAGGGTGATAAATGCCCCTTTTGGTGCAGAGGAATGCATTGAGCTCTCACTGTACATTTTTAACACAGGAGATATAAAGTTATGGGAGAACAAAGACAAACCATTTGTGCATGGATATATGCCTGTGGGTCTTGGGAGGGTGTTAGAGCAACAAAAGTGTTCGGGAAAATCATTGAACTATAGCTATTATACAGTGGCAGACTAAACTTGAATTACTTCTAAAGCTAGTCAGATTTTGTTAGTTGACAAAGGGCAAGAACTCCTTATTCCAAAAACTACACAAATAGGGTTAAAATGTCAAGATTTCCTAACCACCCTTGCCACTTGGGGTAGGGTTCAACTGATATATGATCTCAGAGTTTGCATGCCCATCCACTACAAGCAGAATAAAAATTGAAATTTTCCAGATTTCTGGCCAAAACTCAAATCTAAACCCACTTGTATTCCTCCTTCAAGTCTGTGAACTTACTGTTTAAGCTGCTGGTCGGTTATAAAAATGATGTTGTGACTTTTTAAGTATGTTTTCTTTATGCTCAGATTGAACCACGTAATGGACCACTGAGCGGTGGAATTTTGTTGACCATAATGGGATCTAATTTGGGCATAAATGCTGAAGATGTCAAAAGTATAACAGTGGCAGGCACTGAATGTATATTTAGAGAACAATTCTACTCTGTTTCTACCAAGTAAGTAATTGTCTGATGTCCTGAATGCCAGTTTGTTTGTTTTTTATCTATTTGCTGCAGGTTCATAGAAATGTGAAATAAAACTGTCCTGACAAAAATGGCAGTTGTTTCCTTTAAATATATAACTTCTTGAGCATTTCTGTATGGTAATGAGTTTAATGTGTTTAGCTGTAATTCTAGAGACAACTGCAATGTTTATACTTATTCTGTTGTACTTTATACATGTAATTATGTAAGAGACTTGTAATAACAGCCACCTTTATATTTATGATCTAACAGCTCTAACTTGTTTGTTGCTTATACAGACTCAATTATGCACTAATTTATTTGAACTGGAGGCATTTGTAAGTTATCTCCTGCAGCTTACATTTCCAATGGTGTCACTGCAGGAAAGTCTCATATATTAAACATTTACAACCTTGCACACTTTTTTAAAAACAAACAAACCACCCACCCCTTTTTGTAATCCTGTACACAAATATTATGAACAGGTAGTTTTGTTATGTTCATTTTTAGAACGCATCTCTAAAATGGACATTGGAAATGTTTTAATTCGGTTTGGCAAATGTTAGGCATCCAGGTATCCTGTTAGTGTGCATTCATGATGATTTGTGCTCATGATGGTATTGGGGCGGTTATATGCTTCCAATACTGTTTGCACCTGCAAAACATTTTGTGTTGGTGAGACTGTCTTTGTTTCCCATCAGTACTTGTCCCATAGCTTCCTACTAAAACCCTGTAACACAATGCAAACATTCATGGGGTGGGGTGTCCTATCCTGCTATTGTTGTGCTGTAGTGTAGTGTATGAGTGTCCCCCAGATCGCAATGATGCGCTAGTACTGAGAAAGTATTGCAGAACTAGTAAAGTAAAAAGATGTGCAAACGGTTCCATATAAATCCATCACTGATTCACTTGTATTGCATCAGTGACATGTTGCAGAATACTTCTGCCAAAAAGAAAACAAAAAAACCCATCCGGTGGGGCGGGGGGGGGGGATGAACCTCCAATGGGGAAATCAAGGTATGAGTCTTGGTTTTTCCTATTTCTTTGAGAAATAAACCTGTAAATTCATCTTGTGAAAAGGAATGGCGTGCCATTTTTTAATGGTTTCTACATAATGAAGGCTTGAGTGTAATCTTCTCCCGGAGATTTAAAATCATTTGCGTGACCGATTCTAGTTTATTCCACCTTGTATTACTTTTGAGGCTTCTGTAATGGTGTCTTATTTAATTGTTAGATTTTATTTTATTTAAAAACGGACTGCAGGGAATATATATCAGTTTAGTTCTTTTATGTACAAGCTTACCTTGTTTCCAACTAGGATTGTATGTGAGGTTGGAAGCGTGCCAGAAGCAAAAGAAGGTGAAATTGAAGTTGATGTAAATGGACAACAAGGCAGATCAACAAACGAAGTGCAGTTTACATATCAGGTGAGTCTGTCCTTGTCAATAGCTTACCTTATTTAACACATAGTATCTTGTTTTCCATTTTTCACTGGGTCAAACGTAAGTGTATAAACAGTGCATTGGTTTTTATTCCTTCATTTGGAACCTTGGCGGTTCTGCCGAAACAGAATGCTTAAGTCTACTAAATATAATAGAGAGACGGCCTGTTATAAATAAGGTGGATATAGCACCTGTACTACAAAAGACAGAAAAGAGGTGGATGGGCAGCCTTGTGCTCATCCAAACATGCTTCCATCCCTTAAAGGTCTAATGCTCATCCAGTCAAAAAGGGACTTTGACTTTATGCTGAAGGGACACAGCTTCAAGCCATCGTCTGCCTGCTACTTCACCCACTTCTTCCAAAGCAAAGAAGTCCCACCTTGGGGAAGGAGGATATGTTAGTAGCTTGTAGGTAAGACTGCAGGGTCCTGGGGGGCTGCCCAGGTAACAGCAAATGAAGCACAGAGCATCATTTACTGCCAGGGCTTTGGAGTTTGTAATCCAGAAATTGCACAATAGAAGAAGATGCTCTGTGCATCACTTTCCACTGGACAGGCAGCCTGCTAGAGTCTTCATTGGAAGCCATGTACTGGCCGAAACTGCCCTCCTAACCCAAAGTGAGGTTTGGGTTTTGCCTTGAGAGAGGAGTAGCATTCAGTGGGCAGCTAAAGGTGCAGAGAGACGCAAGGGACAAGATTGGGGGAGGGTGGGTTGTCCCTGCTTCGGTTCAGCTTACAGCAATCCAAGCAAGGGTGGCTGGCATAGTTGAACACCCCTGCTTGAATCCTCAGCCAACCCTCAGAAAAACATATTTGGCTCTGAAATGGGCCATACTTCAAGAAACAGCTCGTAGCTTTCTGCTGAACCGGTAATCTTAATGGGGAGAATGGATGCCTAGTCATGGAACAGTACCTAATGTTAGGAGAAATCCTAAAACATTTTCAGTTGGGTTGCTTAATTCCATAAATAGAGTCTCTGGCACAGACGGCATGATGTAAGTCATGTGAGAGACACAGTTAGCCACCTTGTCACCATGCCAAAGGATAGGCCTTCAATTGTCTTGCCGCAGATGCAGCCCTAAAACTCGCAGGACCTTATAGTGCTTGTAAGGCATAGGTAAGTGTACATGGATAGATACAACGTACAGGGTTATTTTTAAATTCAGCTGTCACTTTTGGTATTTAAAACAAAACTAGTGAAATGTGTCATATGGAAAGTCAAGGTTAGGTTATTCTCTTGGGGATTCATTTTTCTGCCTGGGCTATTTCAGCTTTCACGCTGAATAACCACATAGAGGAAGTGGATGTGGTCAAGTCACAAGAAGAAAGGAGTTGGATATTTGTAGAATGCGAGGCCAGAATTGGAAAACAAGGGGCATGCATGCCAAATCGGTATTGTCGGTCCGTGGCAGGAGTGGGCAGCTTGCAGCATGTGAGACTTCCACTGTGTAATTCTAGCTCTTGCTATTAATAATAATAGCAGCATTGCATTTCTAATTTTCATTACTGCGGAGTTACATGTGACTCTTTCTTCTTCAGGATCTCCATTCTTTAAGCATTCCAAAATGACAGCTGTTAAAGATTTTTGGCTTGAAAAGCATAACTTGCATTTTAGCTTTGAAAATTCCCTTACAGTTACTGGGAAGATGCAGTGTAAGAGGAAAAGAAAGAACCGAACTGTTAATTTAATGAGGTCACCAAGCTATGGGTAGTTTCTTTTCCTCTCTCTGACTTTTCACACCAATTCTCGGCTAATTCTATTTTCTTTCCCCCTCCTCTCACCCAGCTAAAAGAGGAATAGATAATTTTATTCTAAAAGGAGATGGACATTCTTTGACTGCCTCCACTTTTACCTTGGAGGTGCGTCTGTAAATGGACACCAGACTAACAATTTGTGTCTGAAATCTGTAGGGTCATCATGCCATAACTTACATTTCCTTTGGTCCATAGAATTAGGATATGAAGCATGACACAACTAACTTAATTTTACTGAAAACTTTGCTGTTTTTTTACTGGGCAATAAGAAGAGATAATATTTTTCCCCTCTCTGCCCTAACTTCCCCATTGGTTTTACACACCCAGTATACAAGAACATCAAGTATCATCAATCAGTCTCTGTAGCATTTAGTGGCCTGGTTTGTGTGTCACATTAAACCATAGTTAAAATAAACTACGAACAGGTAGTGTGCTACTGCCTGCTTCTGAAATCACAGGCCACTCACTGTTTGCTAGCAAACAAGCTTAGTTACCGCTGAACCTAGGGTCATGCTTTGATTCTCACCAAACAAACCGTAAACAGTAACCAAGGTTTATTCTTGGCTTACCACTTATGGTTTGTTTGGGGGAAGCAAACTGCTGAAATTTGTCTGTAACACTAACCCAGACCATAGCTTATTTCACAGCAGGAGCAGCGAAAGAGCAAAGCGCCTGCAATTTCAGCATCAGTCACCAGCACATTAAACTATTTTAACTAGTTAAAAGTGCCGTGTGAGTGAGGCCATTATATGTGATTTTGCTAATACTGCCATCCTCTCACTTGGTTTGCCTTTCTTATTACATGAGGAGACAGACCACTTCACACTAGGGATTAAGATTCCTATGAGTGCTAGGTGCTCAAATCTCCAGAAGCATGACATGATCCTTTACAGCTTTGTCACAGCAGCTGAAGTTTAAACCAGGCAATCTAGTGTGCATTATGTTGTCTTAACATCCTTTGTTTCTGAGATCACCTGTGGGCATTGTTTGTGGGCAGTTTAGCAGAAGAGGAGCTTCTAAACTCTTCCTTTGTTGCTTTGTGGGAGGAAGAAGGGATAGTGCGCAATCCTGAGGTTCACAGCAGATCTTTCCAGCCTGTTCATCTCTGAATGCAACCTTTCTATCAGATGTTGCAGCTGATCATGCATAATCACACGTCCTGTAGCTTTGAGTAGCCACTGCAAGTAATAAGATTATGTGTAAAAAGGTAAAGGACCCCTGACAGTTAAGTCCAGTCGTGAACAACTCTGGGGTTGCGGTGCTCATCTCGCTTTGCTGGTCGAGGGAGCCGATGTTTGTCCGCAGACAGTTTTCCGGGTCGTGTGGCCAGCATGACTAAGCCGCTTCTGGCAAAACCAGAATTATGTGTAGCATCCTTTAATGCCAAATTATGGGCATTATTTTTTTCTGAACTACATATTCAGCGTTGGCCCAACTGAACAAATCACTGAGAACAGCTCAAGTTCACCCAAGCAAGAAACATTTCTGTTCCCTTTTTAAGAATAGATTTGCACCATCTGATTAGCTATAACTATATGAAACTGTTCAATGTTGGTAATCCAGCTCGGTGTAACTAGTTCATTGTGAGATCAGCACTATCTAACCAAACTGCAAGAAATTTAAAACCTCAAATGCAGCCCCAACGTGCAGTTTCATTCCAAAAAGTGCCGTTCATTAAATTTATAGCACTTGCTTTATTGGCCTGCTTTATTGGCCCATTAAGGAAAACATTAGGTGTGCTGAGGCAGCTTTGCTGAGCACTAGATGATTATATTAAAAGGACAAGGATGTGTGTGCTTCTTTTTATGTTGCAAAAGGGCTCTTTCATGCGCATAATTTTTGTAACCAGTTTTTTTTTTTAGTATGTGCATGGTTAGGGTCACAAGAAGTTGCCTTATATGGAATCAGAACATTAGTCCATTGATTGATTTTTCCAGGATTTCACAATCGGAGATCCTGTATAAGTAGTTTCTGTATTTATATCCAAGTGAGTACAACTATTCTATCTAACTCAGCAGGTGTGGGTACACACCCTGGTTCTAATGCACACACAACATGTGCACATGGGGTATGCACTTCCAGTTCAGTAGTAAGGGCAGCTCATGACTCTTTTGTGTCCATGCACCTGCCCTCGCCGCTGAATTCATAGAATCACAGATTATTTTAGAGTTTGAAAAGACCCCCGAGGGTCGTCTAGTCTAACTCCCTGCAGTGCAGGAATCCTGTCCACAGACATCTCTGAGGGACAGGGCTCGAACCACCAACCTTCTGATTAACAGCTGTTTTGGGGAAGCTGGTATATACATGTAACCCTGTATTCCACAGGGCTCCCTCTGCACTTTGTATTAGATCTCTGTTTCCCACTCTCAGTTATGAGTGTTTTTGTTCATTTCATTGTTGGACTGGTGCAAGAGAAGCTCACGTGGCATGCGCCTCAGTTCATTCTTCAAGGGTTTTCTGCCTCCTTTCTGGGAGCTGCAAGGGAAAACGAGACAGCAACAACATGCGATAGTTTTTGAAAACATGCTTTTTGAAGACACACACAGACAATGCAGGCTTCTAGTGTGGGAGTAAATACCATCCGACATACAATTAAAAATTGAAAAGAGCTCCTTAGGCTTTATATAAGAGTGCTGTACTCTTGAATATCAAAGCAAAATGTTAATCATTGCGACTTGCACTGCAGCGCATTGAGTTCCATTCTAGGGCAATCCGGCTGAACATTAAATGTATTCTGCAGAGAGTGCTGCTTCCCTGGGCTTCTGAAAAATTAGTGCTTTTATGAGTGCTTTTCAATGTGTGTTCCAGTAGTTGTTGTTGTTGTTGTTGTTGTCATTATTATTCTTACTATTTATTAATTTTGCATACCACCCTTCATCCGAAGACCTCAGGGCAGTTCACAACATAAAAATACAAAACAAGAATGTAAAACAAAAACAAAACAATAACCCCCCTCCCGCAAGCACATTTTTAAAAAACCATAGGATGTTAATCAGCCAAAGATTATAGAGAAACATTTCTGCCTGGCACCTAAAGATATGTAATGAAGGTGCCCTTCCCTGTTTTTTCTTGCTTGGGTCAACTTGTAATCTATATGATCCTTATAGTTTATGAGATCGGAATTGACGCGTGTGGGGGATTTCCGAAAGGTGGTGCTTTGCCCTGGATCTTTCGGGTTTTCCTTAAAAGCTCAACAATTATGGGGGTGTCCTGGTTTTTACTTTTTGAAATATGGCAACCCTAGTGTTGCTCCCATCCCTTCCTTCCCAGACCTCAAAACTGCATAATTGAGGAGTTATCCGATGTTATCCTCACCACACCCCTGTGATGAGGTAGCTTGACTGAGAGCGAGTACTATGACTGATCTAAGGTCTCTTGGTGAACATCATGATGAAGTCAGGGTTTCAATCTGGTTTCTCTTGTGCAATTCAGTTCTTTACCCCCAAGATGTCTTGCTGGTTGTAAGCTATTGATAAGGACTTACAGAGACATTTGTAAACACCTCTCCCTTGCATTTGCATAAAGGATGTCATTTGTGTTTCTGTGGTATTGCATTCCAGTTTCCCTCAAGTCTTTATGATGTAAAGCTTGTGTCTCCTGCAAGAACATCTAAAAACATCTCCTAAAAGTTGCACATTTCTACATACATAGACTATCTTTACCCCTAAACCAATATTGTAGGATGCCTGGTGTTGACATTTCTGTAAAAATGAGCAAGGATTTTAATTTTATGCAGCTGTCTGCCTCTTCTTAAATTAGGTGCTCTGAATTCTGAAGGCTGCATACATAATTCCATTTTCAAATGAAAAGACTTTGACAGTTCTTAAACACAGAGACATTAAGGCTGCACCGGAGCTTACTTCTACGTAAACATACGCAGGATTGTGGTGTGCGTGATATTCCAGCTATTAAATAAAAGTTTTGATAAATTTGGTGAATAAAAGGCATGAAGGAACTGACAACAGAAGATAGGGTTGTGGGCAAGGCTGAAGTTAGTTCCAATTAGTCAAAATACATTGCAAATTTGGGAGAGGGCTATATAAAACAACAACAACAACAACAGAAGAGGAATAAGTTTTGAATTAATTGTTTGAAGTTGATTAGACTGGCTCGTGAAAGTGCAAAGCAGATAAAGCGAGATAGCATTATGCCTAATTGCATCATGTTTTCAGAGGATGAGCTATAGAACCAATTAATACTCTGCTAAGATACATTGCAAAATATGGGAGATGTTAATTTTACAAAAGGCCTTTGCAATGTGATTTCGCCAGGGCCGTCTTAAGCATATCCGGCGCCGTGGTGCAAAGCTCCCTCCTCCCCCGCCCCCCTCCCCCCATTTCCCAGAGTTGTCAACCTTTTTTTAGGGAGGACAGCATTGCCGGCGGGGCTGGAGGAGGTGGGCAGCGGCTGGAGGGCGGCTCCTCTGGTGGGGAAGAGGCAGAGGCTGAACATGGCACCTCCCAGCTCAGCTGTACACTTCGTGCCACGGTAGCCATGGCAGATGGAGGTTCCGGGCACGGTGTTGCTGCAGCGTGGGCGGCATGGCCGAGGCGGGCAAGGGCAGCAAGCTGATGCCGGGAGGCGCCGTGTCCAGTCTCCGCCTCTTCCAAGGTGCCCTCCAGAACTTGGCACCCTGTGCCACTAGCCTCTATGAGTAAGACGCCCCTGGATTTGGCCTTTGTGATTTGGCCCTGTGCAATCAGGCACAGGGTACATTTAGGTTACGATTTTTAAGCCTTGATAGTGTTGTAAATAAAATATGCCCTTTTTCCCTTATGGGGTATCCAAGAGCCCATATAGAGTCCTTACATAGGTTCCCTATTGGTAGGAGAGAATAACAGAGGCCAACCAGAGAATATTGAGAAGCAAAGCAGCTAGTAAGCTTGATCTTTATTGATCTGTTGCAACAGGGTGCTCCCCTCACCCGCAGGAAAGGAGGAGGACCCACAAAAATGCTGTGCAAGGGCTTATAAAGTGTTTTGAAATTCCCATCCTCTAGATCAAGACCACCCCCAGAAACATTACACATACATCACAGAAGGGGTGTAACCTAAGACCACCCCTCAGATACATTCCACCTACATCACAGAAATTTAAATGTTGTTTTTCTCCTGTCACAGTTTATCTCCTGTCTGGCAAGTTACTTGATTGGATTTCCCGGGGAGCCTGGCCATTCTTTTGTAGTGGTAAAATACTTATTTCCTGGGCCAGGTCACAGGCTCACACCTTATTCATATCTTAAATGTGTCCTTAAGACAGGATTTGTGAGGAAAGAGACAATGGGGAGACTTTTCCAGTTTGACCTTGCAGAGAAAACATTTGGTCAGTTTAGGAATCAAAATGGTTCCAGGTTGGTCTTCCTGTGTTGATCTATGTATGTGCAGTTATGAACATTACCATATATCTAAGACCATAAAATTCCTATCACAATAGTACATGAGCTTGCAGCAAATTTTGGGTGGTCCCAGAACCATAGAACGGTACATTTTCACAGCATTGCTAAGCCCCTTGCTAAGTCAGGTCTCCTACACATGTCACCGAGTTGAATGCAGACTGCCACCTATTTAATGTGGCCTGCCACTTCCAGCTTCCCACATTTGCAGCACCAGGCAGGAAGTTTATCAGGCTTGTGTTGGGCTATATTTGACTCAAGACTATCACAAGTTTTGCAGACCTATTTTAAGTGATACTTTCCAAATTAGCCAACTTCCCACAGAGAATAAGAGGGGACAGTTGCCTTCTGTGCAAATATCAAAACCCGTTGCTTTCACATTGCCTCACAACACTGCGGGCCTTGCTTTGTTGCTCCTGTCATTGATAACAGTTATATTCCAGGAAAGTGTGAGGAAGAAGCACTGAAACCATGACTGAAAACAGTAAGCCCAAAATGAAATCCTCAAAAAATGAACAGGCAGCTAATCCATTATGTTGTAGCTTAGGCCTTGAAATCAATAGCAGCTTAGAGTAGTGTAAGCTTTAAATAGAAGTCGGTTCATAATCTCTTTCATTTCTTCTTCCCTGGTCCATTTTTTTCCCCTCATAGTAGTATTTCCAAACCTAGAAAAGTGCCTTTGTGAGAGTAAAAACTGAATTTAACCAGTTTTTGACTTCTTCGTGACAGGATCCTGAACCTACAGGAATAAGTCCTCAAATTGGTACCAAAGCTGGAGGGACGTTCTTAACTATCAGTGGCACAAACCTGGACACTGGCTCTATTCAAGATGTTCAAGTTTACCTCGATAATGTACCCTGTCAAGTGTAAGTATATAGCTGCCTTTCCTCTCTTAGGTGTGGCCATGCCATCTATACTGTAGATTTCTAACCTCTGTCAGTAGACCTTTCAGCCATCTTAATGTCCTCTGAATTACCCTAGCCCCACCTAAATTGTTTTCCCCATGGACTGTTTTCCACAGATCCTGATGATGCAACGGAAACTTAACATTTTCTCTCTATCTAAATCTAATTAGTGTGAGTTCACACTGATTTTGTCCACAGTATATGACATTAGAATCAAGCAGCCACTTAGATGAACAGCTCTCAGAAGATCAATCCTCAGAGGGGTCGTTCTCACATTATCCTCCTTTCCCACGAATATATTTTAGTAGGGGCACATTCAGCTAAGGTTCATAGCTCATACTTGATTCACCATGTGGGCGTTGTTCCATAAAACATTACTAATGATTCTTTCAGTGGCCTCACCCCAGTGATAATATCCTGGACAGCGTACATATGAAGAAACCCCAACACTGCAGGAATATTCAGATGTCCCATACAGGAATCAAACCTGCAACCTTGGTGTTATCAGTACCACGCTCTAATCAACTGAGCTAAAATCTGCCACAGTGCTGTGATTTTAGTTTTAGCTGAGAGATATTCATGGAATCAGCCTTTATGGGATTATTATTCATCACCAAACTTTGAAGAAGACCTAAGCAGCATACATTAGATTGTTCCTTTTTATGGAGCCTGGATTGTGACCCTTCTTGAGAAGGGGTCATACAGTACGGCATGGTCTGAACCATCGATGACTAGTACACAGTTAGCACAGTAAAATGTGAAGTGCAATTGTTGTGATAGGTTCTAATGTGGTAGTATTGTTGCATTGCCATTAGAGTGCCAAATAGCATTTCAGGAAGCATGTTAACAGATACGGACAAGTCAGCACCTAACACTGAAAACGTGTACCAGATTGCAGTGCTCTGAGCAGCAGAGCTAGGAAAGTGCTTTAAATTTGTGAAGATCACCTTAAATGTTACAGTCAAAAGACATGGGTAATGGGTAATTTGTACAGAAGCTGCATATAGTGTTGTCTGCAAGTGTCGTGTTCATTCTGTTACTCTGATGACTTAAATAGGGCTTTACTATTGCACTTTCCTTGTGTTTGTTTCGTCTGTGGAGGGCAGGGTTGTCTACGACTGACATGAAATTATTGGAGAGAAATGAAGCTAATTGAGGCATAAAGAAGTATATAGAAGAGTGAAAGCAGGACTTCCTTTGCTTTTTGCACTTACTTGGTAAAATACGTCAACACTCAGAAAGGACCACCAGATCCCCTTGGCTAGAGATCTCACTTAAAAATAGGCAAGCTTCCATAGTATTTTGTTTTAAAGTGAGGGAAAGATGAAAGTCATACAAAGCATTAGGTCAAAACAGTCCAAAACTAATTTCCACGAAGTTGTCCTTATCTGGGCAGGGACACTCCAATATTGTTGAATGTCTGTGTGCTAGCAAAAGAACCTGCAGCCCACATGTTGAGGGACTTTGGAAGAAGACTGGCTGGGAGCACCACCCTGGCAGCCCAACAGCAACAGCCCGGGGATAGAGTTGGCATAGTCTCATGATGGGTTAGGCTGTTAACTCATATGCACCAGGCCTCTTAAGGAGATTCCCCCATGGGTTCATTTGGGGAGAGACCAACCCTAGCTGTGGTCTCTTACCAATGTCCCAGCCACTTATGACATTGAAAATGAAACAAAACTACTACCCTGAGCAAAGGTATCTAAAGAGCTATCTATAGGAGGGGCATGGCTGGGCCATAAGCCCAGAGTCAATTAATCATGGTCACATCACTCCTTTGCTCTCCTGACGTCCCCCTTCTCCCCCTTCACAAATACCCAGCACAAAGGGGTACACTGGTACCTCAGGTTACAGACACTTCAGGTTACAGACGCTTCAGGTTACAGACTCCGCTAACCCAGAAATATTACCTCGGGTTAAGAACTTTGCTTCAGGATGAGAACAGAAATCGTGCTCCGGCGGTGCGGTAGCAGCAGGAGGCCCCATTAGCAAAAGTGGTGCTTCAGGTTAAGAACAGTTTCAGGTTAAGAATGGACCTCTGGAACGAATTAAGTACTTAACCCGAGGTACCACTGTACTTGTATTGGATGTTAGTGAACTTGGTTTCTCAGGTGTTCATGCTTATACACATTCACTGTTTCTCTTACGTAGCAATAATAATAATAATAATAATAATAATAATAATAATAATAATAATAATTTATTATTTATACCCCACCCATCTGGCTGAGTTTCCCCAGCCACTCTGGGCGGCTCCCAATCAAATGTTAAAAACAATACAGCATTAAATATTAAAAACTTCCCTAAACAGGGCTGCCTTCAGATGTCTTTTAAAAATAGGATAGCTGCTTATTTCCTTGACATCTGATGGGAGGGTGCCACTACTGAGAAAGCCCTCTGTCTGATTCCCTGTAACTTGGCTTCTCACAGCGAGGGAACCGCCAGAAGGCCCTCGGTGCTGGACCTCAGTGTCCAGGCTGAATGACTGGGGTGGAGACGCCCCTTCAGGTATACAGGACCGAGGCCGTTTAGGGCTTTAAAGGTCAGCACATTATATTGAATGTAACCACATTTTAATATTCTAAATGTTAGACTAAATAATGCTGGTATTCTCTGTGTCACTTGAGGAAATGAAGATGTCGTTTTCCTGTGGGCTGGGGTTCGGGAGGTTGTAGAAGTCAGTCTTGATGTGATTTTTCTCTCTCCTTTTTCCTTAATTTAGTATCACATTCGGGCAAGAAATAGTTTGCGTTACTGGACCAAATAGCAAGGAAGGGCCTGTTCCTGTAACAGTACGGCATGGAAGCAATGAAAGAAGGATAGAAAACGAACCGTTTACCTACAGTGAAAACCCTACAGTTAGCAAGATCACACCTGAAGTCAGCATTTGCAGGTAATGAAATATTTCTTTTGTAGGGAAAAAAAGTGTTCAGCTTTAATGAGCTGAAATTATAAGGTTTCCCCCCTCTCCGCTTTCAATGTAATTATTAGATAACAAGTATCCTGGGTCTAAGCAATCACAATAAATGTAGCATAATTGTATATTTCTTCTAAAACAGAAGTCATCACCTTCAAGAAAGGCAGAGCACTCTTCTGTTTAAGAATAATGTATCAAATTAATAAAATGTTCATGACTTTCTTCCTACTCCACTTGAAACAGATTAAGGGTTACAGTCAACTTAATCCTACTCCAGGATAGACCCGTTAATGAACCCATTTAGAATGCCTTTTAACTTCACCAAGTCTACTCTGAGTAGACCTTAGAAGGAAAATAATGGGATACATGGTTTTATTTTTGCTTTTATATTTTAGCGGAGGCCGAAATATTACTGTCGTTGGAGCTGGTTTTGATATTATCCAGCATTTCTCTGTGAAAGTTATATTTAAGCCTTTTGTCGAGAGATCATCAAGGAAGAGGAGGAAGAGGCAGACAGAGGAGGTACAAAAGGTAACCATCGTCTCTTCTTTGTACAGAAATACAGTGTGGACAGTATTTTATTCATTTATTAAATTTCTATCGCACCCTGCATCCAAAGATCACAGGCTCGTTCTCATGTTGCTACCCTCCAGGGCTCTCATGGAAGAGACACAGGGTCCCAGTTGGTTCATACTGAAACTTTACCTAATCCAAAAACCCTTGAAATTTCTCTTTGTTAGTTTTAGTGGATTCAGCAGTTGGTCAAGAACTTTAGGATTTAATTAATAGGTTTTGAGTGGCATAACTGGAAGAGGGTGAGTTTGTGGGGCACAAATTGCCATGCCCAAGCCCTGTAGGGCTCACAAGAATTAGGGAGGAAGCTAAGGAAAATGTTTATGTGGTGCTCTTGCAGATTTCCCTTCCATTTCCCTCCTATTAATTCCTATAAGAAGGAATTTTGCTGTGCCCGCTCCAAGGCTGGGATAGTTTTCTTGCCCAGCTGAAAATATGTTAAAGGAACCAAGGGAATTTTGGATCTTTGTGCTGTTGTTGCTTTTTTCCTGTTTTAGTCACATTCTTAATTGTAATTTTAATGTTTTGAATAGTTTTTTCCCCTGTATGAGCCCCTATATAACATGATCTGATATGCAGTAAACCAGGGGTCAGCAAACTTTTTCAGCAGGGGGATGGTCCACTGTCCCTCAGACTTTGTGGGGGGCCGGGCTATATTTTTATGGGGGGATGAACGTATTCGTATGCCCCACAAATAACCCAGAGATGCATTTTAAATAAAAGGACACATTCTACTCATGTAAAAACACCAGGCAGGCCCCACAAATAACCCAGAGATGCATTTTAAATAAAAGGACACATTCTACTTATGTGAAAACCCACTGATTCCTGGACCGTCCGCGGGCCAGATTTAGAAGGCGATTGGGACAGATCTGGCCCCCGGGCCTTAGTTTGCCTGCCCATGCAGTAAACTCACACATTAGTATGCAAAGGTTAATTTGGAAGAAGCACTGACACTGCATAAAACTACAAGTGAAATTCACAGTTTGTGGTGTAAAAATGATTAGCAAAATTAATTGTGTCAAAGATGGCCAGAATGGAGTCCAGTTAAACTTAGTATTCAGAAATGCACTGTTTATACACTGGGATATACCTATGATCATCCATCCTAAAACAATGCATGTGAAGTAGCTCATGTTTTTTACCAATTTGATAGACACAGAGATGAATTACCAGTGCTGCAGTAGCAAAAATACCAACTTTCGAAAAAGGACTAAAGTGTATGAGATTGCAAGAGAGAGAATCATAGAATCATAGAATCATAGAGTTGGAATAGACCACAAGGGCCATCGAGTCCAACCCCCTGCCAAGCAGGAAACACCATCAGAGCACTCCTGACATATGGTTGTCAAGCCTCTGCTTAAAGACCTCCAAAGAAGGAGACTCCACCACACTCCTTGGCAGCAAATCCCACTGTCGAACAGCTCTTACTGTCAGGAAGTTCTTCCTAATGTTTAGGTGGAATCTTCTTTCTTGTAGTTTGGATCCATTGCTCCGTGTCCGCTTCTCTGGAGCAGCAGAAAACAGCCTTTCTCCCTCCTCTATGTGACATCCTTTTATATATTTGTACATGGCTATCATATCACCCCGTAACCTCCTCTTCTCCAGGCTAAACATGCCCAGTGAGGTGACAGCTTGCACATTGAATTTGCTTGTATATGTGTGAGACAAGGAGGGAGGGAAGGATAAAGGAAAAATGTAAAAATTTACCTGCCAGTGATCACCAATACTTGTTTGTTTGTTTGTTTGTTTGTTTGTTTGTTTGTTTGTTTGTTTAGTTTGAAGGGAAAACCATCTCAAAGATCAATGACACCACTCTAGTCTTCTTATCACCACCGGTGCTGGAGGACCCAGAAAATTACAGAATTACTGTGGTTCTCCAAATGGATGGTCATCAAGTGGGGAAAGACTTTCAATATGTTGCTGATCCAACCTTTGAAAACTTCACTGATGGTGTCAAGAAACAAGTCAATAAACTTATTCACGCAAAGGTAAGTGTGTCAGGAAAATGGCCTCTTTCAGTGTGCTTTGCCATTTCATATTTGCATTTGGCGCTTTCTTTCCTAATTGTGCTAACCCAATGCAAACGGTTGACTGGAATAATTCCAAACACTGTTTTCAAAGACTAGTATTGTCTGAATGTGGGGAGCATAAATTCCTTTTTTTGTGCTACTTAGGGGTGGGGGAGACTTGTCTTTGCCTGCTGACATATGCCTCTACAGGTTTCTTGTCAGTGGGGTTTCCTCTTGCTGAAATCAATAATTGAGTCCTTATCAGCAAGTTCTCCTGACATTCTTTGACCTTATTTATACCCCCTGTTGCCACCAGGGGATGATATTGGCTATTGTAAATCTAGGCCGGCACTCTCCTTGCCCTGCAGGAACAGCTTCCATGAACAAGGCTTACAGATTTGCCTCAGAACGTCAGCTACCCTGAGGGTATTTCCTCTTCCACGTAGATATCAAATCCAGCTGTTTGGTTTTCAGATGGAACTGTGCGAAACATGAATGTATTAATCATGAAAGCTTTTATCCTTTTCCTTCCCTCTCCTCCCCTCCGCTCCCAGACACCACGAAGCGAGTTGATAGCTAAGATGGCTTAGTGTTTCTGTGTTTCTGTCTAGGGCAGCAATCTCAACAAAGCTATGACGTTGGAAGAGGCGCGAGCATTTGTGGGAGAGGAGCCCTGCGTCATCAAAACCCTGACGGAGAACGATTTGTACTGTGAGCCACCTGAAGTGCAGCCGCCGCCCAAGAGAAGGCAGAAGAGAGATACGGTTAATAACCTGCCAGAATTCAGCGTAGGTCACATTTATCTGTCTTTTTAACAACACATATAAGGTGTGCGGCACATAGGGCATCTTGTTTTGAAGTGGCAATAATAAAGAGCCTTCTTTTTACGCATGATTTGTGCTTCCAAAGAGCACGGGCAGAAGAAAACCATTATCCCGTTTGCCACTCCTTGCCTAGAAACAGAATGTGTGGAAGCAAGTGTTAGCTTTCTTTTGCTCGGACCTAGGCTGTACTGGTACTGAAAGGTGCATCGATCTAGATCAGTGCTTCCCAAACCTGGGTCTCCAGCAAACTTTTGGACTACAATTCCCATCATCCCTGACCACTGTTCTTGATAGCTAGGGATGATGGGAGTTGTAGTCCAAAAACAGCTGGAGAGGAGACCCAAGTTTGGGAAACTCTGGTCTAGATTCAGGGCCACCCTACCAGCACAAGCAACCCCAAGCAGCAGCTTAATGAAGCAGTAGTTTTGGAGGAATCAGTGAAACATGTGATCTGGGAAATGCACCCCAGGGAACTGCGGTCTTATTTATTGAAAGAAAGAAGTTATAAACCACTCACCATTCACAAATATTGTGGTGGTATCCAAAAAGAAAATTACAAAGTTAAAACAATAAAAATACATTGAATCCATCTGATATACAGTTCCACAGCTTATTGTTTACAGCAGACGTAGTCAGTGTGGAGCCTTGAGGATGCTTGTGGACAGTTAACTCCCAGCATCCCTGACCATTAGTCATGATGGCTGCAGGCTAATGAAGATGGAGTCCAATAACATCTAGAAGGCCCCATGTTGCTACTCCTGGTGTATTGGGACATGGGTGGTGCCGTGGTATAAATCACTGAGCCTCCTGGGCTTGCTGATCAGAAGGTCGGTGGTTCGAATCCGCACAACAGGGTGAGCTCCCGTTGCTCTGTCCCAGCTCCTGTCAACCTAGCATTTCGAAATCATGCCAGTGCAAGTAGATAAATAGGTATCACTGCAGTGGGAAGGTAAGTGGCGTTTCTGAGCGCCCTGGTTTCCGTCACGGTGTTCTGTTGCACCAGAAGCCATTTAGTCATGTTAGCCACATGACCCGGAAAGCTGTCTGTGGAGAAACGCCAGCTCCCTCAGCCTGAAAGACAGTCGCCTTGGACTGGACCTGACTGTCCAAGGGTCCTTTACCTCTTACTCCTGGTGTGCAGGAGTGATCAGATACCCTTGCTATTGTCTTTTAGATGTCTAGTCAACATACATTTGTTTTTAAAACGTTTGGATTGATCTCATAATTTTGTTGCTGGTTTTGTGTTTGATTTTGATTGTGTATTTAGTATTTAAGGCTGGGTTAAGTTTTGCAACTTTATAGAGTTGAAAGCTTTGTAGGTTGCAGTCAGATTTAGGTAGGGTAATACTAAGTGAAGGACTAACTAAACCTGCACACCCATCTGAGGCCTTGCTCCGCTTTCAGTTGGCTGCGATGCAGGAACAGGCCTTCTTAAAGGCAGTCAGCCGCTGGCAGAACCCCCTTCCCTAGAGAGGTCCAGTTAGCTTCCTTTTGAGGGGGAGAATATAAAGACACTCTTTTATTATTTGCATGCTTTTAATCTTCCCTATGTTTATAATCTCCTACTGTAGTTTTGTCTTATTTTATTTTGACCTCTATCATTCTCTCTCCCCTTGCTGCCGTTGTCATCAACGTTATGCTCCTGATTTTGGTTATATTGGTGTTACTGTTATTTTATTTCTGTTTTTTTTTTAATTTTGAGACCACTTTGGGTGTCCCTTTAAGCCTGAAAGGTGGGGTAGAAATTTCTAATTAAACCTGATGTTTTATGCTGGGCAAGCCCTTCACTGTGGTTTGTGTTTGAGCTATCCTTACCCACTGGCCTGCCTTCATCCTCTCCCATTTTGATGATTTTGAATTGTTAGCATGTAGTAAGGATTACCGTATTTTTCGGTCTATAAGACGCACCAGACCACAAGACGCACCTAGTTTTTGGAGGAGGAAAACAAGAAAAAAAATTATTCTGAATCTCAGAAGCCAGAACAGCAAGAGGGATCTCTGCGCAGTGAAAGCAGCGATCCGTCTTGCTGTTCTGGCTTCTGGGATAGCTGCGCAGCCTGCATTCACTCCATAAGACACACACACATTTCCCCTTACTTTTTAGGAGGGAAAAAGTGAGTCTTATAGAGCAAAAAATACGGCAATTAGTTAGGCTGCAAACCTCACCCCATTTACCTGGAGGTAAACGCCCCATTGTATTCAGTAGAACTTACTTCTGAGAAGACATGGTTAGGATAATACTGTAAGCAAGTTAACCTGGCACTCATAATACTGTTTAAGGTTGGACATTATCTATCCTACATTTGAATATATTATACTCTTTGGATATATCTGGGAATGTAAGCTCAGTTGTTCCGGGGAACGGGGAACAAAGGGGCATAGATCTAAAACATCATAGCGCATAATAAAAACATGCTGTCTGATTATTAACTTACAAAGTGCACTTATTTATCTAGGTGAAATTTGGCTTCAAAGAATGGATCCTAGGAAGAGTGGAGTATACCCAAGTGAGTGACATACCACTAGGCTTGATCTTGCCATTGGTATTAATTCCCATGGTGGCTATTATCATCATCTCAATCTTCTGCTACAGGTAAGATGTGGTTATCAGTCATCAGATAATATTGAAATGCCGGAGGCAAAAGCTGATGGTGAAGGGAAATGGGTCTGCAGAGAAATATGAAGAAAATTATTTGTGATGATTCCCAGTGTTCACACATGCGGTTCTGTGTGAAATAGAATATCCCATTGCTTCAGGGCTTTTTTTTCAACCCTCACTGATGCTAATCACCCTATGTCTTGGAGCAGTACATATGTGCAATCAAAGATATATTCTAAGCAGGATGTGGGGAACATAGATGTGGTTAGCATTTCTTTCTGCCGGTTTTTGAAGGTTTCTAAATATTAAGATGATTGGTTTACTGTGCATTTTCTGTACATGTCATGATGGGAGGTGGGTATGTATTGTATATCTTTAGTCAAAGCAAAGGCAGATGATTCTTTCTAACATAGTATTGAAAACAACAAAAGGTCATTATATCTGTCTTCAGAGAACAACTTCGTGGGAGAAAATGGGTGACTTTGGAATGCAAAATACAGGTGTGTTTTTGCCTGTCGAGGTCCCCAGGGCCACCCCAATAACTCACACATCACACAGAATTTTTGTTTAAGATTTTTGGCATAATTTTGGCCACAACTTTATTAAAATACAAATTTGTGAGTGGTTGCTTAGGCATTGGTTGCGACTATCTGCCCCTACCATGGGGGACAGACTGACATTCCGCATGATGTGAAAGTCAGAAAAGGGGAATACACTTGGGGGTAGCGACAGAGCAGGGAAGCTGCCCTCAGCCCTCCCCAAATGCAACCAGGAGCTCATTGCTATGGCCCAAGCCCCCTTGACAGAGTGGACAAGCAATAGTTAGCCCCCGATTCCTTTAACGGAATCCCTTGCAGCAGCAGCAGCAGCAGCATTAGAGGGGCAGGCACAGCCAATCCATACCCCTCAACCAACCAAACCATAAACCAATGCCTAACCTTACAAGTTGTGATGATTTGCTACGCAGTAGGCAAAAACCAAATGGCCCCAGCCAATCAGCCAGATGGACAAAATTCCTACCGGGCCCCTGCCCCAAAGCAGACGACCCCATGACAGGCATAGCAAGGTCAAAGCGAACAACCCTATTCTAGGGAGGGAGAGATGGGCAATCCGATGCATGGGCGAAAAGAGGAAGCCCTAGCCTTGTGCAAGAAGTTTTAGCATTTCTGGCTGTCAATCAACAAATGGCAACATTAACTTCTTCCCAACAACAAGGGAAGCCCCAATCGCATCAGTGGCCAACAATCAATTAACCCGCCCCCAACTTTGGAGTGTCCTGGCGGCCCCCACCGCAACACGTGCTCTCCATGAAGGAGAACACACTTTGTAGGAAAGGATTAGGATGTTTAGGTTGCTACCACCTGTATTCAGGAATCTTTCCTGGGGGGGAGGGGGATCTATGCTGAACTCTGAGATCTTTATAATGTATATTTTTGCAAGGAGAAGCATTGTTTTATATCTGAGTTATCTTACGAAAGACCAGAAAAATCAGCGGAGGTTATCAAATCTGTTTCGATTGCAGAAACCCAGAATATGAGTCACACAACTGAAAACTCCAAAGGTTCTGTGTTTCTGTGCAGTGTCTGAACACATTTGCACCCTACAGGATACGCCAAGTGTTTCTTGTTCACAACTAGTCCCCCACGCTCAAAATTGTGTGTTTCCCTTCTGAATGAATACGTGTTAGAAAAACATATTCGGGGGGGGGGACCTAACTGTGTAGAGGGTAATCTGAGTGCTTGTTACAGCAATGAGATTTAAATTGAAACTTGCACATGACTAATGTTGAAAGGCTGCAACTAACCTGAGCATTAAGAACGGTATTGATAAAGCACGCAGCCATTAGTCCAGGTTCATAAACAACTGTGGAATAGGCCAGCAGCAATTATTACTCAACTTCATTCAACAGTTAATAGTTTTCTTTTGAAGAAAATCCATTCTTTGAGGTAAATTTTTAAACAATCCTGGCTGCAGTAAAATCAATAAAGCCTTGTTAATTTTGTGCCAGCTTAAATTTCAGCCTATTGTTTTCTTTTCTTCTCCCCCACCCCTCTGCCTTCTCAGTTTTAAAAGATCAGGAGGAGAAAGACTGCGCTTCGGAAGATCCCTCTGGCCTTTTGCATGGCTGTGTTGTAAAATGATTTATTTTTACAGCCTGTAACTTTTCTGTACTCTCTGTTTCTATTCCTTATAGACGGCAAAGCGAACAAGCAGAACGAGAATACGAAAAAATTAAATCACAACTTGAAGGCTTGGAGGAAAGCGTCAGAGACCGGTGCAAAAAGGAATTTACAGGTATGACTTATACCTAATTTCTTGTGGGGCCTCCGGAGAAATCACAAGATGTGTCGAAATGCTGCCACTGTCTGCCTTAAACTGCCTTCTGAGGATATGCAGGAGGCGCAACCATTCTAGATTACAGCGTGTTGACATGCGCATTGCATAGTCATGTGGCAATTAAATGCAAAGGCCGTCAAAAAGAGAATACAAAAAAGAACCGACGGGGTTTGTTTTTTAATGTAAAAGGAAAAGAAGTACCTGCAACTAAATTGGCAACGGGGAGAAATAGTCAGGCCTCTTTCACCCTGAAGATGTTCCTACTGTAACGCAGTTTGCGGCAGCAGTGTGGAGTGGGGTGGCAGGTGAAGGAGCAATAGGCTGAAACGGGGTAAAAGGTAAAGGGACCCCTGACCATTAGGTCCAGTCGTGACCGACTCTGGGGTTGCGGCGCTCATCTCACTTTATTGGCCGAGGGAGCCGGCGTTCAGCTTCCGGGTCATGTGGCCAGCGAACCAGAGCAGCGCACGGAAACGCCGTTTACCTTCCCACCGGAGTGGTACCTATTTATCTACTTGCACTTTGACGTGCTTTCGAACTGCTAGGTTGGCAGGAGCAGGGACCGAGCAACGGGAGCTCACCCCGTTGCGGGGATTTGAACCGCCGACCTTCTGATTGGCAAGCCCTAGGCTCTGTGGTTTAACCACAGCACCACCCACGTCCCTCAAGTGGGACTAGTAGGAAGGACTAGGTAAAGGTAAAGGGACCCCTGACCATTAGGTCCAGTCGTGACCGACTCTGGGGTTGCGGCGCTCATCTCGCTTTATTGGCCGAGGGAGCCGGCGTTCAGCTTCCGGGTCATGTGGCCAGCGAACCAGAGCAGCGCATGGAAACGCCGTTTACCTTCCCGCCGGAGTGGTACCTATTTATCTACTTGCACTTTGACGTGCTTTCGAACTGCTAGGTTGGCAGGAGCAGGGACCGAGCAACGGGAGCTCACCTCGTCGCGGGGATTCGAACCGCGACCTTCTGATCAGCAAGTCCTAGGCTCTGTGGTTTAACCCAGTGTTTCCCAACCTTTTTTGGGCAAAGGCACACTTGTTTGATGAAAAAAATCTCGAGGCACACCACCATTACAGCCCCGTGACGTCAGCGCGCAGCGTCACGCCGGGAGGGACGCACGAAAGTGTAACTTTCAATTTTTTCCCCTCCCCCTTGCCGGGGAACCTCCAAGCTTTGGGGGTGGGGGGGGAGGAGGCAGCAAAGCGAGGGACTGAGGGACTCCTCCAACGACAAGGGTTGGGGAAGAAGAGAAAGGGTTATTCCGCTCCAGTCACAGGAGGGGAATATGTACTGGCCCAACTGGTGTGCGGTCTTCGGAAAGCGGGGTGCGGGAAGGAAGCCTAGGCTCGGGGTCCACCGACCTCGGCGGAGAAAGGCAACAACCGGAGCCGATGACGAGCCGGCGCGTGCGTGCAGCGGCTGGCCTCGAGCTCGGGAAGCTGCACGCGGCGATGTTGACGCGGGGCGCGCGAGAGCTTGGGGGCGGGGCGGGAGAGAGAGAGAAAGAGTTGGCAGCACCAGGCGCTGTTACTTATTGCACTGCGGACGCTGCCAGCAACTGTGGTGGTTGTGCGGCGGCCGCGGCCGCAGAACGTCCTCGTCAGTCAGCTGAGCTGCCTGGCGGCGTAGGGAGCCGAGGGGCGGGGCTTCCTTTCTGAAGGAGCTGAGGGTGGGGGTCCTCTGGCGCCTTCGGCGAAACGGCGCCGGCCCAGAGCGCTTCTAGGAGGCTGCCTTTGTGCGCGACGTAAAGCCCTCTTTCCCTCCCTCCAGCCCCGTGTCACATGTGGAAAAGGGGGCTGGATCCAGTGACGCAACTCGGAAAACTGTTAGGGAAGCCAGAGCAGGAAAGTGAGTGGGAGGCGGCGTCGCCGCTTTAACCCACGTTTCCTTTTTGAAAGAGAAACCAGTGTTTCCCAACCTTTTTTGGACTCGCTCGCGGCACACCAGGCAACATCTCGCGGCACACTAGTGTGCCGCGGAACACCGGTTGGGAAACACTGGTTTAACCCACAGCACCACCTGAAGATGTTCCTGCTATAACGCAGTTTGCGGCAGCAGTGTGGAGTGGGGTGGCAGGTGAAGGAGCAATATGCTGAAATGGGGTACAAATGGCCAAAACATTTTATTAGCTACTGATCACAGTGTTTGCCTAGGCATTAGACAAGGTTCCAGTCCTCAGGCAGTCTATAACTACTGAACTGGCACAACCACACTAACACGCTAGAAAAACATTGTTGGGAGTAGTAGGAATCTTGGGCTCGCCACTTCACAAACTGATACCATGGTCCTGTCCTGTAATTTGGGGGTGCGGCAGATGTGCCAGCTGTCAAACTGGGATGGGGCCTTGAATTGTCACCCTTATACCAGTGAGGAGCAAGGGAGTCCGTCTCTGCTTACTCCTGCAGGAGGCCTCCAATTGCCCTCAGTGAGAGGTTGTGCCAGAAATACGGACCAATGTAGTTAAGCCATAGACTTAACAAGATTGTTGCAAGGAAGGCAGAAATTCTGCATTGCTCAGATAAGGCACACAGATATGAGTAAAATGTCTTTCCAACCTGCTAACAGCAGCCTAGCTTTTCTACTTTGTTTTTTCCTCCTCCCACCCCTCCTTTGTATAACAACTTACCAGATGTCAAACTTTTGAGACATTTTGGTTAGTCCCAGTAAAGGTATTACCCAACTCTGGATTTTGGAGGGTTCCCCCCCACCCTTATGGACCAGTACAGCTAACTCTGCTTTTGCATCTTCTGCCAGCTCCTATCTAGTTTTTGGCCTTCTCCCTGCCCTAAAAATTGACCCTGTTTCTCCAGCTCTGTCCTTTTCCTTCAGTTCTGACTGTTTCACCAGACTCAAGTTTGACTTGTAGCTTGGCGAGGACTTGCCAAAAAGTACCAGTTCTCACCGGTTATGTGACAGCCTGCTCTCTGACCATAGGGAATGTTTACAAAACAAAGAAAACAGGGGGTAAATGAAAAATATTGCTGAGACAACAAGTACTGGTCAGTCAAGAAACCAGAAGCCCTCTGTTCTGTGCCTTTGTAAGGTGACAAAGCGATTCATCCTCTCCTGTGTCAAAACTTAAAGGCTCTTTGATCAACCTGATGTGTTGTCAGTGATAACGGATGAACTGTTTAACCTCCTTCCTTCCTGCCAATAGCCTAGTTGTACTTGCATATTGATCTTTGCTCCTTCATGTACTGTTCTATCTGCCATTTATATTTTAAAATGATAAAAAGAGAAACTTCAGACTTAACTGGCATAGCAGTTATGTCCCAACCCCAAATAAACGGACTAGCCTCTGATCTGTTCTCTCAGTTGCTTTATTAGGGACGGATTTTTAAATGAATTTCAAGCCTGAGAATCTGACTGTTTTTCGCATTTGCTTCCCTTAACTAACATTTGTTAGAGATGCAATTTGGCTCAAATGCCACAGTTCTTAAAAGAGAGAACCTTGGTTTAAAAAATCATAACAGCTGCACAAAAATCCACTGTTCGTTATTAGACCTTCCTCATATTGAAAGAAAAATGAGAGCTTTTTATTGTCCTCTCATTTCTGAGCATTATGCATTAGTGCCATACATGAAGTGGGTGAAACCATCTTTTGTAATCTTACAAAACCCGTTAACATTGCTGTTCATGCTAAGACACCTTTAATCTTCTCTTTTTAACTTCTGCTCAGTCTTGGACACTAAAAATCCCATGAAGCAGTTTACCTTGGTGTGCACAATATTCCTGTGTGTGCACAGTAACAAATTCATTGAATGCTGACCCACAAATTCCCAATAAAATATGTTTTGTGGTCATAAATTGTCAGTGTTCTGTTTCTTTACATATCCTTGTACTTGATTCGCCGATATTCATGTAGCAAGTAGTAACGTAGTTTGCAATAAAAATGAAATTGTAACAGCACTGGAATGAATTTTCAGCCTGCTAGAAATTCCACAGTTTAAAATGATGCAATAGTTAAAAACAACACAGAACAGCCTGCGGGAATAGCTTTGTGAAAGTGCAGTGTTTATCTATCCAGTGAGGGGACCGGATGCATCCCTGTATCAAGGTCATTTCATACTATGTATGACAATATGAAGACCCCAAGACCAGCCCCTTGTTAAAATAAATTCACACGGACACAGAATATTTAGTTTAAGGTTATTGGCAAAATTTTAGGCCACAACTTTATTGAATTACAGAAATGTGAGCGGTATTGGCTTAGGCATTGGCATAGACTATATCGGACTCCTGCCTGCTTTACAGGTAGTCAATAAGGGTAAACTACCCCAGGTAAAGGTAAAGGTACCCCTGCCCGTACGGGCCAGTCTTGACAGACTCTGGGGTTGTGCGCCCATCTCACTCTAGAGGCCGGGGGCCAGCGCTGTCCGGAGACACTTCCGGGTCACGTGGACAGCGTGACGAAGCTGCATCTGGCGAGCCAGAGCCACACACGGAAACGCCGTTTACCTTCCCGCTAGTAAGCGGTCCCTATTTATCTACTTGCACTTAAGAGTGCTTTCGAACTGCTAGGTTGGCAGGCGCTGGACCGAGCAACGGGAGCGCACCCCGCCACGGGGATTCGAACCGCCGACCTTTTGATCGGCAAGCCCTAGGCGCTGAGGCTTTTACCCACAGCGCCACCCGCATCCCTAAACTACCCCAAGAGGAAGCCAAATCGGGGGAACCCACCTGTAGCTTTCCTCGGTGTTCTCAGAGGCCTGGCATGGCCCTATCCCCTCAAGCAGACTTCAGACAGGAACCAGGCCCTGGCTTCCTTTAACGGAATACCCTTTGGTCAGTGGAGGGGCAGGCAATGGCCGACCTCCCCTCCCCCACAATTCAATGAGCCAATGCCTAACCGCCAAACCTTACAAAGTTGTGACGATTGCTAAGAGGTAGGCGAAAACCAAGTGACCCGTGCCAATTTGCCAGATGGAAAAATGCCTATCTGGCCCCTGCCCCAAGACAGGCGACCAACCAACGTCCAAAGCGAGGCCAGAGGACACCTAAATTACAGGGCGGGTGGGCAGGTGTTCGGCAGCAAGAAGCAGGTGGACAGCCCACATAGCTCCTCCGCTTTAAAATCCCCCACATCCCCCCTCTCAAAATGATTGGCCAATAGGCCTGGGGTGATCGTGATGCCACCCTGGCATGAAAACGTTACTCCACCCACACCAGAGTGCGGGGAGGAACCAGGCTGAGTGCCTGCCCACAAGCAGGACCATTCTAAAGATGATCTCACTTACTGCTATCAACTCTGTAAAGTTGGGGGCCACATTTCCTTCTGGACAACCTTATGAGAGCCACATGGAAGTGATGGATGGGGCCAGAGGCAAAATGGGTAGAGCAACAAACGCAAATGTTGTCTTTGTACAGTGAGCTAGAGTCTACACATTCTCACCAACTCCTCTCTGCCCTCCATCCTGACACATGAGAGGCATCATCCGAGTGCAAGGACACATTCTAACCGAGCAACAACTCTTGGGGTGCAAAGCCACACCAATGAGAGGTGAGGCCTCAGAAAATGTCCAAGAGGCTTGAAGGGTCACATTGGGCCCCCAGGCCTGAGGTTCCCGGCATAGACTAGGTTTCAGAACGTGGCTTTTGTCCATAGTTCTAAGGACATAAGCTCCTTAAGATACACAGGGCCAAGACCATTTGAATCTTCAGTAGTCATCACGAGTGATTTGAACTGGGCTCGGAAGCAGTCGGTCTAAGTGAGTTGAAATATTAGTTAAGTTCTTCTGGTGGCTTTCCCCCATAAAGAGGCAATCTGTGGATTCTGCATTAGTTGCGGCTTCCAAGCCAACTTCAAAGGTAAAGCTCCCTGTAGCGATCACATTGGAGGTTGCTAAATTCCTCAGAGCCAAATCCCACAAAGCAGAGGTTTTTACAACATGGCAGTCTCTTTGTCTCAGTAGGTTTTGTATGGGAGACTACAACAATCCATATAATACTTTGAAATGTACATAGGATAAGTACCATACAGCATTCTTATGCTGTCCAATTAACAAGACCATTGGCTGCAGATAGTTTATAGCTCAAACTAGAATGCAAAATGCATTTACTCTCCAGTAAATAAAGTAATTTTCTCACAGCTGTGTTCTAAATTGAAACTCCTGTCAAGATTATTTCTTCATGCAACTAATTCTGGTAAGCGAGCTTCCACTGGGAAAACAAGTTTTACTGTAAGGTGCAAATCTTGCTAAATGAGACCGAAATGGAAATGGAAGTAAAGTTGAAAGGGTGCTTCAGTTAAAAAATCAGGATATTGATGTTTCCCCCTTCAAAGTAGCAAAGACTGAATCAATAGTTTATTTTCCACTTAAATCTTTGAAATGTTGCCTCTTGTAGATTTGATGATAGAAATGGAAGATCAGACAAACGATGTTAACGAAGCAGGAATTCCTGTGCTGGACTACAAAACATATACGGACAGAGTCTTCTTCCTGCCATCCAAAGACGGAGAAAAAGATGTCATGATCACGGGGAGGCTGGATATTCCTGAAGCTCGACGGCAAACCGTAGAACAGGCACTGAATCAATTCTCCAATCTGCTCAATAGTAAATCATTTCTCATTAATGTAAGTAAAAAGTGAAAGGTCCCTTTGTGCCCTTGAAATGCAGTTTTTCCCTGATATATATTTACAACAACAAAATTAGTCTGCATATTTTTGCCATGTATATTTTGCAAAAGGCTGTGTGAACAGTGTAAATAATATCTCAAGTAGTTTGACACTGCTCCTGTCATTCCCTGTATGATATTGAGCTGAAATATTATTAGCTCCTTCCATGAACTATTCATATCCAATTCGATCACTGCACTAGCCATTCGGTGTGACAATAAATAAAAGCAGTGTTTTAAAATGCCTAGATCTAAAAGTTATTTAAAAGAAAATTTCAATCTGAGGAAGAGTAAAAGGTTGTATATCTTATATAGATCATTTGTATCCTCTTTGAGACTTAACTGAGAAATGCTTTAGAAATCCCCGTTTCTCCCTTTTTCCTTTAACAAAGGTGTCCCAAGCATATGCACCAAATGGCAGTGTGATAGCTTATTGTTCAATGAAGTTTATTGTATTGCAAATGACAAACACAATGCTGAATGGCGTAGTTAAACAAAGGCATCACTTCATTTGGCAAAAAATAAAATGCCAAGCTCTAGTTAGTACTGTTGTGGTATATTTTGCCCAAAGCCCTATTCCTACATTTACTCACATGTAAGTTACTTACTGAGACACGGGTGGCGCTGCGATCTAAACCACAGAGCCTAGGACTTGCCGATCAGAAGGTTGGCAGTTCGAATCCCCGTGACGGGGTGAGCTCCTGTTGTTCGGTCCCTGCTCCTGCCAACCTAGCAGTTCAAAAGCACGTCAAGTGCAAGTAGATAAATAGGTACTGCTCCGGTGGGAAGGTAAACGGCGTTTCCATGTGCTGCTCTGGTTTGCCAGACGCAGCTTAGTCATGCTGGCCACATGACCCGGAAACTGTCTGCGGACAAACGCCGGCTCCCTCGGCCTATAGAGCAAGATGAGCACGTAACCCCAGAGTCGTCTGCGGCTGGACCTAACTGTCAGGGGTCCCTTTACCTTTTATGTTACTTACTTGTAGCAACAGGATCGGAGCCACACTTCTGACCCTAATTCTTTGCATCCCATTACTGTGCCGCCTCAAATCTTCATTGGTTAAATCTGAGAGGGGAAACTTCACACAAGTGGAAAACCTGATATGGTGGATTTCCTGCTCAGTGGAAGCCACTCTATGGAAGCAGCTGTTCATGCAAAGTGTTCCCTTTTCACACATCCATGTATACCCTGCAAAGGTTGAGGGTGGTGCAGCAATAGGGATACTACGCTGGGGGGGCGGGCGGTATGTCCAGAAGTGTACATGAGGAACCCATGTGATTCGTCTTTTTGGGCTTGGTTACAGAATGAATGAAAGGAATGAAATTCAGTTGCTGAATCACATACCTGATGTTTTTTTCTGTTTTGTTTGTTTAGTTCATTCACACATTAGAAAACCAAAGAGAATTCTCTGCCCGTGCAAAAGTGTATTTTGCATCTCTCTTGACTGTGGCTTTGCACGGGAAGCTGGAATACTATACGGACATCATGAGGACATTGTTTTTGGAGCTGATGGAGCAGTACGTTGTGGCCAAAAATCCCAAACTGATGCTCAGAAGGTAGGGAAGGTTTCTTCAGTTGCCCAGTTTCCATTGAAGTAAATGAAATAAAACTCCCATCATTTTTAACAGAGCACAACTTATTGTGTCTGTTGCTTCCCTTCTCAAATACATCTATTACTATTTGCGCACTGGGATTCTAAGAACTTTGGTACATGTTTGAGAGTGTAAGAGTAGGGCTGGGAAGGTCTGGGTTCAAATCCCTACTCAGCTATGAAGCTCATTGGGTGACCTTGGGGCCAATCATTACATGTCTTTGCCTATTCTACCTTACTGTGCAGTTCTGAGAATACAATGGGAAGAGAAGAACCATGCACATTTTATCCTGCCTTGTAGTAACAGAGGATATAAAACATACTTTCAGTGAGGAATGTGATGCGACCCCACAGAAACCGGGCTCCATGGTTTACCGAGGAGCTCCGGAAAATGAAGCGGGACCTCAGACGGCTAGAGCGAGTATGGCGGGGTGCCCGTGACGGAGCCTCAAGAACATCTTATAGGGCTTTTATGAAAACCTACGAGATGGCGGTGAAGGCTGCTAAGAAGTCATACTTCTCGGCCTCCATTGCATCCGCTAGCTCTCGCCCAGCACAATTATTTAGTATAATCAGGTCTTTAACGTCCCTTGAGGGACAGCTAAATTTAAATAACAATTTGACACACAGCTGTGAGGCATTTGCGAGCTTTTTTGCGGAGAAGGTCTTGTTGCTCCGCCATGACCTCCCTGCCAATTTGGATACAATAAAGGAACTGGAGGCCCCTCGACTGTCCTCGGGTCCAGTATTGGACCACTTCGACCGGATATCCCCAGCCGATGTGGACAGACTCCTCCGAGCTGGAAAGCCCACCACCTGTCCTCTTGACCCGTGCCCGTCTTGGCTGATTAGAGCGTGTCCAGACGAGGTGCGGGCCCTCCTGGGGGATATCATCAATTTGTCCCTTGGCACGGGGACATTCCCAGGGGAACTGAAGGAGGCAGTGGTGCGCCCGCTCTTAAAGAAAACATCATTAGATCCTTTAGATCTATCCAATTACCACCCGGTTTCGAATCTTCCGTTCCTGGGTAAGGTGATTGAGAGAGCGGTTGCTGAACAGCTTGGTGGGTTTCTGGATGAAACATCGGCTCTGGATCCATTCCAGTCCGGCTTCCGCGCTGGTCATGGGACCGAGACGGCTCTGGTTGCCCTAACAGATGATCTTCGTAGACAGCTGGATCGAGGCGGGTCGGGGCTGCTGATTCTTCTAGATCTGTCAGCAGCTTTCGACATGGTCAATCATGAATTTCTGGACCACCGCCTTGCCGAAGTGGGGATCCAGGGCACAGTCCTTCAATGGCTGCGCTCGTTTCTCTCTGGTCGGGGACAGAGGGTGGCGCTTGGGGGGGAATTGTCATCGCGCCACTCCTTGGTATGTGGAGTACCTCAGGGTGCGATACTCTCCCCGATGCTTTTCAACATCTTTATGAGCCCCCTCGCCCAGCTTGTTCGGAGTTTGGGGCTGGGTTGCCATCAGTATGCTGATGACACCCAACTCTATCTGTTGATGGATGGCCATCCTGACTCGGCCCCAGACACACTGACCAGATGTTTGGAAGCTGTGGCTGGATGGTTACGTGGGAGCCGGTTGAAGCTAAATCCTTCGAAGACAGAGGTCCTGTGGCTGGGACGGGGCGATATGGGATTGGGGGGGCAACTCCCATCTCTAGCGGGGGCGCAATTAGTGCCAGCACCGTCCGTTAAGAGTTTGGGTGTAATCTTCGACACCTCCCTTTCCATGGAGGAGCAGATTGCAGCTATAACAAAGGCGGCATTTTTCCATCTCCGCCAAGCTAAGCAGTTGGCTCCTTACCTCTCTCGCCCTGACCTAGCCACTGTGATCCACGCGACGGTCACCTCCAGACTGGATTATTGTAACTCGCTCTACGTGGGGCTGCCCTTGAGACTGACCCAGAAACTCCAGCGGGTGCAGAATGCTGCAGCGAGACTCCTTACGAGGTCTTCGCTGCGAGATCACATTCACCCGGTGCTATACCAGCTGCACTGGCTCCCAGTGGAGTACAGGATCAGGTTTAAGGTGCTGGTTTTAACCTTTAAAGCCCTATACGGCTTAGGACCCTCGTACCTACGGGACCGCCTCTCCTGGTATGCCCCACAGAGAAACTTACGGTCTTCAAATAAAAACATCTTGAAGGTCCCAGGCCACAGAGAGGTTAGGCTGGCCTCAACGAGAGCCAGGGCCTTTTCGGCTGTGGCTCCGATCTGGTGGAACACTCTGTCACAAGAGACCAGGGCCCTGTGGGACTTGACATCTTTCCGCAGGGCCTGCAAGACAGAGCTGTTCCACCAGGCCTTTGGCAAGGGCACAGCCTGACTCCCTCCTTCGGCAATCTTCGCGGAGCTCTGGCCCAATGGCTGCCAGTGGCTTGAATTAATTAATTTTAGAATGAATGATTTTAGAGTGTTGTTTATGCTGTACTTTTGTACTGTTTTATTGTTGTTTGCCGCCCTGAGCCCGGCTAAGGCTGGGGAGGGCGGGATATAAATAAAATTTATTATTATTATTATTATGTTCTCCTGTCATATGATAGAGAGACAGCCAGAGTTGTGAGCCTGTTTCCAGCAGGAAAAGCATCCTCCTCCAGACGTTTCTCTCAGATAGCTACGTTACAATAAAGACCCCAGAGATATTCTGTGGCATATTTGTTATAGCAATTAATTTAGTACTGATTGAACGATATTCTTAGGGTACTTCCCTATCGCTACTGGTATCAAAATACTACTACTTCTTTGGCGATCACTCGTAGCTGAGTAAGATTGTCTTCCATAAACATGATTTTAACAATGAGTCCGTAGGTGACTGTGGAGGCCAATTCTGGACCCACACGTCCTTCCACAGTGAGGACATTGGTTCCCAGGCGGGAGTTGATCACGGTGTGGATTTGCTAAGTGTGCCTTCCTCTTAGCACATTTCTCCCTTTCATCCTGAGTTCAGGTGTCTTCAAAGCCCATGACACCTTTGGTAAAGGCTGTTCTCCAACTGGAGCACTCACAGGCCAGTGTTTCCCAATTGTCGGTGTCTATACTATATTTTTTTAGATTTGCCTTGAGACAATATTTAAACCTCTTTTGTTGACCACCAGCATTACGCTTTCCATTTTTAAGTTCGGAATAGAGTAGTTGCTTTGGAAGACGATAATCAGGCCATCCGCACAACACCATCTATTTTCAACCTTATATTAGAAAGTAGAACTTCACATTGAAGACTGCATGTCTTAATATACAGATTTTGCAATGTGCCAGGAAGACACCAACAAATTAACACTTAAATGGCTAAGGGGGAAAGAATACAATATTCTAAGTACGATACCATGTTTGCTCACAAAGTCAGTGGGAATGCGCATTACAAAACATGCCTATAATGAATCTACATGAGATTTTATGTACTGATTAAGGAATATAGGACAGATTCTGGATTTTAGCTCTTGACAAATGCATGAATTCAGGCTGCACTAGCCATGTCGTTCAACAGTTATTTGTTCATTTGTTTCAGATCAGAAACTGTGGTGGAGAGGATGCTTTCTAATTGGATGTCAATATGTTTATATCAGTACCTCAAGGTAAAGTCTGAAATGCATGCACACTTTACACTTGCTGTGTTTTGGCATAATAACCAAACCACAGTTTGGTGTTACAAATAAGCCTCAGACTCATGTACTTCCATTTCCCTCGTGGTGGAACTCATCCTGGAAGGATGAGTTCCAGTAAACCGTAGTTTGGTCTGCAACCCTTGTTTTCAGGCATCATCATCATCAAATCTTTATTGCAGTCATAGACCAGCATAAGTAGGGTGGGTTACAATCATTTAGAGGAGGCATAGGCAAACTCGGCCCTCCAGATGTTTTGGGACTATAACTCCCATCATCCCTAGCTAACAGGACCAGTGGTCAGGGATGATGGGAATTGTAGTCTCAAAACATCTGGAGGGCCGAGTTTGCCTATGCCCGATTTAGAATCTGTAAAACATTTTGGAAATCTGAAAAGTATTAAAACATAAGGTATATCTAAAGGACTATAAGAATCTAAAAGAAGGGTTTGGCGCATTAAACGGATGTGGGAGAGCAGAAAAGGTTAGTATATAAAAGAATATAACTATCAATTTAGAGAGCACTCTGATGTGAGTGTTCATTAAATCTAGTTTGTGGCACAGGTCATCAGTTGTTTTCAGGCAAGTGCAAACCATAGCTTACTTATTTAGATAAAACTGAAAACTTCCAGGTGAGCATATGTAAACTTCAAGTTGGGAAGTGGCAGGCTACCAAACCCTGCTCACAACATCCCACTACGTTACAGGTCCGCTTCCAGCCTTCCTGCAGTATAAAGATCTAAAGGACAAACCAAAGTGCGTTTAGGGGAACAGGCTTGGAAGCCTCCCTATGATCCAAAACCCAGATACAGTGGTACCTCTGGTTAAGTACTTAATTCGTTCCGGAGGTCTGTACTTAACCTGAAACTGTTCTTAACCTGTAGCACCACTTTAGCTAATGGAGCCTCCTGCTGCTGCTGCGCTGCCGGAGCACCATTTCTGTTCTCATTCTGAAGCAAAGTTCTTAACCTGAAGCACTTTTCCTGGGTTTAGTGGAGTGTGTAACCTGAAGCGTATGTAACCTGAAGCATATGTAACCCGAGGTACCACTGTAATGCAAAGTTCCCAATTGTGGGGAGGCTTCTGAGTGCATTCAGATTAATGTGCCTTCAGACCATCGTACTCAACCCATGAAGGTCAGAAGCAGCCTGGGCATGCATAAATGTAAGTTGAGTTGCATGCCTGATCTGCCAGCTCCTCGCTTTCAGCCCACATGCCTCCAACTGCATGAATATGGCTTGTGGTTTGCAGCAAAATGGCATCAGAAGTTGCTAATCCCCGTCTGCAAGAGGAAGGACGGAAGGTTTGTTCTCATAATGTCAGGTTAGGGTTCTGTGTTTGCTCAAACACTGCCACTGTTTATCTGTCAAAACATAGCTAATATTGACATTGTCTTCCCTCGCCAATTTTTACAGGACAACGCAGGAGAACCTCTTTATAAGTTATTCAAGGCTATCAAACATCAAGTGGAAAAAGGCCCTGTGGATGCAGTGCAAATGAAGGCCAAATACACACTGAATGACACCGGTTTGCTGGGAGACGATGTAGAGTATTCACAACTGGTGCGTAACGTTTATAGACCTTTCTTTCAGGAAATTGGTAAAATGTAATCCTTCTGAAATGCATCATCCCTATTACCCAGCTGGTGTGGGTTTTTGCTTTGTTTTGTTTTTGTAAAACATAGATAATGGAGAAGTGCCACAGGGCCAAAAAAATAACGATAAAGTAATTAATTTTGTTGCCCTGACTTGAACACAATAATTTGACATGAAGCCTTTGGTATTTTAGTGGATTAACCCAAAGAAGAAAAGGTAATGGCATTTTCAAATGTGAAGTTCTCTCTTCCAAAAGAATAAACACAAATTAACAACTCAGATGACATAGACAGTTTTTTAAAAAGGGGACTAGATAAATGAGACATAGTAGGTCCCGCAATGGCTGTGAGCCGTAATGGCCTGATTGAATTGAATCTCCATGTTCAGATACAGTATGGCACTGGGTGGAACAAAAGGGTTGATGCCTTCATTTCGGAGCTGTGAAATTCTGGGGAGTACCGATCACAGACGGACCCGCTGAGCTGGTCCAGGAGAGTTGTGTTTAAGATGCTCCTTAATCTGCTGTGAATTTTATAATGTCCTAGCTTTGCAGTCTCTCTTTGCCCATTATAAATTGCATTCCCGCCCAGACTCTTCTAACCCACATTCCATCAGTAGCCAGCATGTTCTGCTCAAGTCCTTTGCTGTCCATCGAGCAGAAGGCTCACTTAGCCAGATGGCACAGCAGGAGTTGTGCTGTTCATACTGGCATGGTTAGGTTTTCACGTGACCCGCCATTTGGGAGGAATCTGAGAGCCAAGGGACGTGGTGGTGCTGTGGGTTAAACCACAGAGCCTAGGGCTTGCCGATCAGAAGGTCGGCGGTTCAAATCCCTGTGACGGAGTGAGCTCCCGTTGCTCGGTTCCTGCTCCTGCCAATCTAGCAGTTCGAAAGCACATCAAAGTGCAAGTAGATATGGTTCTGGTTCGCCAGAAGCGGCTTAGTCATGCTGGCCACATGACCCGGAAGCTGTACACCGGCTCCCTTGGCCACTAAAGCGAGATGAGCGCCACAACCCCAGAGTCGGCCATGACTGGACCTAATGGTCAGGGGTTCCTTACCTGAGAGCCAAGTATCTCTGCATCAAATATGCAGGTTTGTTTGTTTGTTTGTTTGTTTGTTTGTTTGTTTAAAAATCCCTCTTGAGAAGTTGGTTTTGGGGAGAAATCCCCCATTGGCTTCAATGGGGAATTTCCTCTGGATTCAAGTATTCGCTTCAGAGGAGGGATTAAAATTCCTTAGGCCTGAAGCAGGGGAGGAAAGGGTTAAATTTCCTCCACCATGCCTGATTTAGCTGAGATCCCTGCACTGCAGGGGATTGGATGGATGACCCTTGGGGTCCCAATTCTGTGATTCTGTACAAAGGCACATACTACATCGCATCTCGTTCGGCTCCGACTTGCTTATGAAAGATTTAAAAACGTAGTGTATACGAACAGACCATGGGACTGGACTTTGCAGAAGTGTGCTGCCATATTCTTCATCTAGAAACACTGTGGGGAATCTCCCAAGTTTATTGGCATTACTAGAAACGATTTCATTTTGTTTGACAGCGACTTGTGCAATGGCACAACTGTGGCATCAGAAGAAACTTAATAAAAAACACTTACAAAGTGATGTTTGAAAGCACATTTAATATATTTTTCAGGAAAGAGAATGTTGGGGGGAGTATGGGAAGAGCAGGGAGTTTGTAAGACTTTTAGACATAGTATATAACTTTTCAAATCTTGACAGTTCAAATCAAGGGGAAAGGGGAGGGATATATTTTAATAAAAGAAAAATAAAACAGCATGGGAAAACAGTCAGCACTGCTGTTTTGAGTGAACAGAAGAGTGCAAGCAAAACTCGCCCCATCCCTCAGTCTCTTTATGCTGTTATAAATATATGGCATGTGTTAATATATATACAGAGCCCTGGACCTCTTGGGTGCAGAATGCCTTAAGGACTCCCCTGAGTCTTTATATCCCAGCTTGATTGCTGAGAACATCCAGAAAGAACTCTGTTAGCTGTCCACCATGTTTCAGAATCCCAGCCGACCTCAACTAGAAGTTGGGCGTTTAATGTCACCATCCTGTGCCATGGAATACTTTTCTAGCCAAGATTTAGTAGGGAAAACCCACAAATGATTTTCAGGCGTCACTTGAAGCTGTTTACATTTTCTTGATTAGACATGTTAGTGATTATTTGGGATTTTTAAACAGTATTTTATTGAATATATTGTATACCCCCTTGATATTTTTCATGATTTGGTGGTATATAAATACTTCTATAAATGAATAAAAATAAAGAGGCTGGGTTTTTTGTTTTACTATTTGATTGGTTACTAATATTCGTGGTTGGCCCAAATACTGTCTAACTCCGAAAGTTTACTTGGGGTCTCTCCCTCTCTTTTATTTTTAAATGACTCACTCTATTGCCTCAATCTTTTCTTCTACCACCCCAGTTCTGTTCTGCTGGTGCTGAATAACCATTCAGCATTGTGTCTATGGGTGGGAGACAGAAAATAAATATATTGCCACGTCTATTTTCTTGGTTATTAGAATTGCGTGCTTTCCCAGTCCTTTCGGTCTGAAAAGCAGAGGACCGTAATAGCAGAAAAAGTAATTGCTAGCAAAGTTAATTACCAACATTAATCTGCCATACCATTTAATCAGGTATGTATAAATGCTCCCTTTCTTGCCAATATGATAAGTGGCAGTCTTGTGGATCCAAGGTCAGTATTTGGGGGCATTTCCCTATGCTAGTTCAGCACAGCCAGAACCCTTAAATACTGTATGTTGTTGTTTAGTCGTTTAGTCGTGTCTGACTCTTCGTGACCCCATGGACCAGAGCACACCAGGCACTCCTGTCTTCCACTGCCTCCCTCAGTTTGGTCATACTCATGCTAGTAGCTTCGAGAAAACTATCCAACCATCTCGTCCTCTGTCGTCCCCTTCTCCTTGTGCCCTCCATCTTTCCCAACATCAGGGTCTTTTCCAGGGAGTCTTCTCTTCTCATGAGGTGGCCAAAGTATTGGAGTCTCAGCTTCAGGATCTGTCCTTCCAGTGAGCACTCAGGGCTGATTTCTTTAAGAATGGATAGGTTTGATCTTCTTGCAGTCCATGGGACTCTCAAGAGTCTCCTCCAGCACTATAATTCATATAATTCATTCATTTATATAATTCATTCAACCATAAATACTGTATAGAGATAGGGAAATATAGGAAATACAGCTTGGTTAATCCAAAACTGTAATTTGGAATGAAACTCATACTGATACATATGCGAGCAGAAAAGGTATAGTTTTCTTGTCAGTTTTCTTACCTGCCCCTCACCATGAGGTATCAGGGCAGGTTATAGCACATAAAAACAAAATACAATTATAGCTGCAGTAAGATTTTAAAAAATTATAATCAAAAGTCCAACAAAATAACCACCCAATATTTGACTCTGTAGACTAAATGTGCCACCTGTAATTACAGGCTTAAATACCTATTATTTAAAATTGATAGATGCTACATGCTTGAAGATTCTGTAGTCCTATAAGAACAGGAATGTCTCCGGAACCAGAAAAAAAATATTTCCAACAACTTCACTATCCTGACAAGCACTTTCTCTTTTGTTTTGAAAGTGCAATAAATTTTAAAAATGTGGATTTCTTCTGTTTAAGAAATTCATTATTTAAGCAGCCACGGATGGTAGATAGTTCTAATAACTTGTATCTGTTTGAAACCTGCTTTTAAGAAGTCCCCAAGATCCAGTACCAGTGGTATAGAAATACACTGTATTTAAGAACATCCACTGAAGGCTCTTTTCTGTATACTCAGAATAGGGGAAAATGGTGTGGAGACGGAAATGGCTCATTGACTTTTTTTTTTTCTCACCTTGTCTTTTTTTTATGGAGATGAGGGCATACAAGGTTTTGTACAGGTGTCTAAATTTTTGATCTTTTGGAATTAATAAGTACACGCATTGATTTTTTCCCCCTTGTCTAATTTGTATAACCATGTTATTTCCTACCCTTCAGACTGTGAATGTGATTGTACAAGATGAAGGCACAGAGTCCGTACCTGTAAAAGTGCTCAACTGTGATACTATTTCACAAGTGAAAGAAAAGATCATTGACCAAGTCTATCGAAATCTGCCTCATTCGCACTGGCCAAAGCCTGATAATGTCGTTCTTGGTATGTTTCGGTTCTGCTTCTTTTATTAATGCCATTTAATAAATGCATTGGTGTCAAAAGGGGATACTAACAGGAAGGACCTAGATTTAGCAAGCTCTTGTACTCTTGTTCTTTTATATTTGTGTTAATAAATTATTTTAAATATTGACCTATATGGAAAGCCTTTGGTTTAGAATATTTTGGAGCTATTCACAAAGAAGTAATCCAGCGTAATAGTCTATAATTCGGCTTAGTTGTCGACGGAACAAAGGCCTGTTAACAGGTTTGTTTCTTTGTTTCGTACAAATTACCGTATTTTTCTCTCTATTACATGCAGTTTTTTTCTCCTAAAAAGGAAAGGGAAATGTCTGTGCGTGTTATGGAGCGAATGTGGGGGGTCCCTGGAGCCGATTAGGGGAGCGCAGGAACAAAAATAAGCAAAAATTAAATCGTGCGTTGTGTCGGAGAGGGAAGCCTGAAAAGAGGAAGTGGCTGCTTTCCTGCATTCTGCCTCAGGGTCTTACTGGCCACCCTCCTCTGTTTCGTTGCTGTGTTTGCTCAAACGGAACAAAGAGCAGGCAAATCCCCTCCCCTCCAGGCAAGCAGAGGGGAAAGCAGAGGTCTTTCCTTCTAATTCCTCTCCGTGCTCCTCGCAGGCAGCCAGAAAACATGCAGGAGAGAGAGAGCTGGCTTCGGTTTGGGGAAACTTTTGCTTTTCTTTCCTCCCTCCCGTTAAATCCCTCTCCTGCATTCTTAGCCAGCTGCTTCTCTGCACACCGCTCTCTTGTCCCTTCTGTGTTTTTCCTTCCCTCCCCACTTAAAATGTAGTTACAAAGCATGGATCCACATGGATCCTCAGGATCTTTGCATTGGGCCACCCCAAATTCACCATCAGATCACATAGCAGCCTGCCCCCCAAAAATCACACACCCAATGTTGCCTGGGGCTGCAATGGTGCAAAAACGTGGTTAAAAAGCATGGATCCACATGGATCCTCAGGATCTTTGCATTGAGCTACCCCAAATTCACCATCAGATTTTTTCCCTTGTTTTCCTCCTCTAAAAACGATGTGCGTGTTATGGTCAGGTGCGTGTTATAGAGCGAAAAATACGGTATATACTGCTTGTTTGTAAAACAACAACAACAACAATACCTCAAAGCAGTTAAGTGATCAAAAGTAAGCTTACTCATCATGACTAACAAACAGAAATGCCTTAAAGGAACTTAGTCTCAGTAATTCTGTACATGTATTCTGAAAAGCTGGACCCATAAATAAGCTGTTCACTTTGCTACTTGTGTTATGAGTCACTGTTCAAGATTTTGACTATTTTTACAGCACTGTTTTTTGGGAGATGTGTTTTGGGGTAAATCACTGCATGCAAACTCGTTTCGCATTTTTCATATTTTGTTCAGGAGATGAAGACGATTTGTTTTTCTTTTAAAGCAGGGCTAATTTGGGGGTAGGGTAGAGAGCAGATATTGGGAACCTTTGCAATGCTTCAGCGGTTTACTAAATGGAAAACTCATTTCGGATGTGAATTATGTTTAGTTGCACACCAATACAATATACAATGTGTTGTTGTTTTCTCGTAATTGCTCCTCAGAGTGGCGTCCGGGCTCTACTGCACAGATACTCTCCGACTTGGATTTAACGTCCCAAAGAGACGGCAGGTGGAAACGCATCAATACCCTGATGCACTATAATGTAAGGAAGTTGTTTGTATCTGTTGATTGCTTTTTGGTAACACACAGCTTTTCTTTTTTAAAAAAACTGGCTGAGACAACGTGTACTCCTTCTCCTATCAAATCTATGAGTAGATCTTTTCTGTTGCCTTTGTAAAGGCCAGACTATAAAACCTAAAAGGTTCCAAAAATACGTTGGCATTTGCTGCAACTGGGCGATTATGGAGTGCCTCATCAGTTAGGAGGACAAGATACAGCCTCTTTTGAAACCAAGGCATATTCTTTGCTCGGGATAAAAGTTAGCTTTGTATATTGCCAGTACTCAAGACTGACTGTCAATTATGCCCAAGGCAAGATGCGCTTCCCGTAACACTTTCATACTTCACGAATGCAATGCATCTTCTCTGCTCTTTAGTGAGTATCAGTTTCCCGTAGTTCAGAGAATCTGAAAGACTGAATTTTGAGTTGCGCGATGGATTTTTCTTCTTATTTAAAAAAAATAGTCACTAGATTATAACTCTTGATTCTCTGACACAGCATCCTTACCAGCTCACTTCAAAGCTGGGCACAGCTTCATGTACACAAACGGAGGTATATCTGGAGTGCCCCTTCCGTTATGAAATGAAGGAATAAATATTTTTGTCTGCAAGTGCTCCATGTGGACATCTTAACGAACAATTTGAAACAATGTAAGGAAAGGAATGGGTTTGTGAGGGATAGTGAATTGATTCCACACACATACACACACAGACAGACACACACACACACATTGTATGCACTGCTTTAATAGGAAGTAGACATTTTGCAGAAGTAAGATTTACTTTGGATGTTCTCAGCGATTCCCTCCTGTGTATCTTGTTAAAGGTACGGGATGGTGCTACTCTCATCTTGTCGAAAATGGGGGTCTCCCAACAGCCAGAGGACCATCAGCAAGACATGCCAGAGGAAAGTAAGTATCATCTGTTGCTTCTCTTAAGGCTCCAGAAGAGCACTCAACATATTACCAGTGGGTAATGCTAATGTTAGGGACGTGGGTGGCGCTGTGGGTTAAACCACAGAGCCTAGGACTTGCCGATCAGAAGGTCGGCGGTTCGAATCCCCGCGATGGGGTGAGCTCCTGTTCCTCGGTCCCTGCTCCTGCCAACCTAGCAGTTCAAAGCATGTCAAGTGCAAGTAGATAAATAGGTACCACTCCGGTGGGAAGGTAAACGGCATTTCCGTGCACTGCTCTGGTTCTCCAGAAACAGCTTAGTCATGCTAATGGGGCCTCCTGCTGCCGCTGCACCGCTGGAGCACAATTTCTGTTAGCAGAGTCTGTAACCTGAAGCGTATGTAACCTGACACGTATGTAACCCGAGATACCACTGTAGTACCCTGTTAAGAGATCATTCTATTACTTAACATAAGTTCTAAGGATATTGGTTTTCTTTAGTTAGTTAAATTTTCTCTTTCCCCAGTTGTGCCCATTTTTTACCATGTGCTTCCTAAACACGTCGGCTGCAGCATTCAGATATTTGCATGCTGCTCAATGGTCCTGCGCTTGTGGGGTTTTTTTAAACATTTGCCATCACAGTGGTACCTTGGTTTACAGACGCTTCAGGTTACAGACTCCGCTAACCCAGAAATAGTACCTCATGTTAAGAACTTTACTTCAGGATGAGAACAGAAATCCTACGGTGGCAGCGGGAGGCCCCATTAGCTAAAGTGGTACCTCAGGTTAAGAACAATTTCAGGTTAAGAACGGACCTCCAGAACGAATTAAGTTCTTAACCCTAGGTACCATTGTATTATTATTTCATATCACATTCTTCGAGGGATATTCCAGTGGATATTCATTCCAGTTTACCATCATCCGTGCTCAGCATCAGATGCTTCTAGCATTCATTAGGCCCACGATAGAATGGGCTAGAAATTTGTGCCTATGTACAGGCACTCTGGTTTTGCCCATTTGGTTTTTGAAGCTATTAAAATATCACTGAAATATTCAGCGTTATGAAGACTTGGACTGTGTCAACTCCTGGGGACTGCAATGTCTCTTATACTCAGCTCTGTGTTGATGGACATTATAAGCACATGCACACTAGTGAAGGTTGTGACAACCTAGGCTAAGGGGCAGGAAGTAGGTGTAGCTTCTAACTACATGCATTCCCCAAGGGCACTACTTTTACTACTTCCTATGAAAGTAATAAAAGGGAAGCTGGTGGCGCTGTGGGTTAAACCAGAGATCCTAGGACTTACCGATCAGAAGGTCGGCGGTTCAAATCCCAGCGACGGGGTGAGCTCCCGTTGCTCGGTCCCTGCTCCTGCCAACCTAGCAGTTCGAAAGCATGTCAAAGTGCAAGTAGATAAATAGGTACCGCTCCGGAGGGAAGGTAAACGACGTTTCCGTGCACTGCTCTGGTTCGCCAGAAGTGGCTTAGTCACGGCTGGCCACATGACCCGGAAGCTGTACACCGGCTCCCTCTGCCAATAAAGCGAGATGAGCGCCGCAACCCCAGAGTCAGCCACTGTTAGGATATTCCCTATGTTAGGAAATACAGTGGTGCCTCGCAAGACGAAATTAATTCGTTCCGCGAGTTTTGTCGTCTTGCGATTTTTTTCGTCTTGCGAAGCACGGTGTCGGGAAAGTTTTGGAAAAGCTTCAAAAATCACCAAAGTCTTTAAAAACCTCAAAAAGGCTACCACATCGCGTTCTATGAGTTGCTCCTCGAAGTCAAGTCGCAACTGTATTAACGGTGTTAAGAAAAAGGAAACAAACTTGCAAGACGTTTCCGTCTTGTGAAGCAAGCCCATAGGGAAAATCGTCTTGCGAAGCAGCTCAAAAAACAAAAAACCCTTTCGTCTAGCGAGTTTTTTGTCTTGCGAGGCATTTGTCTTGCGAGGTACCACTGTATCCTAACAGCCACGACTGGACCTAATGGTCAGGGGTCCCTTTACCTTTATCTACGAAAGTAAAGACATTTATGTGGAACCGGAGTCAAGGCATCTCCTTAGATTCAATGCCCACATAACGATAGGGCCGGTCCTGATTTGGGCTGTAATAAATCATGCCTTTGACACATGCATCATTCTTTAGACCAGAGACTACATGATTCCTCTGGTGGTATGCAATTTAAATGCACAACCTGTGCAGAAATAGGCAGTGTGTTTTGTGATGCATCCCAGCAGGTTCCTTGTCCTGGTATCTGTCACTGGGAAGAATGCTGAGTTTTAAGCCTGTTGGTCAGATAAATCTGCATTTTCAACATCTGTGGGGGGTTTTCTGTGTGGGCAAAGCCCAGAATATTGGATATTAGCATTCATTCCTTATTTGGGACCCAATATGATGAGGCTTTTTGTCCTCTGGCTCCTACCATGACAGAGAACAAGTTGGATACAGGGCACTCTCACTAAAGGTTCTTTGGAACTGGTGTGTCAATAGCATTTCAGTTCTTTGAGGAAAGCAGTTGCCTGGTTGTTGTTTTTATGTGTTACTGCTTTCTAAATGTGGTTGCTTAAATGCAAATTGATGATAAAAGCTTTCCAGAGTTTGTCAATCCATTTTTTAAAAGTTTCTATTCTTTGTGGGTTACATAAATAAAATTGAAAATGAAAAAGAAGGTTTTTCGGGTTTGTGTATAGATGCACAGATGAAAATATATCTTGAAACCAAGAGGCCGTTTGAACCAGGATCTACTTAGCGATAGACTAAAAGCAGGAAATTCTGATAACATGTATGCTGAGAGCTGTATCAGGTAGCAAAAATGATCTATTGAGTTTGAAAGATGAAGGCTTCCAACCACTCAGTGACCTTTTTTTTGCACAGGAAATAGCTTTCAGGGGAATTCTGGAAAGGTAATATTTCATTCCTAGCTAATGTTTCTTTTCATTAGTGCTTAGGTCTCTTAGAATTATCCAATGCCAGCTTGTTTATTTGGAAAGCTATAAAATGTTAGAGAGCCAGTGGAGAGCTAGAGCTTGAACCGACAGTGATTTGTGGAGTTCTTTGTTGCGTAAAAAGAGAAGAAATGTTCCCCCACCCCAGAAAAAGAAGCAACATGCTGTTATGAGGCCTGAATACAGAGCCCACCTCTGCCAATTTTACAAAAAAAAAAATGACTTGAAAAGGACTTTTGTATGCTTAGGTTTAGCTGTTTTTATTGAAGTCATTTCATATGAACCTAGACTTTTTAAAGTTGGTTTCCACTAATAATATACAAGAGAATGGGTTTACATCTCTTTCCAAAAAATGTGGAACGATGTCCAAATCCTTTAGAAATAGTTCTTTCTTTCTTTCTTTCTTTCTTTCTTTCTTTCTTTCTTTCTTTCTTTTTCTAGACAGTGATGTGTTAATTGATTATAAAGTCTAGAGAATTAAGTGCAGTAAAATTTCGCATTGCCAAATGACATGATGGAATGAATGGGAGTTTCACAAATGTGCAACTCCCGTGGCATTCCTGTTCTTTTCAGTGGGACTTGGAAATAAATTAGTTTGATTTATCCCGATTTTTTATTTTTTTTCATCTCAGTTCATAAATAAAGATTGGCTGGTCTGGACTTTCTTCGAATTCCTTCTCCTGCCAATGCTCTTTATTACATTGACAGTAATAAACAAGTATTTTGTGTAGCGCTTTGGGGTGCTCAGAATGCTTCACATACATTACTTTGGTAGCCTATATCTTTGTAAGGAAGATTGGTATTATCACCATGTTGTATACTGTGATTCTGAGAGAAAGCAGCTTTCTAACGTCATCTGATAGGAGATTTGAAGAGGAAACTTAGCTGGGATCTCCATCACACCAGCTCCCCGTAATCCAGTAGCAGTCAGTGAGGTTGCCCAGATGGGTCATTGGCGTTTACCGTTGGAGTGTTGTGGGTACAGGGCCATCTTACCCATAGGCGCTAAGGGTGTGGGGCACCTGGGCGCTGGGCTCTCAGGGGCACCAGGCCAAGAGTCCAGGGCCTGAGAGTTGAGTCTGGGGAAGAGCCACTGGAGGAGGAAGAGGTGTGTGGAAGGAGCGCACTGCCCCCGGCAGTGTGATCCGGTGGGGTGCCATCGCGGCTGCCCCCCTGCCTGCGCTGGGCGCCACACCCCCAGGACGTGTGTCACAGCCCTACGTGATGAGTCAGTGTCATGAGAGTGGGGAGCTGCCTCGTCGGTCTATAGCCAACTAAAGAGGTACAGTTGACTTAAGAAGACTGCTTTATGATGTTGCAAGACTGCAACTGGAATAAAGCCCTACTTAGAATACAGCTTGACTCCTGAGTGCTTCATGTGGGGCTTCCGTACATCTCGACAGTGGGCAGCTCAGCGTGGTGTGTCACTGCAGGAGTGTTGGGCTGCCTCTACCACCACATGCCGCACAGCGCTGCCTTCCCCATGCTTCTCCGCAACAGGCCAACATCTCAACCTCCCTGGAAATGGTTAAATTTGAAAGCATGCCTCGTAGGGAAAAGAGAGTGAGGGAAAACACGCCCAGGAAGGGAAAGTTCTGACATGCTAAAATAGAATTTAGAGTTATGTAGCATTCTGGTGCACACATGGGACAAGCAAGTAGAGACAGTTTCTACATCATATACAGTGGTACATCGGGTTAAGAACTTAATTCGTTCTGGAGGTCTGTTCTTAACCTGAAGCACCACTTTAGCTAATGGGTCCTCCCGCTGCCGCCGCGCCGCTGCTGCGCGATTTCTGTTCTCATCCTGAAGCAAAGTTATTAACCCAAGGTACTATTTCTGGGTTAGCGGAGTCTGTAACCTGAAGCGTCTGTAACCCGAGGTACCACTGTACATAGATATTGCTGAATGTGCCACACTCCAAATCCCATTAGATAAATGGACAATTCCTTATTGTTGCTGGGAATAGGAAGCTCCCGCTCATTTAGAAGCCTGTACAGGAGTTGCAATTCTGCCCCTGAGCTCTAGTAGACTGCACTTGTGTTTTAAAGCATTGTTTTTTATAAGACCTGTTTTTTCAAATAAGACCTGAGCAGGCGCGTTGAAGAAAACATCAGCACTTTTGTTAGTTCGGCACCTTCATGTTTATGAAATGCAAATAATATTAATTACAGGCAACTAAATATGCAGATTAGTCACAGTCCTCTGGCACATGATTCATGGCATGGCAATCGGCGCATGGACAGTGGATTTAATTTTAATGTGATTGTTTTGAAATGTGTCACTTTTGCTATTTTCAGGGCGTGCATTGTTGGAAGAGGAGAATAAGATCTGGCATCTAGTTCGGCCGGCAGATGAAGTTGATGAAGGCAAATCAAAAAGAGGAAGCATGAAAGAGAAGGAGAGAACCAAAGCTATTACAGAAATCTACCTGACAAGACTCCTCTCTGTGAAGGTAAGATGGAGACATCAAGTTAAATTGCCATCATCTCTAGGAGGTACTCATAATTCGGGGTGTTAAGTGTAAATAGTAACTTACTGTGTGGAATCCTTCTTTGGGGCTCAGATTTAATTTAAAAACAATAGCTTTCTCTTGTGTTTATGAGTCTGTATTTTTAGTTACATAAATAATACACTTTGTGTTTATTGTCAGAGACATTAGAGGTGGAAACCCAGAATTGTCTTCACAAATTGGCCAGCACGTACAATGGTTGAATCGGGACAATTCCTGAGGCACGTCAGAGCTAGTTAGCTTATTGTGCTTTGATTTTTCACAGAATGAGGAAGTCACAATGTTTCCCAAATAGTTTCTGTGATGTATAAATATTTGCATAACATGTATCAGCCACTGTTCTGTTTGCCTGCACTGACACCGCGCCTCTCCCCTTTCATGCCCCTGTCAGTGGCTGTGCTTCTCCTTCTTCTGACACTAAGTGGCCTGCTAGCTTGTGAGCTTAGAGAAGTTAAACGCAATACAAGTGTGCAGTGAGCTCAGTGCTGTTCTGTGTTAAACTCAAAGCATAACAAAGCCAACTTGACATTTAATTTGCATTTCTGCCTCTAGTAGCCTTCAATGTGAGCTGTCCATATTGACTTCCACTGTTGCCACCATCCGAAAACATCTGGCTGGTGGGGAAATGTGTTCTGCAGATTGCGTGAACTTCCTTAAAGCAAAGCTGTGTGGAATTAATGAAACCTAAAAACACAAGAGCCCTGATCGATTAGAGCAGACTTTTCTCTAGTCCAGCAACCTGTTCTTATGTGGGCCAGCCAGATTCCTATTATTATTATTATTATTATTATTATTATTATTATTATTATTTTATTTTAATTTGCATACTGCCTTCATTTGAAGACCTCAGGGCGGTTCACAGCATAAAAATACAAAATAAAAAACAAAATGCATAATTAAGAACAAGAACAAAAGAAGCCCATAACCCACCCCCTCCCATAAACACATTTATATCCTGTGGCAAGCAGGTTGGGCTCTTGCATGCTCTGCATAAGGTTAAAATCCAAAAGTAGTTTCCTCATGTTAAGCCACGAACGAGAGACTATAAACGCAAGGCTTCATTATAATTAGGTTACTAAATCATAAAAGTCCATGCCAGTAATTACCAGAATGTATCTGGGAAGCATAATTATAAGTGCATTACTCCGCCATCAGTTCCCTCCTATGCTTGTCCATCTATTTCAGAGTTGGGCTTTTTGCATTCCCTGAGCAACAATACTGAAATCCCCACCTCTTTAAAACAGAGTAGAGAATTGTGTTTCCGGAGCTCCCTGGACCATTTCTTATGGCTGTTCATTTCATGATGTTCATAAGAGCATTTACTACCCATTTAGAGATGAAAAATGCTGCACTTCAAGCTATTGTGATTCCTTGGTCACTTGGGACGGAGGCCTGTACAGTTGACTATAAATCAGTTTAGAAAGCATTCTTGTAAATTTGAAATAATATCCTTGAAAATGCTACACTTGCACTATAACCTGAATTTTTAATGCATGTATGTATGTTTTCTCCCCCCCCCCTTAATTCTTCTTCAGGGTACACTTCAGCAGTTTGTAGATAACTTTTTCCACAGCGTACTTGACTCAAAGCATGTTGTGCCACCAGCTGTGAAATATTTCTTTGATTTTCTTGATGAGCAAGCGGAAAAGCATGATATCAAAGATGACGATACTATCCACATCTGGAAAACGAACAGGTATGAACTTTCAGGGTTCGTGGGGAGAAGTGGCTGAAGAAGGCGATACATTCATTCACTAGCAACATTGCTTTTTATTGCTGTGAGCCAGGGCTCTCTCTTTACCAGATGTGGAAGGGGAAAGGCCACATTTCACTCAGAGCTCTCAGCAGAAGCTGTGTGTGTGTGTGTGCGCGCGCGCGCATACCCTCCAACATTTCTCTGGTGAAAATAGGAACGTCCTAGTCTATTATTTTTAATAATAATAATACCCTGCCCATTTTACTGGTTTGCCCAGCCACTCTGTGCGGCTTCCAACATATATGGAAACATAATAAAATGTTAAACAGTAAAAAAAAAACTTCCCTATACAGGGCTGCCTAGGTGTCTTCTAAAGGCTGTATAGTTACTTATCACATAACTCCATACCCTCCGACATTTCTCCAATGAAAATAGGAACGTCCTAAGGAAAAGTGGGACATTCCGGGATCAAATCAGAAACCAGGACAGCTTCTGTAAATATGAGACTGTCTTTGGAAAATGGGACACACTGTCTGTCTGTCTGTCTGTCTGTCTCTATCTATCTATCTGTCTATAATAGATGGTTCCTGGTTCATAACCACTGTTTCAAGCAGCTGTTCTTTCTGCCTATATTGCCCAAACACAGCCCTCTAAAACTGGGGCAGCAACCCTTAAAATGAAGGGAAACGCCAGACTGCCTTAACAAAGCTGCTGAGGGAGAAAGATGAAAGCTTTAAAACAGAGCCAGTTGCAAAGTGTTCCCTGAAAAAGATAGGTGGGAGGACAGAATATGTAGGAAACATACAGAGATATATGTGGCAGCCTTACTTTTTGATGTTTACAAGGATGATTTCCTTGTTCTTCCTGAATCTGAGTCTTCCTGTTTGAAGTGATATACCCCAACAGCATGAAGGTTAAAGGATCTCCACTTCAACTAAGTAGTACCAGCCTTATTGTTGCATAGGACTTGCTACAAAGGAATACAGCTTTGCTAAATACTCATTCTTGGGGTTCTGGGGCACGTAGCAGTGGGACTGCCGTCTGTGTCTTTTAGATTAAACCTCTCAAATTGTTTGGGGGTGTTTTTTTTTTGTTTTTCTAATATAGCATGCAGAAGCACACTGTGGATACTGATTCACTTAGTGGCTTAAGCATATAATCAAACTGAAAATAATGTTGCAGCAATTTTAAGCAGAGCAATCTATTTTGCTTGCCAGGGCCTCATTTTCTACACTTTAACTTCACTCCTTAATAAGGGCCTGCATTATTTCTTTGCTTGCTTCACAGCTTGCCGCTTAGGTTCTGGGTAAACATACTGAAAAACCCCCACTTCATCTTCGATGTTCATGTTCACGAAGTAGTGGATGCTTCCTTGTCAGTTATTGCACAGACTTTCATGGATGCTTGCACAAGAACAGAGCACAAATTAAGCAGGGTAAGTGTTTTACATTCTGCTCTGTGTCTGCGCGAGAGAGAGAGAACGTTTTAAGTACATTATGATAGACAAAGCAGTAATCATAGAAGATAGCGCATAGATCAGTTCATTTTGCCTTTGCTTGTAAGGATGATTATATTGTTTTGAAGCTTCAGCGAAAGTTCAATGTTTAATCTCTAGTGACACATTCAAGAGAGTTGTTTTCTATTGCTTTTAGAATAACAGCTGATTACTGTTTGCAACTTATTTTTTATCTATTAAAGGTGCAAGTTGGTTTTTGGAACTTAATGGATGTCTCTCCTATCAGCCTGTTCACAGCACTATATCCACAAGGCCTGTCCGCCTTGGTACCAGCCAGAGGGGCACATTGTGGCCTGTTCAGCCAATGAGGCAGACGCTTGAGGTGGTCTGCATCCAGGGCGTGGGGACGAGGCAATGTCAGAGCCCTATTTCAAGGCTAGTTGGCCTTCTCCCCAGGGGGAGCCGGTGTACAGCTTCCGGGTCATGTGGCCAGCATGACTAAGCTGCTTCTGGTGAACCAGAGCAGCACACGGAAACGCCGTTTACCTTTCCGCCCGGAGCAATACCTATTTATCTACTTGCACTTTGACATGCTTTCAAACTGATAGGTTGGCAGGAGCAGAGACCAAGCAACGGGAGCTCACCCCGTCGCAGGGATTCGAACCGCCGACCTTCTGATCAGCAAGTCCTAGGCTCTGTGGTTTAGACCACAGCACCACCTACGTCCCATCCCCAACCTATGACTTGTGACTTATTGGTCACTTCAGGCCTGTGTAGGATTTTTTTGCTGTTCAACTCTGTGGGTTGTTTTTTCACCTACTCTGCACTGAGTAGCTTGGCCTTAGATCGCCTGCTGTGTTTTGAACTACAGTGGTACCTCAGGTTACATACGCTTCAAGTTACGTACGCTTCAGGTTACACACTCTACTAAGCCAGAAATAACTTTGCTTCAGGATAAGAACAGAAATTGTGCTCCGGCAGTGCAGCGACAGCAAGAGGCCCCATTAGCTAAAGTTTCATGTTAAGTACGGACCTCCGGAACGAATTAAGTACTTAACCCGAGGTACCACTGTAGATTCATCTGGTCTTTGGTTCAATTATTTTGTCCAGTTAGGTGCAGGAAGGAGAATAGTTGTATTTCAGCCTGGGGACCCACCCCCCTTTAGGCACGTTTCAGGGTCCTGGACTGACCCGAAGGCTTACTCTCTGGGCTCTAGGGATAGAGGCTGCCCTTGCAGCTAAACAGCTTCATTGGCCTGGAGCTATGAGATCTCAGGGGGAGAAGGGAATAGCATAGGCCTTCCTACCAACTTTTATGTTGTGGCCTGAGATTGGGATGCAATCTGGACAACCATGACTCTGGTTCCTCTGGCCTTTTAGCTTCACATATGACCAAACCGACATATACCCACAGTCTGCTTTCCAAACGTTTACGGTAGCGCACACACTTTATTTACATGAGTGCATTTTCTACAAATTAATCTCTAACACACCAATTGCACTTGAACACTCAGCTCTGTGTATATCATCTTTTCCCAGGATTCTCCGAGTAATAAGTTACTCTATGCAAAAGAGATCTCGACGTATAAGAAGATGGTGGAAGAGTAAGTAAAGAGGAGGGGTGTTATTGTACCTGGGCTTTTGTCACCGAGAAAACAATTCCATTTCATCATCACTTCAGAACACATTCATTAAAAAATATAAAATGTATTAAACTGGCAGGGTAGAAAATGAAGTGGTAAACATAGTGGTAACATCTCATTCGACAAAGGAGGAATGCAGGTTCTGTCAATAATAATGCTATCCTTCACAATGGCCTTTTCCAGCCTGGTTCCCATGGACTATTGCAGGTTCGATCCCCATACGGGACCAGCTACATATTCCTGCAATGCAGGGAGTTGGACTAGATGATCCTCAGGGTCCCTTCCAACCTGATTCTATGTGACTACAACTCTCATCAGCCATGCTGGTTGGGACAGATGGGACTTGCAGTCCAAAACATCTGGAGGGAAGATTGCTATATACTGAGAGTTCCAAGAGGAGTGAGTCTAAGGGCAAAGACAGACATAGAATTCACACATTCCCTGCATTTCCCCCCAGCAAAGTTACGAATGTACATAGAAAATGGTACACTGGAAATAAAAATCTGCTTGAATTTTTCAAGACACATCTGTGAAATGATGCACAAAATCCAGTTCACCCTAGATTAATCAAATGGCTCCACACACTCTTATTGGGCTTAACCACCCATTATTGCCTGCTATCCAGATGTGAAATCAAATATTGCAACAGCTTTATATGTTGTTTCAAAACAGGTATCTGTTTAATCAGACTGAACGAAATTAGGCATAAATGTGTCAGGCTTTCTCCAAGTTAATGAACATGTTAAATGATTTTTAAACCTTTGAATCTGGGGTTAATTTTGTGGCTTTTGATCTTTAATTTTTCAGACTAGTCTCCCCCCCCCCTCCCTTTCCAAATGTGGTTTTTATAATGTCCTATCCAGTGAACTGCATTACAGAAGTTGAAGAAAGAATGTTGAGAAGTATTTCACAAGTGCTAAGTGTCCTGTAGCACCTTAAAGGCTTAACAACTTTTTTGTGGCATGAGTTTTCAAAGGCTAGAGTATAGGTCTCTGGTGACATTTTTCAAGCTTGATCATTGGAGCTGTTTGTTATACTTCTGCTTGCAAAAGCTATACTTTAGTGTATTTTAAAATTCAGTATTAATGATGAAAGCAGATTTGGGGAGTGGGTGTTTGCAAGATCCTTCATTTAGAAGTCTGTTAAAAAGGAAGATGAAAATATACACTCGATTCCAGTTGTAACACTTCCTAACTTCCAACTATTTCTGACTATAAAGTTTAATTCCTCGCCCAATACGTCTAACACTGCAATGTTATGCACAGCTACATGGGACTAAATTCCACTTAATTCAGTAGAAGCATTTGTGGGATCAGACTGTAAGAAACACTGAACATTTGCTTGGCTATGCTTCTTTTGCCAGCCTTGGCAGTTCTCAATAATGAGGCGGGTAATCCCCATACTTCAGTATACTTGTTGAACATGACAGAATTTGGGCAACAGTGCAGAAGCAGCCATGTTTATTGAGGCGCTATCTAATCTGTTCAAATGCCCACAGAAAGTTTTGCTGGCTTGTGCTAAGTTGTGCAGTGTGTTCTTCCTTTCGCTCATGGGTTGTTGAAATCAGTGGTAGCAGCGCTTTGATGGATTAAGCCAATTGTGTGTATAAGCAAAGAAGAAACAAGAGATGCAGATCAGATCATTTCATAAGGAAATTTGCAATTTCGTGAGCGCCTCTGTTGTAGTTGTAGATGTTGTAGTTATTAGAAAAATAAAATTGCTACGAAGCATAAATGCATTTTTAAAAGGATGAGCTGCATCAACTAAAAATTGTTGTTTTGGTTGATTTTTTTCTAGTTATTACAAAGGTATTCGCCAAATGGTACAAGTGAGTGACCAGGACATGAATACACATTTAGCAGAGATTTCTAGGGTAAGTATCAAATTGGAATTCTTACTTTGGGAATACAGTGGAACCTCGTGTTATGGACGGGATCCGTTCCGGAGGCCCATCCGTAACATGGAACTGACGCAAGCTGAAGCGTGTGTCTGCGCACATGCGCGGTTTGATTTAGCGCTTCTGCGTGAGCGGTGAGACCCGGAAGTAACCCATTCTGGTACTTCCGGGTTGCTGCGGGAAACGCGTAACCTGAAGCAGAAGCAACATGAGGTATGACTGTAGAGGCATGAAGCTCTGGCATTTGTCATTTTGTGCTCACGTCCAATTAGAACTTCTGCCTGTCCAACAGAATCTTTTGAATTATTTTCCCCCATACAATATTGCGTTGCTTGTGAATTATTGATTTTAAAGGATGCTCAAACATTCTTTTAGGGTGATTCCCTCCCCCCCCCCCAATGTTAACAGAAGCTATGGGATTTCTAATAGCTTAGTTGAATAAAATGGCACAGAGGAATAAAGGCTCGTGGGGAAAGAAGCCACAACCATAGTTTCAAATTGGCTTCCTTCAGGGAATTTACATGTGGCACGTCTTCAAGATTAATTCAAAATTTAGTTTGTGTGGATGAAACTCACAAGGAACTTGTCTAAATTTCTTCTCATGCTTTTTATTGGTTTAGATGGGCTTAACAGGGCATCAGTCATATTTACAGGGGATAGGGCTATTCATCATGATGGCACTATGCCTCTAAACTCCAGTTGCTGGTGACTATCAGCAGGGAGAAGGCTATTGTCCTCACCACTTGCTTGTGGGCTTATGCTCTTAACCAGATGAAGTTGGTGTTCTTTGGATCATTTGCATGCATGACCTCTGTAAGCATCTGGAGTCAACCTGTTCCAGACTAAGGCTACTGCTTACCCCTTTCTATGATGAAGAAAGCAGCATGGTTGGCGGTAACAAATCCAGCAGGAGACCTTAATGCGGGGGGGCGGGAGGGGTGTTCCTGAAAATTGTCAGTTTCACTTCCTCACCAAGCCAGACAGCTATTAAAAGATTTGCGTACCAGTGCTGGGATATGGAAAAGGGATTTACATCGTGTCTGGTGTTCCTATATATATTTCATTGGCGTTCGTATGCAGCCAGGATGGTGCCCTGACGCATTCCTTTTTCTTCTTGTTTTGTTTAATAGGCACACACAGACTCATTAAATACCCTTGTGGCTTTACACCAGCTCTACCAGTATACCAACAAATACTATGATGAGGTAAGTTTCCACTGTCAGAATGGCTTTATTATGCTGTAAAAGGGCCACCGCAGCAAGGGAAAAGAGCCAAACAGGCTGATAGACTTTGGGTACATGATTTCCTAGCTTACCTGGTGCTTGGCTTTTACAGGCGCTGTATTTCTGATACACGGGGGTTGGAGGGGCAGGTTGGTGCTGACATCTTTGGAGTTTGCTTAGAAGAATCCAAAATACCGCTGGTGCTGATAACAAAGGTTAGCCAAATTAGTGAGGTAGGAGAGTTGGCTGGGAAATCACATCTGGCAACCAATAGTACTTGGGTAAAGGTAAAGGTACCCCTGACCGTTAGGTCCAATCGCAGATGACTCTGGGGTTGCACGCTCATCTTGCTCTATAGGCCGAGGCAGCCGGCGTTTGTCCACAGACAGCTTCTGGGTCATGACTAAGCCACTTCTGGCGAATCAGAGCAGCACACAGAAACACTGTTTACCTTTCCAGCAGAGCGGTACCTATTTATCTACTTGCACTTTGACGTGCTTTCGAACTACTAGGTTGGCAGGAGCAGGGACTGAGCAACAGGAGCTCATCGCTGACCTTCCGATCGGCAAGCCCTAGCTTCTGTGGTTTAGACCACAGCACCACCCGCGTCCCTTTCAGTACTTGGGTAGATGAGTCTAAAAAGCCCGGGGCACAATTTTTCACAGCCCTCTGGTGGCTCATTTAACAGAAGTAATATACTTGGCATTATCTCTGGAAGACTATACGCAATTCTAACCAAACTAGGCCTCCTAGAGCAAAATATACCGTATTTTTCGCCCTATAGGACGCACCGGCCCATAGGACGCACCTAGTTTTCAGGGGGGGAAATCAAGGAAAAAAATATGATCCCCCACAGCTCTGGGAACAGTGGACAGACTGCACACAGCCTGTGCACTACTCCAAGACCTTCTCCCTGCTTTTGCGGGAGGTGGCGGAATTCCCCCACCTCCCACAAAAGCCCACAGGAGCCCCGCGTGACTCCTGCGGGCTTTTCGACCAGGAGGGAGAAGGGACTGAAACGGCCAGTCATTCCCTTCTCCCTCCTTGGGGAAAAGCCCCCAAGAGCCGCTCGCTCTTTAAAGGGTGCGCGGCTCCTGCGGGCTTTTCTAGGAGGTGGGGGAATTCCCCCACCTCCTAGAAAAGCCAGCAGAAGCCTTGGAACCCCTTTAAAGAGTGTGCTGCTTTTGCGGGAGGTGGGGGAATTCCCCCATCTCCCACAAAAGCCCAAAGGAGGGTTGGAGAGTAGCAGGAAGGCGTCGCGCACCTTCCTGCTGCCCCCCATCCTCTGGCGATGGGGGAAGCGCTGCTTTCCCCACCGCCAGCCTCGAAGCCGGGTTGGAGAGTAGCGGCAAGGCGTCGCGCACCTTCCTGCTGCCCCCCATCCTCTGGGGCTGGCGATGGGGGAAGCGCTGCTTTCCCCCACCGCCAGCCTCAAAGAGCAGATTCTCCTGGCTTCAGCGGAAGCAACGCGAAGCCTCCGGAGCGCAGGCTTCGGAGGCTTCGCGTTGCTATCGCTGAAGCCAAGGAGTCTGCATTCGCCCCATAAGACGCACACACATTTCCCCTTCATTTTTGGAGGGGGAAAAGTGCGTCTTATAGGGCGAAAAATACAGTACATAGGAGGCTTAGTTTGGTCAGAATTGAGTATACACTTCTGGAGAGAATACTAAATACATTACTTCTGGTAAGTGAGCCACCATAGTTGCAAGAGGCCCATGAAACTTAGTGTCCCAGGCTTTTTAGACTCTTCTACCCATCTGAAACCAGAGGGGCCCATTGGTTGCCAGATGTGAAATATATTGGCATTATTTTCAGGTCTCCCATCCCACTACTAAGGCTCGGCGATGTTGAAAACCCGACATCGCCGAGCTTTACCACCAGCCAAACATTGCAGTTTGACGATAAACCACGAGGTTGAAAGAAGCTGCATCGGCCCCAGCCTGCGGCTCAGCTGGGGGGGGGCAGAAAGGCTCCTGCCCCCCAACTTAGCAAGCCGATGTCTGTGCAGCTCGTGCATGAGCAACAGTGGCCTGGGGCTCCTTTGCAAGGCTCCCTCTGCCACTGTTGGCATGTGGAGTGAGCGAGCTTATTCTTCTTCCCCCCCCCCCAGAAGACAGACCACTGCGGTAGCCAAATGCATGGATTCCTGTCAGGCTCCATGCATTTGAGTGCCTTTGCCCATGCAGGCTCGTCGCCTCTTTCCTCCTGGGGTGAACGACCACCCCAGGAGGAAAGAGGCAGCCAGGCAAGGCTGCCTTCACCCACACCTTGCTGCCGGCTTGTGTAAGCCAGAGGCAAGGTGGGGGCTCCTTTAAACTTCTCCATTGAGGGGCATGCAGCCACAGCCACCTCAATGGAAAAGTGTGACGGAGCGGGGCTGGGGCTCTCTCAGCTGGGGAGTGGGAGCACTTTAACAGAGCCCCCACCTCGCCATGGGGTCGGGGGCTTTGCAAAACTGCTTGGCTGAGTCAAGGGCCACGGTACGCTCCTCGGCCATGCAGTTTAAAGAAGTGGGAGGGAGGAACAAGCTGTATCACGCCTTGGCTGTGCAGTTTCCTTCTCCCTCCGCAGTGGTATGAGGGCAGAGCATGGTTTCACCAGTGGTGTATCGCTGGTGAAATCGCGACCACTCCCTCTGCCTCCAGCTCCCGGCTGCAGTTTGTTTCTCCTTCAGCGTGCTGGGCACTGGAGGCAGAGGGACTCAGGAGTGGCTGCGGTTTCACCAGTGATACACCAGCTGTCATCGCTGCCTACCCCTCATACCAGTCCCTGGGCAATAGATTGATAAATCACCCAGGCCTACCCACAACTACTGTATTTTTTGCTCTATAAGATGCACTTTTTCCCTCCTAAAAAGTAAGGGGAAATGTGTGTGCGTCTTATGGAGCGAATGCAGGCTGTGCAGCTATCCCAGAAGCCAGAACAGCAAGAGGGATTGCTCTGCAGCGATCCCTCTTGCTGTTCTGACTTTGCTTCATTGGAGAGGCACTGCGCAGCTTTCCCTCTCTGCGCAGCGCCCCTTCAGCGAAGCGGGAGGAGAAACGGAGCCCCTTCCATTTCTCCTCCCGCGTTGCTGGAGAGGCGCTGCGCAGAGAGGGAGAGAATTTTTTTTATCTTGTTCTCCTCCTCTAAAACTAGGTGTGTCTTATGGTCGGGTGCATCTTATAGAGCGAAAAACACAGTATTTATCTCTTGAAAGATCTCGGGCAGGGGTCAGCAACCTTTTTCAGCCATGGGCCACTCCACCGTCCCTCAGACCATGTGGTGGGCCGGACTATATTTTGAAGGAGGGGGGAAACGAATGAATTCCTATGCCCCACAAATAACCCAGAGATGCATTTAAAATAAAAAGGACACATTCTACTCCTGTAAAAACACGTTAATTCCTTGACCGTCTGTGGGCTGGATTGAGAAGGCGATTGGGCCGTTTCCGGGCCTTGGGTTGCCTACCCCTGATCTCAGGACAGGTCAAAGAGAGAGAGGCTGGCTTACTGTGCTGAGCTTCATACTGGGAGCCATGATGTTACAACCATTGGCGACGCCTGTAGCAAGCCTTCAGAGCCTCTTTAAAGAGCTTGTCCGCTTTCACGATAGTTGTCGCTTCCTCTTCTGCCAAGAAAATATAGGCAGGGGCACACCTATCAGTGAAACAAAAAAATCAATTGTCAGTAGGACAAACTAGCTACCATCAGACAACCAAAGTTCAGTATCCACAAGCTAGGAAGGAGCATTCCTTATTTCTGCCACGCTTTAAAAAAAATTATTGGCTAGTAATGGTGCTCATCTTTGAATACAGTGGTACCTCTGGTTGCGAACAGGATCCGTTCCGGAGCCCCGTTCGCAACATGAGCAGAACGCAACCTGTGTCTGCTCGTGCGCGGCTCGCAATTCGCCGCTTCTGCGCATGACATCATTTTGAGCGCATGCGCAAGCGGCGAAACCCAGAAGTAACCTTTCCTGTACTTCTGGGTCGCTGCGGGACGCAACCTGAAGCAAACGTAACAAGAGGTATGACTGTAGGTAATTAGAGACGGACAAGGGTTTGCATTACACAAGACATTCTCAGGGGGGAAAAAAGGAAATGGCTTGGCTCACTTCCCAACCAATCTGAATGAACCCCCCTCACACACACACACAATCTGCCCTTGTAACTCAACAATCAAGAGTTGCTTTCATTTAGATGGTAGCTTCAGGCAGCCAGGACAGAGCTCTCCTGGCAGTGGGACGCATTTGAGGGTTATGAAGGCTGCCCAGGCAAAGTACCCCACCACCCACAGAGGAGATGACTCTCCAATGGCAGGCCTTCCCCCTCTCTAATCTCTCCACTATTCTGTCTTAATAAAGCAACGTGGCTTCTGATCTACACTTCGAAATAATACCCTTCAAAATCCATGAGATTTTCTTCCGCGTAATATGTAGCTGAACAGGCCTATGGCTGTGAAAACTAAAACTGAAGCTGTGTGTCTTGCCTGAATCCTGATTTTCCTTCTTCTTCTTCTTCTTCTAGATCATAAATGCACTGGAAGAGGACCCAGCTGCTCAAAAAATGCAGCTTGCTTTTCGATTACAACAGATAGCAGCTGCTTTAGAGAATAAAGTAACTGACCTTTGATTTGAAAGCTGCAATAAAGAAGACTGATCTGGATGTGTAAATTCATTCTTCCTAATAAGGAAATAGTGTTCTATTTTTTAATGTGTAATTACAACTTTAAATGAAAAACAAAAGATTTTGGTTTTTTTATAGCAAAGCTGTAATGTAAAGAGTTTTTACTGTAAATTATGCTTCTAATTAAAATCCTGTGTTGTGTGTAAATGAATTTTCAGTGGGAAATGAGGGAAGTCCTCTGGGGTGGGGGAGGGTAAAGTTATAGCTCATTTAATCAAATAGTACAATCTTGAAGCATCAGCATTTTTAGAATTCATTACGCTAGTTAAATTCACTACCTATAGCATTCTTTATACTTTTTAAGCAATATGTGTACTAGAAAAGTAATAGCATATTGGAAAAATAAATGCAATATCCCTCTTTTAATTTCAGTAATTGGAAATAGATTTTCTTCTTATTCTTTTTTTTAAAAAAATAAATCCAGTTGTCCTGTGTTCTGCTCATAATGAGTAGAACGAAAGACACATTTGCTATGACTTTTTTTCTGTTTAAGACATTGCAGTGGGTTTGGTACTATACACCTTTACATATCTGAAAACCAAGTGCTAAAAACAGTGGTTGTGACTGTTTCCCTCCTACTCACTTTGCCAGGGTCAAAGTGGACAATACTGTAGATTATTTGGGATGGACTGATCCTTTAACTAGGAAGGTGCATGTATGTCCCCCTAAGAGAATAAATCTTAACCATGATGTATGAGTACTTTTGCATGGTATTCAGTGTGCAGAGCATGCAAGGTACCTAACGTCCTCAGTACGCCAAGAATACCAGGTACTTCCAAATAACTAGTGCACCGCTGGCAAAGCAACAGCTGGGAATGAACAGTGGTTTTGTCTAGGTTTCAGCAAAGTGATTGTTCGCACTTGCTGACACTGTTGCTGCCACATGAATTCTGAATCACACACTGAGGGAAAATACCCTGGGAAGAGCGTGTGTTCAGCCAAAGCAAAGCCGGTTTTTGGCTGCATAAAAGTGCAATTTGATGCTTTTGTTGTGGGGGAAGCAAGGGAATGGTAGCATATCACGATTATCCAAGACCCAGAAACATCTGGATCTGGCAAGTTTGTAGACTTCCCTACAGAGTTGCAAGACTTATCTCTTATCATCCCTGATGGAAAGGACCGGTGGCAAATTCTAATTTGATTCAGAAATCGTGGCAAATAAAATTGGCCTTTTTTTTCTTTTCTTTTTTAAATGATAGTTTTATTACATATGCTAATGTGCCTTACTTGTACTAATTATATGGATCTGAATGGTTTTGTAAAGAGAATCGTATCAAAAATATTTATGTGTGGTTTGATGACTTTTTTGTGAGAAAATTGACCAGCAGAATGCCTGTAATTAGCTTATTGCCAATAGTGTGCTGTTTGACATGATTCAAATATGTATATCTTTTGTTGGAATGGTTCATAGGATTTTTTTAAAACAAATCTTCACACTATCCAAGGGAGATTGTTATTTGGTTTTTGTCTGTGTGTGTTTTTAAAAAGGGGGGGGGTGGAATCTGTGTTGTTAATGTAAAATACTCATTGTAAGGAAATCCTGTGCCCCGTCTAATCTAAACACCACTTGAGCCTTGGAATGCTGCAATGGATGGAATAATCATCATTAACCTAGCTATGGAAATTAAAGTAACTCGTCAAAGATGTATTGTGTGTTTACAATATTAGTCAGCTTCCAGGCCATTTGATAAAGCTTGGTACGTTATCTTAAATTGCTATGTTGCACAAAAAAAAGAAAAAAGAAAGCAATCTTTGTTAGATTCATTTTTTACCATACTTCTGGGGCAGTTCATGTAGAACTGCCATCAAAACGCTCATTATCTTTTTGGTGTTGCTCTGGTGTTTTCTGTCCTATGACACCTTAAAACCTGCTTGGCTCCTAACACAGTAACAGACTTTCAGTTTGCTACCTCTCTCTCCCTGTACTGGAGTTATCCAAATTTGTTGCCTTCATCTTCATCGTCAGATGTATCGGTAAGTCTCTTCCTGATTTCTTTTGGAGCAAGTCACTAGTAATGGGATTCTCATGGCTACTGTGGAAGTCAGCCGTGAATTCCAATAGAAGTAAAAAAAAAAAAAAGGGAGGCAGTAACAGGGTGTCACTTTTCATATCTTTCCTTTTATGTTAAACATTTGCTTTCATCTATATGCGCTTCCTCAGCACACCTGGAATGTAAGGAACTCTGAATAGTTTGTATCAGTTTTACCTAAGAATTCTGTGTCAAATTATGCCTCTATACTTGCCTTCTGTCTTCTGATCAGCAAAGGTATCCAAACTTGCTAATCTGTTTTATCTTGTCATTATTTGTAAATCCTGTGAATTGTAAATCAAATACAATCTTTTTTCCACAAAGTGTAATATCTGAGTTGTCTAAGTATGTTCTTCAGACATTTTAAGACTGAGCTGAGTGGACCTGGGAGTACAGTGTATCGTGGGTTTGTTTTTTTCCAGAAGTCTTCCCCTTTTGTTTAAAAGTTAAAGGGTAGCTATATGTTTATTCTACTTGGTTCCAGTTATATTGCTGTGCACTGTTACCTGCTTTGAGGACATTAGTTGCTTTTAAAAAGTAGAATAAAATTGTAAAGAAATAAGTAAACTTAGGGGACTGCCCAAGACAGGTAACATCTGGCCAACTCTTTGGGAAATCACTCTTATTCATTTGTAAAGCAAACAGTCACCACTATCATTTTGTCTATTTGCCACTACTCCACAATGGTGCGCAAAGCATATCACAGCATGTCAAATGAATAATAATAAATGCAAAAATTTAAAAAGTAGTAATGACAGATAATCAGAATGTCAATAAATAAATAAATAAATAAACAAACCCATATAAAAACAATGCAAACACAGTGGTACCTCGGGTTAAGTACTTAATTCGTTCCGGAGGTCCGTTCTTAACCTGAAACTGTTCTTAACCTGAAGCACCACTTTAGCTAGTGGGGCCTCCTGCTGCTGCCGCACCGCCGGAGCACGATTTCTGTTCTCATCCTGAAGCAAAGTTCTTAACCCGAGGTACTATTTCTGGGTTAGCGGAGTCTGTAACCCGAAGCGTATGTAACCTGAAGCATATGTACCTGGTACCACTGTGAGCTAACCTGCCTTAACAGCTTAAAAATAAACAGGAGAGAGAAGAATATCCAAACGAGGAAATAAAATGGCAACATACAACATTTGGGGATTGTCACTACAGTTGTACCTTGGAAGTCGAACGGAATCTGTTCCGGAAGTCTGTTTGACTTTCAAAACATTCAGAAACCAAGGTGCGGCTTCTGGTTGGCTGCAGGAAGCTCCTGCAGCCAATCAGAAACTGCGGAAGGCCCTTCGGATGTTCGGGTTCCAAAGAACATTCGCAAACCCCAACACTCACTTCCGGGTTTGCAGCACTCGGGAGCCAAAACGTCCGAGTACCAAGGCATTTGGGATCCAAGGTACGACTGTATGCCCAAAGGAAGCTCATCACAATTAACTTTCCTACATTGTATGGTGGCCTGATCTGCCAGTTTACACCAGGGTCTCCTATCTCAATCACTTCCCAATCTCTCGCCTGGGGAGGTCAAAACAGCTAGTCCTCCTTCAAGCTCCACATACCTTCACAGTTCAGAAGCTACAGAAGATCTGAATAGATTAGAATGGGGCCCCTTTATTATACACAAATCATTGCTGCTCCACAGAGAAAAACAGTGTATTTGTTGACTGCAAGCCCCCTTTGCAATAATAGCAGGAGACCAGTGAAGGACAAACAGCCTGACAAAAGCAAGCAATGGACTGATCATGCTCAAGCACATCCCAGAAGTAACATGAATCTTATAATCCTGATGCTCCTTATGTGTACATTAGATTAGGGTTACCAGATGTCCCTGTTTCCCGGGGACAGTCCCCGGATTTGCGAATAAGTTCCCGGACAAATTCCATCCCTGGAATGTCCCTGGATTTCATCTAATGTCCCCGGGAAATGCAGCAGCGGCAGTCTCAGCAGCCTGGAGCAGTTGGCTCTGGCTGGCTTCAGGAGCTGCTCAGACGTCCCCATATGATGGTGGTGCAGGGGCTCTAAGATGTAGCTTCTGGGCTGCTTCCACCTTTCCTAACCCCACAGCAAAGCTGTAAAGGGAGGCTTCATGTTGCCTATCAGAGCTTGTGTGCAAGCAGGAGGGGCAGGGATCTCTGAGTTAGGCAACGGGAAGCCTCCCTTCCCAGCTGAGGGATCCCTGCCCCCTCCTGCTTGCACGCAAGTAGGAATGGAATTGGGGCTGCTCCGATGGGAAGGGAGGCATCGCACTGCCCAAGCCTCACCGCTGCCTCCGCTCTTGGCCCTCCTTCTCCGCCTTCCATGCCTGACCCACCGCACACCACTTCCCCACTGTTATGTAGTGTAGTTTCACCCTGGGCCAACAGGGGGATACTGTATATAGTTTTCACTCAGGTCTGTAGATAGTTTTCACTCAGGTCCGTGGCAGTTATTTTAGGCGGGAAATCTGGGCTGTTGTGGTTACAATGTTGACAGCCGGCTGCCTATAAATACAGGCCGGCTGAGCTGTTCGCAGTCAGTTCTATTCCAGCTTACCATAATAAAGAGCTACTTGAAGAAATCGCTGTGCCGGCTGCTATGTCAACCCACGACTTAACACTGGCGACGAGGATGGGATGGATGGACATCAGAGCACAGCCAGATGCGGCCAGCCTCTGAACTGAGCTGAATCACTGAGCTGAATCACAGAGCGAAATCACTGAGCGAAATCACTGGGCAGAACCAATTCAGAGCTGACTGTTCTGGCTAGAGCACTGTGTTCCATCCATCGCCCTTCACGCCGGCATCGGAATCATGGCTTCACTTGTGCCTCTACCGCCGTTTGCGCCAGCCTCTGAATCATGGGACTCCTACCTCGCTCGGTTCGACTGCTACCTCCAAGCCAACGAGCTGACAGCAGTATCAAAGGATCAGAAGCGGGGCCTATTCCTCAGCCTCTGTGGGCCTGAGGTGTTTGAGACGGCCCGAGCATTGGTTGCGCCTGAAGCAGTCCAGGTAACACCATGGGACACGATCCAAGAGAAGCTCCGCAACCACTACGCACCAAAGCCATCCAAGATTGCTGCCCGCCATGCGTTCTACCACCGGAACCAGGCAGAGGGGGAGTCAATCAACAACTACACCACCGCCCTGCGACAGGCTGCAATGCACTGTGAGTTCCGAGACTTAGACGATGCCCTGATGGATCGAATCGTCTGCGGGGTCCGGGACATCCATCTGCAACGGCGCCTCCTAGCCAAGCCAGACCTCACGCTACAGAAAGCCATTGAGGAGGCTGTGGCCTCAGAAGCTGCTGAACGCTCCGCCCAGGAGATCCGCAAGTCCAGCAGCCCGCGTCTTGCTAGGGAGCCAGTTCCGGTGCATCATGAAGAGGCCAGCAGTGAGGAGGCATCCTCCAGTGAAGACGATGACATGCACCAGACAAAGCGGGAGCGCAGGAAGTTCCAACAGAAGTCCAAGGGCCAACCGGAATGTGCTGGCTGCGGAGGCAACCATTCCCGTGCCAAGTGTCGATTCAGAGACGCCATCTGTAGGAAGTGTTCCAGAAGGGGCCACATCGCTAAGGTCTGCCGATCGGCTCCGTCCGACACCCCCCCTTCATCGACTCGCAAGTCCAAGTCTTCACTCCAGTCTGCCAAGGAAAGTTGTTTCGCTCTCACCAACTGCCGCTGCCCGTCTGGAACCACGATTGGCCAAACCGACTCGCCTACGCAACGCAAGCTGAACGTCACGGTGCTCATTGAAGGAGCTCCATGTGACATGGAGATCGACACCGGGTCTGCCCTGTCCATCGTGTCATGGAGCACCATCAAAAGACTGGTACCCAGAGTGTCCAAAAGGCAACTCGACTCTCACCGCGTACACCTGAGAGACTACCAGGGAAACGACATTCCCGTGGTAGGCGTTGGCCGGTTCCGGATCGCTTTCAAGGATTTTTCGGGCCTGCTCCGGTTGGTGGTGGTCGAAGGTCAGCGGCCAAGCCTCCTAGGGCTAGACTGGTTTGATGCCCTCGGCCTGGAAGTCACCGGCATCAACTGTATCTCTAACGCAGAGACTGAGGGTCTGGTCAAAGACTTTGCCGAGGTTTTTGACGGCACCTTGGGCCAATATACAGGTACGCCCATCTCCTTTAGCCTTGATCCACAAGTCGCCCCCATCAAGCTAAAGCCACGCCGGGTTCCCTTTGCTCTCAAGGCTAAGGTGGACGAACAACTGGACAAACTGATCGCCCAAGGAGTTTTGGAGCCGGTTGACCACGCAAAGTGGGAAACCCCCATCGTCACGCCTGTCAAGCCAGATGGGTCGGTGAGAATCTGCGCTGACTACAAGTGCACGATCAACAAGGCACTTCAGCAGCACGCTTATCCGGTTCCTGTTGTCCAACACCTGCTGCATTCCCTGGGTGAGGGTAAGGTCTTCGCTAAGCTGGACCTTGCCCAAGCCTATCAACAACTGCCAGTCGATGATGCCACTGCTGAAGCCCAGACGATCGTCACCCACCGGGGGGCTTTCCGGTTGCAGTTCGGGGTGAGTGTGGCTCCTGGCATCTTCCAAAGCCTTATGGAGCGTCTCCTGCAAGGGCTTCCGGGCGTGGTACCATATTTTGATGACGTCTTGGTGTCTGCAGACTCACACCAGCAGCTGTTCGAGCGCCTCCGTGCCGTGCTGACCAGGTTCCAGGAGGCCGGGCTCAAGGTAAAGAGGGAGAAGTGCCAGATCGCCGTTCCACAGGTAGAGTTCCTGGGCTATCTTATCGATGCCTCCGGTCTTCATCCAACCACATCCAAGATCCGCGCTATCCAGCAGGCCCCCACCCCAAAGAACAAAACGGAGTTGCAGGCATTCCTGGGGCTGCTGAACTTTTATAACATGTTCCTGCCCCACAAAGCCACAGTGGCTGAGCCTCTTCACCGACTCCTTAGCACTAAGACGCCTTGGGCCTGGGGTCATCGGGAGACGGCGGCCTTCAACGCGGTCAAGGCTCTCCTTTCTTCAGACAGTGTGCTGGTACAGTACAGTGAATCCAGGCCACTGGTCCTTGCCTGCGACGCCTCACCTTTTGGCATCGGTGCTGTCCTTAGTCACCGTTTTCCAGATGGAAGAGAAGCACCGCTCGCCTACTTTTCCAGGACACTATCTCCGACGGAACGGAATTACAGCCAGCTCGACAAGGAGGCATTGGCACTTGTGGCTGGAGTGAAGAGGTTCCATGAATACCTCTATGGCAGGACTTTTGACCTCATCACTGACCACAAGCCACTCCTGGGCCTCCTCGCCGGTGATCGTCCAACTCCACCGGTCCTCTCACCACGCATGCTGCGATGGACTG